ACACAAGTAGAAAAATAGGGACCACCTTTGGTGGGAAGTTAAGAGCGTTCTGTGCGCCTTTGGCATTTAGTCATGCTGGCCACATGACCATGGAGATGTCTTCGGACAGCGCTGGCTCTTCAGCTTTGAAATAGAGATAAGCACTGCCCCCTAGAGTCGGGAACGACTAGCACATATGTGCATGGGGAATCTTTACTTTACCTTAGATGCCCACCCAACTTCAGATTAACTCCAGGTATTTGGTAGAAGTAATAAACAAGTTGAAAACAGAGAAAAACATTTTTCTAAAAAAAAAATCCTGTATGTCCAGAACCAACATGCTGGCCAGATCTGTTTCCAAAATGTTGAGAAGTAAACATGGCTTAAGTCCAAAACAAGCAGAAAGTGTATGTGTAAGCAACTCAGAGAGAAACCTCCCTGACTCAAATGGGTATGAAAGAAAGGGAGAACAGAACAATCAGACTTCTAAGATTCTGTTATTATACCCACCCTCAATAAAAGTAGTCTTAGCCTTTTTGCAGAGTTGATTTTTGGTCTGGCCTACCTGGTGGGGTTGACAACAGGAAACAACCCTCGGGGCTGCATGAGCAGCCTACCCCAAGACGGAGAGGATGGCCTGGTATTTTAAGATTTTAAGAATTAGGGCGAAAGTCAAACAAATAAATAAATTACTTTATTTTTCTGGCTGTCCTACAACAAAAACAGAGACCAATTTATGGGTCTTCAGAGCACATCCTCATCCCTGAAATTCACATAGCCCTACCTATGCTGTGGGATTAAAACTTTGCTAATAGTTCCCAATCCAGGGTAACAATAGCAATAGTACTTATATACAACTTCATAGTGCTTTTACAGTCCTCTCTAAGCGGTCTACAGAGTCAGCATATTGTCCCCAACAATCCAGGTCCTAATTTTACCAACCTTGGAAGCATGGAAGGTTGAGTCAACTTCTGAACTTCTCAACTCATAGGAGAAATGAGATATTTTAATTCTCTTATTTTCATGACTTTATCTTTGAGGTTGCCTGTTTTATGGCTTTTTCCTATATTGCCTTGATGCTACAAATCAGAAATTTCATAACACTAATATTTTAAATACAATATTAGAAGCTTATAGTGTTATGATCTATCTCATGTCCATTTCCTAATCAAAGTCCAGTTGTGCCTGTTGAATTTTAAGATATATGTCATATTAAGATATGAACCCTATAACCCAAATTTTAGATATTTTACAATTCCATTGTATTTGATTGCAATCAAAGATGATTTCCAATTGATATCAAACTCTATGTCTAATATAGTTTTAAATACAAAGGTATCCTAGATATCAAGGCATACCCTCACAATTTAGTTAGCTGTTCTTCCAAAGAGGGAAAAGTTATTTTTCAAACAAGTATAAGATTCTTGTAGCCCTTAACATATGTGTTGAATTACTTGTGATTTGGTAGCTTATAATCATCAACAATATTATCCTCAGTCATAGCCTTATCATCTTGGCAGATGTCTGAGTCAAAATTTGACAAGTTTCATGGCCTATTTCTTTCTGAGCCTCTGTTCCCATGTGACCTGTTCTGCTCTGTTATATCTCTACATATTGTCACATAGGTATAAATGAGAAGTAGGAATGTTGGGTCTTCAGTTAGCATTCCACAAACTTATTCCCACCAAATGTTGTTTGATTAACATTTCAGCCAATGTAGGTAGTACACCAGGCTGGCTAGGGCTTATGAGAAGAGTTGTCCAAAACAGCTAGTATAATTAAAGTGGAAACAGTCAAACTAGATTGTCAGACTTCATCTCAGACATGTTGGCCTCCTTTGCTGTCTATTTTGGGGTGATTGCTTTGAATACTTTTAGTTCAGCTGCTTTTATAAGAATGTGATCTCTTGAATTTCAAGATTTTGTCTATCTCCTATTCTTAAACATTGCAAATATTTTTCCCAAAAAGCTCATGTTGTTTTGTTTTTGTTTTTGCTTTACATTAATGTGCTGGTATATTTATTATTAATGTTGTCTCCTACTTTTCATGTATTATGTAAACCACTCTGGTAGTTGCCCATCAACGACGGTTCTTGTCCAATAAATACATCTACTCATTGCATCTGCATTTTACTTCTTTGGCTCCAATCAGACTTCTCTGTGCATGCAAGTATTCTGCGGTGTACTGTACTGATATAAAACTGGTCCCAGAACTCAGAAGTCAGAGAATTTGAGGACCTGAAGTCAAGTGTTCTAGCTTAGTAAAATGCAGGAAGGGGATACGCTTTTGGGGAATGAACCTTTTACTTCCCTCCCTGATAAATAGCAAGCAACTAACAAATTATAGGCACTTAAATTCACCTCCTGCTTTGAATGCATGGATGGATACGTAATGAATGGGTGGCAGCATTTTGTCAAAGCAGAGTTATTCTTTTCCTCACTTGGTTCTTTCAGCACAGTGGATTTGTTTTCATGCCCCTGTTAATGGAAACTACTTAATAGTCTGTCCATTGCTTCTCCACAAATGCTTATGTTAGACACTATAAAAATACAAAATAACCGTTGCCAAAGAATACATCAAAGCCTTGTGGTTTTGATGTTGTCATTTGAATTCATGGATTGAGCATCCGTTGAACTCAGTGGCCTACATGATTCCACTGAGCTGCCCATGTTTGCTGTGCGACAATATTCTATGGGCGAATCAATGCATCAGTCTATCACAGAAACTGCAAGACCAGAGGGTTGAATAAGCTGGTGGCGCTGATGACAACGTGTCTTTTGCTCTCACTAATCATGATACAGTGGAAAGGCAGCGACAGTGGCAACCAGGTCATCCACTGTGAGATATTTCCTCTGAAACATGTGAAATGTTTGGAAGAGGGGAGAGGGGAAAGGAACAGGCAGGTTATTATCAATACTGAATTTTTAAACTACCCATTGTTATTGCAAGCCTTGCAATGACTGCCTGGATGCCAGTCATCATTTCCCAATGGCATCTGCTGGGTAGACATCATAAGTGACTTCCTGATCATCTATCAGGAAGGAGGTTTTGCTGTAGAAGCATGTTCCTCTGTTAGCTTCTGTCTGCAGAAACATCTCTTGGCATTTTCAGCCATGCTTTCTCTGTCCTCTGTCTTTGCTGGTCATATCAACGGCAGCTTCTAAACAGATCAGACGGACAGGGTTTTTAAAAAATTCATCAGCATGCATGGCCTGTGAGAAAGCAGCCTTTTTCTACAAGTTGTCTCTTCATGTCCCATGATTAGACTCCATTCTCACAATTCTAAGTCAACATGTAGAAATTGTGGAATTGTACAATATATCTGTAAAGTGTGAAATTGGGAAAGACTGGGGCAATTGTTTAAAGAAAGGTTATATTAAGAGGAATACCTTGACTTCACTTCCTATACTCATCTATGCAGGGGTGGGCTGCTGGGGGTTTGCAGGGGTTTGAGAGCACTTCCAAATCCCACTCCTGGTTGGTCCCACCCACCCTACACCGCCCCTCCCAGGAGTCCCCATGCAGCCCGTTTTGGATGCAGGTAAGTGCAGGACATTTGCAGAGGCTCAGGGAGGGCAAAAAACGGGCCTACTGGAAGTTCAGGAAAGCCAGAAACGGGCCCATTTCCAGCCTCCAGAGCCTGAGGAGGCCGTTTTCGCCCTCCCGGAGGCTCAACAAAAGCCTCCGGAGCTGGGAAAGGCAAAAATGCCCCCCCACCATGGTGCAGGAGCCCGACTAGGCCACGCCCATCATGGCCACGCCCACCCAGCAACTGGGCAGAGAACCCCTTGCTAAAATTTTTGAAGCCCACTCCTGCATCTATGAGTTAATGTTTTTGCATATCAAATTGTTCTCTGCATATGTCTGCATTCCTGGAATGGTGTAAATACCTACTTGTCAGATGTACCTTTCAACTTTCTCTATTTAAATGCATTGGTAAAATGAACATTAATTTATTAATTAAGGAAACAACCATTTGAAAACACTGCATTCAAAGACTTGCTCTTCAACCTCTTATTTTAGAAGCTGTCTGGTCTGGGATATGAGACAAAACCCTTTTACTATGTTCCCTAAGAGATCTAAGGGCATTTAGCTTCCATTAAGGACAGACAGAGCATCTTATGAACTGAGTTAAGTTGTTTGCTTTGGTATGAAATCTAGCCATGAGCCTGTATCTATTGCAGCACTTGGACACCAAATCAGGAGAGGGTTCTGCCTTAGGTGAGCAGATGGCCTCATTTTGCAAATCTTACCTATAGGCAGTCCTTGATTTATGACCACAGTTGAGCCCGACATTTCTGTTGCTAAGTGAGAAATTTGTTAAGTGAATTTTGCCCCATTTTATGATCTTTTTTGCCACAGTTATTAAGTGAATCACTTAAGTTGTTACATTAGTGACACGGTTATTAAATCAATCTGGCTTCATTTTGAGTTTGCTTTTCAGAAGGTCGCAAAAGGTGGTCACATGATCCCAGGACACTGTAACCGTCATAAAAATGAGACAGTTGCCAACTGTCTGAATTTTGAGCACGGGGATGCTGCAACGGTCATAAGTATGAAAAACAGTCATAAGTTACGTTTTTCAGTGCCATTGTAACTTTGAATGTTCACTAAACAAACTATTGTAAGTCAAGGACTATCTGCCATTGTAACTTTGAATGGTCATTAAACAAACTATTGTAAGTCAAGGACTACCTGTATTTCTGCACCGCATGTATCCCCTTCATCAAAGAACAGGTGGTGATATGCCAAGTAGAAAAACTGATAATTCGGGGGGGAAAGAGAGGGTCTTTTTTTCCCCAATTTCCTCAGCAAAGTAGGAATGTGTATCTCTACTTCAGGGATTTCATAATACCATAATAAGGTCAGATGAATAAACTGTATATTACGGCATTGACAGAAAGTTCACATTTGTTAATTGTCAAACTGCCTCTGGAGCGAAGAGATGTAAAATTATGAGAAGGTCACAGCAGACTATCTTCTAATCAGGTCACTGGTCTTGTTTTCTTATCTTTTTCAAGGAAATCGTTAAAGACCCACAGTTTATTCTTGGAGGAGCCACAAGAACTGACATTTGTCAAGGAGACCTTGGTGAGTATTTTTCCACTGGAATGATTTTTGCCCTCTTTGATACAAGTCCTGTTAAGACATTGTGTAAAATGTGTGGAGGCTTCCTAGCGGATAGATTCAGGTACCTCACTCACTCTAATCTCCCTATGTTCAACTGGAAATCTGAAGGCTAGATGAACACAGGTTGACTTGTGTTCCCCAAAACCAGGGGTGAAATGCTCCTGGTTCGGACTGGATTGCCCGATCCGGTAGTGATGGTGGCAGGTGGTTCGGAGAACCGGTAGCAAAAATCCCTGCGCTCCCCCCACCACCACCATGCCTAGCTGAGCCGCGCAATCATCAGAGGCTGTTTTTTTACTTTTAAAAGCATTTTTTCTACAACCACTGCTTTTAAAAGTAAAAAAAAAAAAGCCTCTGATGATCGTGCAGCTCAGCTGGTATCATCAGAGGCTTCTAAAAGCATTTTTTTCTGCAACCTCTTCAGCCGAAGAGGTTGTAGGGGAAAAAATGACTTTAAAAGCCTCTGGCGATCCCAGCTGAGTTGCCTGATTGTCAGAGGCTTTTAAAGGCATTTTTTTTTCTGCAACCTCTTTGGCCGAAGAGATTGCAGAAAAAAAATGCCTTTAAAAGCCTCTGACAATCAGGCAACTCAGCTGGGATCGCCAGAGGCTTTTAAAGTCATTTTTTAAAAGTAAATGCTTTTAAATGCTTTTAAATGTAAAAAAAGTAAAAAAAACAAAGTTGGCCATGCCCACCGTCACATTACCCCCCCCCACCAAGCCACACCCACAGAACCGTTAGTAACAAATTTTAGATTTCACCCCTGCCCAAAACCTAATGAAGTTTGTACTGGAAGTCTCCTTCAGATACCTAGCTGAATTCAATGGAGGCATGGGAAGAATATGCATCTCTCTTCTTATCAAATCAGATATTCAGCTGATTGACTAAAGGAAACAACTAATTATGAGGAAAACATTGTTAATCTGGTATCGGCCATATGCAGCACCACATGCACACAAATCTGATAGAATCTAAGAAACTTAAAACTGAAAGGGATCTTGGAGGTCATCCATTCTCATTATCTGCTAAATACAGGATTCCATTAAAAAAGGCCCAAGACAATGTTTGCCCTTCAACAGCCTCATTCAGCAACAAGCCTTATGCAGACACTGGGTAAATTACTTAATTCTCTTGCTATTTTCCCAACAATTTAGTGAGGTAAATTGGTCTGAGAGAGAGCGATTAGCCCAAAATAATCCAATGAATTTACATGGCTGATGATAGACTGGAATATGAGTCTTTCTATGCTAGTCCAACACCTTACTAACTATACACAGATTTCAGAGGATAATTACAACTGCAGAAAAAACAATTACTACCAATCTGCCTTCCATTGAGGACCTGTATTCTGCCCGAGTCAAAAAAAGGGCTGGGAAAATATTTACAGACCTCTCAATCCTGGATTTAACTGTTTCAACTCCTACCCTTAAAATGATGCTATAGAGCACTGCACACCAGAACAACTAGACACAAGAAGAGTTTTTTCCCGAACGCCATCACTCTGCTAAAAAATAATTCCCTCAACACTGTCAAACTATTTACTAAGTCTGCACTACTATTAATATCATTGTTCCTATCACCCATTTCCTCCCACTTATGACTGTATGACTGTAACCTTGTTGCTGATATCCTTAAGATTTATATTGACTGTTTCCCTATGATTATCATTAAGTGTTGTATCTTATGATCTTTGATGAATGTATCTTTTCTTTTATGTACTCCGAGAGCGTATGCACCAAGACAAATTCCTTGTGTGGCCAAACACACTTGGCCAATAAAGAATTCTATTCTATTCTATTCTATTCTATTCTATTCTATTCTATTCTATTCTATTCTATTCTATTCTATTCTACTCTACTCTACTCTACTCTACTCTACTCTACTCTACTCTACTCTACTCTATTTTATTCTGTTCTATTCTATTCTATTCTATTCTATTCTATTCTATTCTATTCTATTCTATTCTATATCATACCAGCTCTCCATTTTGCAAATCAACCAAAACAGCTAAGATGCCCTTTTAAATGTGCAACTACCAGATTAGAACTAGGTTGTTATTATTCAGTCCCCAAATCATGCCTAACCCTAACCCCATGGACCATACATAGCACTCTAGGCCCCCTTCCATTGTTTTCCAGAGCCTGCCCAAACTCATGCACACCCTGTTGATGACACTATCTAACCATCTCATCCTCTGCTGTCTCCTTCTCCTTTTGCCTTCAATCTTTCCTAACATCAGGGTCTTTTCCAATGAGACTTCTCTTCTCCTTTGGTGATCAAAGTATTGGAGCTTCAGCTTCAGTATCTGTCTTTCCAAAGGAGAATCAGAGTTGGTTTCCTTTAGGAATTACAGCTATGAGTTCCAAGCACCAGGGCCTGGTGGCTCAGCAGACTAAAAGCATTGTGATTAACACCAGCTGTCTGCAATTACTGTAAGTTCGAATCTCACCAGGCTCAAGGTTGACTCAGCCTTCCATCCTTTCTAAGGTAGGTAAAATGAGGAGCCAGTTTGTGTTCTGTCCCCGTCTCATACACGCACACAAACAGTCAGCCAGGAGTTAATAAAACCAGCAGTCAGGAATTCCTTTGAGATAACAGAATTGGCAGCAACCCAGTAGCTGCCTGCCAAAGACTTTACTCACAAAGGGAGGTTTTTCTCCTCCGTCCGATACACCAAAGTAAGTCCACAAAGCCAAAGAATTGTCAAGTTCAGTCCATAATAAATCCAAGGAGGGCACATAACGAAGTTCCAGAAACGCAGTATGACTTGCTAGCTTTTCAGTTTTGTCTGTCACAAGGCCTTAATGGCCACCACACCCCCTTTTATCCCCTGTGGGGTGTGGTCCAGTGACTCAGCTTAATCTCTGGAACGCCTCTTTCTCTGCTGTGTGCGCTTATCTTTCTGACACTGTGGGGGATCCAGCCAAGACTCATCTCCGTCGCTGTCTAACTGCAGCTGTTCGGAAGTGCCTGGCTTCTGGCCTATCTCTTGGCCTTCGGAGGACACCTGAGGCATTGCCAGAGAGGAGGGTCTGGAAAGGGAGGCCTTGCCAACTCCTCTCCTTCACTTTCGAAGTCTTCTCCCTCTGATAATACGGGGTCGGGGGTCGGAGTCACAACAGTTTGTGGGGGCAATAAGCTGACTTTGTATAAATATACAAAAGTATGAAGGCTATTGCTTAATGCATTGTAAGCCGCCCTGAGTCTCCGGAGGAGGGCAGCATATAAATCAAATAAAAAACAACAACAAGGAATTATTTAGTGGGAAATATTTATCTTATTTATATTAGATCAAAAGTATAACCTGTATATTGTTCCATATAATTTTTCAGGTGATTGTTGGCTATTAGCAGCTATAGCATCTCTTACCCTCAATGAAAAAGTACTAGCCAGAGTTATACCACAAAATCAAGATTTTGGACCAGATTATGCTGGAATATTTCATTTTCAGGTAACCCCTCCACACACTCTTGCATGTTTAAATGAATAAATGAATGTTGAATATCCTGGGAGCTGGGAAATCCAGATGTTATTAAATTATAGATGTCAGCATCCCTTATATTTAATTCTACTTCTTGACATGGCTGGAAACTGTGATTCAGGCACATCTGGGAAACATATGAAGCTTCTGCCATTTTATTATTTTTGACAGGTCAGAATTTTAACACTCTTCTCTTTTAGATTTATTTTGCAATAGTTTCACTATCTGACAATATTTGTTGCCTACCTAGATTAGAAATCAAGCCTAGAATGAAATATATCTAATTATTTATTGGATTCATATCCTGCCTATCCTTCAAGACCTCAAGGTAGTCTACATAATGTTCCTTCCTCCCATTTTTCTCTACAGCACCAATCCTAGGAGATCAGTCAGATTGAGAAAAAAATAAATGGCCCACAGAGATTTCATGGCTGATGGGGACTAGAACCATTTTCCTGGGATGAACCCATGGCCACCACCTTCACTTTTTAAAATTTTGTCCCAAATGTGCTTTTTCAAGAGGCAAGTGGACGTTCTGGTTTTTTTTTTTTTTTTAATTTGATTTATATGCCGCCCTTCTCCGAAGACTCAGAGCGGCTTACAATGTGCTCAGCAATAGCCTTCATCCTTTTGTATATTTATACAAAGTCAGCTTATTGCCCCCACAACTGGCTCCTCATTTCACCTACCTTAGAAAGGATGGAAGGCTGAGTCAAGCTTGAGCCTTGGCGAGATTCGAACCCTGCAGTAATTGCAGGCAGCTGGTCTTAATAACCAGCTTAATAACAGGGTGCCTTAAACCCCTGTACTACCAAGGCTCTTTCTTTGAAGACGTTTCACTTCTCATCTAAGAAGCTTCTTCAGCTCTGACCAGATGGTGGGGAATGGAAGGAAGAAGAAGCTGAAGAAGTTTCATGGATAAGAAGTGAAACATCTTCAGAGAAAAAACAGAAAGTCCACTTGCCTCTTGAAAAAACACCTTTGGGACAACCATGACCTGGATGACTGAGAATCTCCATAGACATTTTAAAAATTTTGTTTCGTGAGCATAAATCTTGCAGCATGTTTTTAGATCATAAGCTTTTGTATCTATCAAATGCATGAATTTTGTTTTGAGAGCTAAGAGATGCTTGTGCTGCTGTCCTTTCTCGGTGCTGTTCCACCTCATCCATAAAATTAAAAGCTTCTCATAGCCTTCACTTCCAAGGCCTAAGGCAGTATTGGAACTTCCTGGTCCTACTTCAATTTTTCCCTGGCTTATTACCATTATTAAATGATTCTCTATCTGTCTTTACCGAGATAGTTTTGGCAATACAATGAATGGCTGGATGTTGTTATCGATGACCGCTTGCCCACTTTCAAAGACCGCTTGGTTTTTCTGCACTCAGCTGAACTCAATGAATTTTGGAGTGCATTGTTGGAAAAAGCCTATGCCAAGTATGTAGATAACTTGATCTTCATCTTCTATTTTGTTTCCACACTTGTCATGATTTATAGTCTTTGGACTTGCAATCCCAGTTTTATAAATATTGTATTATATGGATTTTGATCGTAGACTGAGTTGATCAAGCTTTGTTTGTTTATTTGTTTATCATTACTTTTGTATGCTGCACAAACTTAACTTTAAGTTTTTAAATTTTAAATTCAACTTGCTTTTTTTGTCATGGGCTAAAGTGAAATTTCAAATGAGTTTGAAAGTTCTCATCTACTGAAATAAGTAGAGCCAAGATATTTGAGAAATTTCAAGGGAAGCCAAACAAGTCATAGGAAAAGCTGCACAAAATGTCAGAGTTTTGCTAATCTTGAATTTGATTTACAACACTTTCTTCTAATGGTTTAAGTAGATGATATTTTGATATTTTTTTAATACCATGTAAGTCCTATAGATATTTCTGCATGTCATGAGCCACAACAGAAAATTCATATGGTACCTGAACATGTTTAAAGTAAGATGGACATGACCTCATTGTCTTTATGTATGTATATTTCTCTGACAATCTCAGGTTGAATGGAAGTTATGAAGCTCTAAAAGGAGGAAGTTCAATTGAAGCGATGGAAGACTTCACTGGAGGAGTTGGAGAAACATTTGAAGCTAAAAAGGCTCCAAAAAATTTCTATGAACTCTTACAGAGGGCACTTAAAAGAGGCTCACTGGTGGGCTGTTCTATTGATGTAAGTAGAAGTTTGAGTTTTTTGAGAGGATATTTCCTCAAGTTATTATGCCCCAAAGCAGGGGTAAAATCCAGCAGGTTCTGACAGGTTCTGGAGAACCAGTAGCGGACATTTTGTGTAGTTTGGAGAACTGGCAAATACCACCTCTGGCTAGTCCCAGAGTAGTGTGGGAATGGAGATTTTGCAGTATCCTTCCCCTGCCATGCCTACCAAGCCATGCCCACAGAACCGGTAGTAAAAAAAAATAAATTTCACCACTGCCCCAAAGCAACTGAATATATGATATGGAATAGGGCACAGAACAGGAATATGGTGTCCTCAAGTGGCTTTGGATAAGTCCAGTCAATTCCAGCCATTGTATGTAATATAAATTTTAGTTCAAAGCATGTGGGAAGCTTTAGATGGCTGCTTATGGAGTATATTATCAGGGAATGTTCCTAATATGTAGGAATTTGCTTTGGATTACTGTTATGGGACTTTCTCTTGAGCATGTGTCTTTGATTAATTGAGGGCCCGTTTGTAAAAAACAGCAGCCTTCACACATTTTTTTTTCTCTACATGATTCTTCCAAATTGTCAGCCAATAATTATCCTTTCCTAAAATGACATCCTCTGGAAAACATTGGGTTAGCAAATCAGCCCTAATGTTAAACAAGGCACCACTGGATAATGATGATGTAATTTTCAGCTTCTTTTCCCTATCCCTCTGGAGAATCTTTCCTAGAATTTCTCTTATTAAATCATGGAACTGAGGTGTGTATTCAGTTAATCCCTCCTGCTGAGCTGAACTAAAATTCTGAGCTGAACTGGATAAGCCATGACTTAATTTAGCCTGGAGGCCGTATTGTTTGTGCTCCAGATATTTTAAGAACCCAGTGGCAGAAACCCTTGATTTCTCTCAGGCTTTGCTTGGGAAGAAAGCTGAAAACTCAGTTTCTCAAGTTTCCACATAATTCTAAGTAGGAAATGTTTTTATGACAATGTAGAATCATGGCAAAATGTTAGCCAGATCACTGGCTGTTTTGTTCATTCCATATTTATTTTTCTAATATTAACTGAATCTAAATGTGAAAGTGTAAATAATTTAAACAATACACATTGTGCCCTACCATATTAGCATGTAGGAAGCCCTAGTTATTTTAGTGGGACTTATTGTATGAGCATTTGTAAGAGTAGTATACCACACGCTTTCAGTAAAAAGCCACATATGGTCTTTCAATTGCACACCAGGGAGCATGTGCCTCAAAGTAATGAGCAGGGTCAATCATTTTCATTCTTTTTGCCCTTACAGTGAATTAAAAATAACCATAGATACAGTACTGATTTTTCTTCAGATAACAATAAGCTATTTCCCAAGTAATCTACTTTTAAGGTGGACATGTCATCTTAAATTCATTAGAAAATATTAATGGAAGTAGCTGAGGCTTTTTCTGTCTAATCGTCCTTGTCCAGGTAATCTTACATTCAGATTTGTCTTTTTTTCAGATAAATACAATCATGTGAGTGCTCAGTGATCAAGAATTTAATCATTTCCCCCTTTCTATCACATGATTCAGTATAACCAAATTTGGTAGCCTCTGGGAATTGCACCCATGGCTTTGTGAGAAAATTTATTGACCCTTTCATCGATTGTTGCCTTATTATTGAACTGCAACCTTTTCTATTTCCCCTTCTCAATCCAATCCACTTATAAATTGATTCACAACAACCGCAGCTTATACCTTGCTCATCCTACAGGCAGCTCAGAATCATACCCTAAAACTTACACGGATCCTCTGAGGTAAGTGAGGTTCAGAGGGAGAAATGGGCTCTAGATCAGGGGTGTTAAACTCGATTTCATTGAAGGCCACATCAGTTGTGTTTGACCTTGGGAGACTGGGGTGGGCGTGGCCAGGGTGGGCATGGTCAGCTCAATGTCACTCGTATCAGGGGCACCTCTGGTGGCCCGAGTGCTTTGCCAGCAAAAGCGGGCTCCCTAGCTCCATTTTCGGCTACGATGGCCTCCTGCAACCCTCTGCCAGTGAAAATGGAGCTCAGGAGCCCGTTTTCGCTGGCAGAGGCACCGCAGGCTGATCCTTCGCTGTTTCCAGGATGGCCCCATGGGCCAGATCTAAGCACTCTGCAGACCGGAGCTGGCCCCATGGGCCTTGAGTTTAACACCCCTGCTTTAGATGGATTCAGAGTGGAACAGGGGTTTTCATTTCTCACAGCCAAGCATTGGAAATTGTTTGCAATAAGATCCTTCCATTAGTAGTCTCTTCTGCAGCTTCCTCTGTAGCCTCACAACCTGCTCTGAGGATTGGGAATTTTGCAAAACAAAATTGGGAATGGGAATGCTGCAGGAAAAATGAGAAAAGGGATAAGTGGAAGTCCGTAAGTGCAATGATGGATTTCAACTTGGGCACAGTGTGGTACTATAATTAATTTGTAAGTGTCCTTTTAACAACATAAGATGGTGGTGCTAACTATTTGTTCATATTGTATTCCAGAGGTTATCTTATTTCTAAGAGGTGCCATACATTCCTGCATATATTTACAAAAACAAGTATGATTTCAATAAAGCAAAAAGGTTGATTTTTTTAAAAAATTCCATTATTTAGATCAGCAATGCAGCTGAGTCGGAAGCTCGAACACCAGCTGGCCTCATAAAAGGTCATGCATACTCAGTAACTGGCATTGATGAGGTAAGCACCTTCCTATTATATTTCTCACCAGAAAATAGATGGCTAGAAAATAATCTAATAATCCCAATTAGATACCAGCTACCATATCTGAACTGCAGAAACCTACACCAGCACTAAATGGCAGCAAAGTAATTTAGAAAAACCTGTTGCTCTCTGGTGCCATCTTTTGCATCCCAGTATAGCAACCTTAGGGGCGCGGTGGCTCAGTGGCTAAAACGCTGAGCTTGTCGATCGAAAGGTCGGCAGTTCAGCGGTTCAAATCCCTAGTGCTGCGCAACAGGGTGAGCTCCCGTTACTTGTCCCAGCTTCTGCCAACCTAACAGTTTGAATGCATGTAAAAAATGCAAGTAGAAAAATAGGGACCACCTTTGGTGGGAAGGTAACAGCATTCCGTGCACCTTTGGCGTTTAGTCATGCCGGCCACATGATCACAGAGACGTCTTCGGACAGCGCTGGCTCTTCGGCTTTGAAATGGAGATGAGCACTGCCCCCTAGAGTCAGGAATGACTAGCACATATGTGTGTGGGGAACCTTTACCTTTACCCATGGCAACCTTAAACTCAATGGGAAGAAAATCAAGGTTTGGAAACAGAACTCACTTGCTAATTCCATTCTCAGGATCAGATGTGTTAGAATAGAAGATATTTTGTTGCACTGGTAAGATATGGCATCATGCTTATTAGAAAACAGATGGGGACAAGATTCTACTCCAGGCTATACCATAGTGCAGTTTGTAAAAGCAAGTGGCCTATACAGTCATTTAATGCAATGTTTTGAAGAGTTACAGGAACTGGGTAAATCTAATCTAATGAAAAGTAGGATTTAAGGGGGGACATGATAGCAGTGTTTCAACATTTGAATGTTTTCTACAAAGACAAGGGGGTCTAACTATTTTTCAAAGCACCAAAAAGCAAGACAAGAAACAACTTGGAAACTAACCAAGGAGAGAAGCAACCTAGAACTCAGGAGAAATTTCCTAACGGTGAGAGCAATTAACCAAGGGAATAGCTTGCCTCCAGAAATAGTGGATGCTCCATCACTGAAGGCTTCCAAAAAGGCTTCATTTGTCTGAAATGATATTATAGAGTCTCCTGCTTGAGCAGCAGGTTAAACCAGAAGACCTCAGAGATCCCCTATTATTCTATGTTCTAATTGCCACAACTTTAAGATGTGTGGACTCCAATATCCAGAATTCCCCATGCTAGCTGGGGAATTCTGGGAGTTGAAGTCCACACTTCTTGAATTTGGAGAAGTTGAGAAACACTGGTTTAATGCATCAGTCACTCCTGAGGTCTTCTGAGTAGTCAGAAGCAGCTTCTTATGTTCTTGTATGTTCTCACAACAGCAAGTCCTCAAATCAGCTCAACCTCCTGTCTTTCCATCTTATCCTGTTACCTCTTCTGCTCATGAGATTTGTCTCTGTGTGTGTGAGTGTGTGAGTGTGTGTATTTATACATCCGTGCGTATGCAGTGTGGAGTGAGTTACGTCGGCTTTTTTTCACTCGCACACTTCTTCATTTATTTTGAAGTGGAAATCTATTAATACGAGAGGAAATGCATCATAGCAATAAATGTCCTGTGGTTCTTTACTGCTCATTTAACAATGTACATCCAAAAGGTCAAACAGTTAAATGATGAATTAAAAGTGGCAATGTTAATCAGAAATTAATTTCATTATTGCCCATCAAATTGTATAAAAAAATATATGCATAGCCCAATCTGTTTATATGCCGTTCTGAAGCTGAGGTGACTATTAAAAACTACAGTTGACTTTCAAAACAGGTGAAATAGTTTATACAATAAGATTATCGTACTGTTTTTAGTAGATCTTATTTAAGTTAAGCAGTTGAAGTGCAGTTTTTTTTTTTAAATGGAGAGTTGTTTTAAATTTTTTCAGCCCTCACTGGCTTTGGTTCTTAATAGGTCAATTACCGAGGGCAAACAGTGAGGCTCATTCGAGTTCGGAATCCATGGGGTCAAGTGGAATGGAATGGTGCCTGGAGTGACAAGTAAGTATTTTCTGTTCAAGGGATTTATAATCATGTTAAAAAGAATACCCAGAAAACCAAATTATTAACTATGTAATCATCATACTCAAAAAAATGTTCCGTATTGCCACGGGTATAAAAATATCCCTCAGTTCATCGTTTAAATATTAAATATCCGAAATTCAGAAAAATAAGTTTAAAAACCTGTCAAAAGAATGGGATTTATTTATATTAGAAAAATAAGGAAACAAAGTAGTCCTTGGCTTACAACTATTCATTTAGCGGCTGCTTGAAGTTACAATGGCACTGGGGGGGAAAAGCGACTTACAACCAGTCCTTGCACTTCTGACCATCACAGCTTCCCCACGGTCATGTGATCGAAGTTTGGTTGCTTAGCAACCGGCATGTGTTTATGATGGTTGCAGCCTCCCAGGTGCATGTGATTGCCTTTTGTGACCCTCTGAGCCAACTTCTGACAAGTCAATGGGGGAAGCTGGATTCACTTAATAACTGTGTGATTCACTTAACAGTAATTTGCTTAACAACTATGACAAAAAGGTCATAAAATTGGCCGTGACTCACTTACCAATCTCCTTGCTTGGTAACAGAAATTCTGGTTCCAATTGTGATTTTACGTCCTGGATTACCAGTACATTTCCAGGGCCACCGTTTTTAGAAGAAACTAGTTTGAAAGTCCCTCATTTTGGATTGCACATGGATGTTATTCTTCCTTGTAGTAATTTGTCTTACTGTTTTGTTACCCTGTCTATTATTTTAATATTTTTATGGCAAGAAAGAAGAGCATGCCACTCAAAATCCTATCGTATTGAATTCTGTCAAATTATTAAATCAATCGATCGATTGAGGGAAAGACTGCATTTATGAGCGCATTTTCAATTGCAAGTAAAGATAGATCCATATGACCCCATTTCCACTTCCTGTAAATAAATTCAAAGTCACCGCCTGGGCAATTGCATAGAACAAGCAGGGGACAGTATGGAGAAATCAATGCTTGCCTTCTAGCAGATCATTAGAATGCAAAATATATCATTCACGTAGGCTCCACTCCAAGCTACTGAAAGTCTTAGGGCAACAAAGTCCTCTCAGGCAAAAAACAAAACAAAACAAAAAGGAAACACAAAAAAATGTAACCTGCGTTTTATCCATGTTTCTAGAACAGGGGTGTCAAACTCACATCGTCACAGCAGCTTCATGTGATGTATCAGGACTTTCTCCCCCTTCGTTAAACCGGGCATGGGCGTGGCCAGCGCATGACGCATCGGGCCCTTGGGCCAGGAGTTTGACAGCCCTGTTCTAGAACATATGTATATATTTTTGGCTGTTTGCAATTAATTTGATGATGATGATATTGATGATGAAGACGATGATCCTTTCTCTTGAAGCTCCTCTGAGTGGAATTCCCTCAGCCCATCAGAGAAACAACAGCTACATCATACAACATTAGACGATGGAGAATTCTGGTAAATGAAGCTTCTAATTGTAATCCTAAGTATATTAAAGCAAGTACGAATGTCCTTGTATTGACTAGTTCTTGTTTTAATTGAAAAATCCTTAAAACAATATTAGGTGTTTTTGTCATTATGAAACATTAAATGTTCATTTAATTCAAAATAATAGATACTATATTGCAGAGATATTCCATGAACATTGTTTATATCCCTTTAACATAGAGAGAGACAGACAGACAGAGAGGGAGGGAGGGAGAGAGAGATATAGGAGGGGGGCACTTGCAAAGTGTTGCTTCCAAGGGAGGCTATCAAGGGTTAAAAACATCCAGTACAAGAAAAATGACAAAATAATAATTACAGTAAAAGATATTATGCCAAAGATTAGATGTACAACTTATACTTACAGCAGACTAATGTAAATTCTGATTGCTATATTGGTGGAAAAATCAATCTTCAAAGAGGCATGGGGGTCAGCCAAACTTCAGCGGGGAGATGCAGGTTATTCCATAGGGCAAGTGCTACCAATAGATGAGACAAAGCTTCTAAGTCCCATAAAATGGCTTTGGTCATTGTGAACTGAAGAATATCAGCATTGTTGACTTGTATATGGTGGGGGAAGATGTAATCAAAGAAATAACCAGTACCTGTGCCATGAAAAGCTTTATGTGTGACCCAGAAGCCCACTGGTAACCAGTGCAGCTTTTAGAGTAGTGGTGTGGCATGGGCATAAACCAGTGGTGAAATCCAAATTTTTTTACTACCAGTTCTGTGGGTGTGGCTTGGTGGGCGTGGTGTGTCTTAGTGGCATGGCAGGGGAAGGATAGTGCAAAATCCCCATTCCCTCCCCACTCCTGGGGGAAGGATAGTGCAAAATCTCCATTCCCACCCCAATCTGGGGCCAGCCAGAGGTGGCATTTGCCGGTTCTCTGAACTACTCAAAATTTCCGCTACAGGTTCTCCAGAACCTGTCAGAACCTGCTGGATTTCACCCGTGGCATAAACACATAGCTAATTCCACTGTCACATTTTGGACCAACTAAAGCTTGACTGGTCTTCATGGGCAACTCCATGTAGAACACACTGCAAGAAGCCAGATGACAGGTTACCAAGGCATGGGTGACTATGAGTAGGGCCATCCAATCCAGGAATGGACATAATTGGGGTACAAAATGGATTTGTGCAAAGGTCCTCCTAGCCATAGTTACCGCCTGCTCTTCCAGCTAGCAAAACCCCCATATTGTATACCGAATCCTTCTGATGTAATGCAGTTCCATCCAGAAATGGGTAGACCCAGAACCCATAGCCTTTTGGTGTTCTAGGGCTGAGTCTAGGCTTGTTTGTCCCCACTCAGACTCCCACAGCCTCCAGACATTGTGTGATGGAGTATTAATAGACCTTTGGGACACAAAGTCAACTAAGGGAGAAAAAAACAGAGTTGTAACAAAAGAGATTCTTGAGCCCAGGAAAAGGTAGAAGCATAAGAAAGTGATTCAGAGTAATTCCATTTCACTAATGTTGGATATAAGGTAATTTTTCTGGCAGAGAAAGTTGCATTGTCCTATTAGTAATAAGAATATTTCCAGAAATTCATATGGTTCTTGTTTCTGAGTTTGTCTGAGTTCAGAATCACAGAACAACAACTTCTGGGTCATTCAAATTCGGAGGGATTAGATTTATACGTCTCTCCTCCCCAAACAGTGATTTGGTAATGGTATGTGGGAACGACCTTAGGTAGAGCAATAATAGTCAGATAAGAGGCAGCTTAGCCTGGAGAAGGAATGCAGGCATGGCAAACATCCCAGAAGGTTCCTTTCCTAGTTTCTGGGACTGTAAAGGTGACAAGGGAGAGAGATGTAGTTTCACACTTGAAAGATTCTGTTAATGTAATCTTGGAATAAAGTAGAATTATGTCATCTGGGCTTCTTCTTGAACTACCTTGCATCAGGGGTGAAATGCTACTGGTTCGGACCGGTTCAGCTGAACCGGTAGCGATGGCGGTGGGTGGTTCAGAGAACCAGTAGCAACGGCAGCACAAGGCTCTACCCACCTGCCCAGTCATTGTTACTTCCTGGTTTTAACCAGGAAGTAACCTGTTTTTTACCCTCTGTGCATGCACAGAAGGGTTTGCACGTGTGCAGAGGGTCCGCACGTGCGCAGCGTGTGCACTTCCAAACCGGTAGGGAAGGTAAGTAGATTTTACCCCTGCCTTGCATGCTTGAAAGACTTGAACTACCTCCCCCCAAAGAGGAGACCCACATCCAGTGGTGGGATTCTAATAATTTAACAACTGGTTCTCTGCCCTAATGATTTCTTTCAACAACCAGTTCACCAAACTGCTCAGAAAGTTAACAATCGGTTCTGCCGAAGTGGTGTGAACCGGCTGAATCCCACCACTGCCCACATCATGTCCCTGCCTCTTTAAGAGCTGGCGAACAGCACCTTCTCACTCAAGAATGAATTCACTACTACATGTTGTCACCTTCTGGAGGATCAGGGGGGGGTTTGGCATGGATCTAATAAACACGTGGTCCTACTCATAACTCCTGTCCCCGTCCTTAATATTTGCTGCCTCAAATGCTCTCAGGTAATCCATCCAGCTGAGGCCTTAGTCACTTTAACTGGACCTGCCCAGCTAAAATCCAACTCAGAGCAGAGACAGAGGCCTCCATAAGTACCAATAGAAGAAGAAACTCTTCTATTGTAGCTCAAAATTAAAGTGTGGAATCCTTGGTGCTCTCTGAGCTTGTTTGTTTGCTACAACCAAGCAAGCACAGCAAACAACCAAGGCCAGAGAGCCCCAGCAGACACCACATCCATAAGTCATTGCTACCATCTAGTGGTAGAAATCCTGATATGCGTCTGTAGGGGCCATAGCAATTCACAAATTTTTGCCCTGAAATACTTAAAATCACTCTAAAGAGCTGCAGCTAAATCATTGAATAAAAAAGTAGCTTGAATATGATTATTGACTGGTGTTCAAGTAATCCACAGAATTGTTTCTCTTTTTTGTCATGCATAGGATGAACTTTGAAGATTTTCTGTCTAATTTTGAGAAAGTTGAGATTTGTAACCTCACACCAGATGCTCTTGAAGACAATGCTGCTCATAAATGGGAAGTGTCCATTCACCAAGGCAGTTGGGTCAGAGGTGCCACTGCTGGAGGGTGCCGAAATTTCATAGGTTTGCACATTTGCTTTATCCCACTTGCATATTCTTCAGAGAAAGGCTGTGGCACTCCCTACAAGCCCTTTGTCCCAAAGGTGCTTTTTCAAAAGGCAGCTGGACTTCCTTGTTTTCTTTGAAGATATTTCGCTTCTCATCCAAGAAGCTTCTTCAGCTCTGGCTGGACGGTGGGGAATGGAAGGACCATCCAATCAGAGCTGAAGAAGCTTCTTGGATAAGAAGTGAAATGTCTTCAAAGAAAAACAAGAAAGTCCAGTTGTCTTTTGAAAAAGTTCCGTACCTTTGGGACAAGAATGACCTGGATGACTGAGAATCTCCATAGACATCTACAAGCCCTTGTTAATATCCCACAATTCCTCAAAGCCATTTGTTCGGAAATGGTGGATGACAGTTTTAGCAGATTTTTTGTTGTGAGCCATCTAGAATTCTTTAATACTGTACATCAGTGTTTCAAAATTTTATAAAAGAACAGTTCAATATAATAAGCAACTTAAGCAATGCAGAACCAAACTCAAATTTGGGCTCAGTTATTGGGGTATCCTGCAAGTTAGTTCTAACTGAAACTGCTTATGTAATTATTTCTAGATTTCTCTTGGGGCAAATTTAAAGAAAAATCATAGCTATGCCAGCAAACATTTCCTTGCTCGTAGCAGTTTTAAAAGGTATGCTGTGTGACCTGTAGCAGAATGGACAATGAGATACAATGGATTCTCTCTGCTTTTACCCCCTCCTCCCCTAATGCATTCCCCCAAATTTATTCTCATAATCAAGGAATGTATTCACTGAGTCTGGACAGAAACTAAAAATGTGCCTATTGTAAGAGGTACAGATTGAATGGAACATGAGCTTCTAGGGTTGAGCATAGTTCATTCACTTAATGGGCCATTTACTGGATCAGTTGCAGGATTTTTTTTTTTTTAAAATGCAACTGCCAACAAGCGGAGAACACAAACCTCTGGCAGCACAGAGCAGCTGGAGGGGGTATGTTTGGCACTGCAACCAAACAGAGATGAGGCTGCTATTAGAATGGAATGAAATGTTAAAGACCCTCTACTTGGAAGGGCTTAAGACGATTCCTTGACGTAGAGGCAACTTTCAATTGAAGTTAGATAATATCTTCACAGGAACAATGGAGCAGAAAAAAAGAACAGAATAAAGATGGCAGAAATAATTAAGCTAGATGGGAACAAATAAAAAAAGGCCTGGGAGTGGGAAGGAAGAGGACATTATCTGTCCTTGGGTGATGAGTAGCCTGCACTGGTGATGGGCCAGTATTCTGTTGTTGTGAAATAAACCACCTACAATCTCCTTTTTGCTGACTGATTTCAGAAACATTTTGGACCAATCCCCAGTTCAAGCTCCAACTGACAGAAAAAGATGAGGATCAAGATGAGTGCACGTTTGTAGCTGCCCTGATGCAGAAGAATCGTCGTAAACTCAGGAAACTCGGAGCTGCACTGCTAACAATAGGATATGCTATCTATGAGGTAATTCTATGGAGAACTCCCTGCTCCAACTTGGGCCCTTCCAGATATTACAGTCCTAGATTTTTCCTGAAATGTGCTGGCTGGAGAAATCTGGTCTACAATGTTTAACACTGTTTGAGCCCTCCCAGGCAGGTAAGGGTGGCCCCAAAATCTTTCCTTCCCTATTAGGTGTAGCTTAGAATCAAGCCACTCTATTTGTGGGCTTCGTTCTTTGCATTTCATACTTGCAAATGCTGATTTTGTCTCAACCTTAATGAAGCGGTCCCAAAGGTATTTTTCAAAAGACAACTGGACTTTTTGAACTGAAGAAGCTTCTTGGATGAGAACCAAAATTTCAAGGAAAAAAACCAAGAAAGTCCATTTGCCGTTTGGAGAAGCACCTTTGGGACAATCATGACATGGATGATTAAGAATCTCCATAGACACTTAACTGAAGTGAGTTCATAGATAAGATGGGTGTCCCCTCTGACTAACACTTTATTTCACCTAGCTGTGACCAGTAAAATAAAAGTGTGTGGTTCTACCATTTGAGGCTGCAATGGCTTTTTAAGGTCAAAATAATTCATGATCTGAGAGTAAATTGCATGCATCTTTGGTGTGCAATTTATTTAAGATTCAATGACATGTGGTCTAAAGCCCCTTTTGATTGTCTTATTTCTTAAAAATATAAAAGTGACAAATATCAGCAAACAACAAATTCCCAAAAAAATAATTAGGCAACAAATATTGGATTTCCATTTATAGAAGTTCCTATATTTAGTACTCTAATGCGGCACATGTAGTCAAAGTATAGCATGATCTATAAAGTGATGACTAAATGATGGGATGATAAATAAATATAGGAATTTAGAAACTGAACTCCAAAGTGCATGAAAATATTCTTCAACCAACGAAAAGAAAAGAAAAGAAAAGAAAAGAAAAGAAAAGAAAAGAAAAGAAAAGAAAAGAAAAGAAAAGAATGCCAGACATATCAGTCAAACTAAGAAATAGGAACCCTGGTGGCACAGTGGTTATAATGCAATATTGCAGGCTAACTCTGCTCACTGCCTGGAGTTCAATCCTGAAGGGGCTCAAGGTTGACTCAATCTTCCATCCTTGCAAGGTTGGTAAAATGAGGGCCCAGATTGTTGGGAGCAATATGCTGATGTTGCTGTAAATATGCTCAGAGAGTGCTGTAAAGCACTATAGAGCGGTATATAAATCTAAGTGCTATTGCTAAATAATCTGAACATTTAATTTCAGTGTCCCGATAAAGATGAACACTTGACAAAGGATTTTTTCCGCTACAATGCTTCCAAAGCCAGGAGCAAAACCTATATCAACTTAAGGGAAGTTTCTGATAGATTTGAGCTACCACCTGGCGATTACATCATTGTTCCAACTACATATGAGCCACAACAGGAGGCTGATTTCTGTCTAAGAGTTTTTTCTGAAAAGAGAGTAGTTACAAAGTAAGTATATCAAGGTTCTCACTCAACCACAGTACAAAAGTCCATTAGCGACTGATCGCCATTGAAAAGCTATAGAAATTAACATCTGAAGGCACTGAGAATAATTTGGCCACTCCAACTCCTAAGTGAAGGTGACTAATGCCGGTGTCAATTAAGTTTTACCTGCTTTTAAGATCTTGCTCCACTGCTCCAGAATGCAGGAGGATGAGCGCACAGTTGCACACATTCTCTGATGTAAAAAATATATAAATTTGTGAAATTATTGGAGAACAATCTTATTGTTACCAGGAAATTATCTTGGCATCTGCTGTTAACATTTCTTTTAATGTAGGCCATAACAGTTTCCTGATGTTGAATGTCACAATAGAAGCTTACAACTGCTTTTCTATTGTAACTAATCCTGATGATCTGATTTCTCTTATGAAATTCCAGTGGAAAATCGGATTTTTAAAAAGTGGATTCATGTTTTATAGGGAGATGGATGGAAATGTCAACATTGATTTGCCAGAGGTATGTCAGCAAAATTTAATTAAGGACCAAATCAATCATATTATTAAATAATTATTCTTTTCAAGTGTACAAGGGTGATAGAATGGGTGATAGAATCCCAAAGAACAACATAATCTATCGTAAAACATATGAATACACACTTTTTCTAAAATGGATCTCATTTGAAATATGGTAATACAAATTGTGATGATTTTTGTTTGTTTGTTTCTCCATCAATAATCTTTGGGTAATTTCAGGTTCCTGAGCCAACACAACCCCAACAAGAAACAGAAGAAGAAAAGCAATTCCGAGATTTGTTTAAGCAGATTTCAGGACCGGCAAGTCAACTAATAAAAATGATAGATCTTGTTAGAATTTTGGATGGTTTACTGGCAGAAAGTATGCTTTTCATGTAAAAACAGCCAGATTTAATCCTGGGCTAGTGAAAAACAAAGCAAAACAAAACACCTCTCTTAGCTTATCCACATCACCAGAACACATATTTCTCAGCAACCATATTTCTCTTCAAAATATGTCCTTAGCCTCCATCTCAACAGTAACCTGCTGTGGAGGCAAATTGAAGCTGATTTAACATTTCTAGCATAAAAATAGTGTTTCCTCTGCCATTGCAGCAATCCACATTTTTTGCAGACACTCTTGGACACATGGAAGAGGAAACCTCAACGATCAGCTATCCTCTAGGGCCATGATGGCAAACCTATGGCATGTGTGCCAGAGATGGCATGCAGTGCCCTCTCTGTGGCCACGCGAGCTCTAGCCCCAGTACAGCTCTGCCACTCATGTGTGCGTGCCTCCCACCAGCCAGCTGGTCTTCGGGTCTCTGCTGCACATGCGCGGGGGGCAGGGTGTGTGTGTGGGGCCATATGCACATGTGCGGTAGAGCACACACATGAACGGGGGCAGGGCACATGCACAAGGGCCACACGCACATTGCATTTTGGGGGTTCATGCATGTGCGTGCACCAGGGGTGGGTTCTAAAAATTTTTACTACTGGTTCTGTGGACATGGCTTATTTTGTGGGCGTGGCTTGGGGTAATGTGAATGGGTGGGTGTGGCCATTTTTTTTTTTTACTATTAAAAGCATTATTTCTACAACCTTAAGAGGTTGCAGAAAAAAATGATTTTAGAAGCTTCTGACAATCAGGCAAATCTGCTGGGATTGCCAGAAGCTTTTAAAGGGATTTATTTTCCTACAACCTCCTCAGATGAAGAGGTTGCAGGAAAACATGCTTTTAGAAGCTTCTGACGATCAGACAAATCTGCTGGGATCACCAGAGGCTTTTAAAAGGATTTTTTTTCCCTACAACCTCTTCGAAGGAAAAAATGTTTTCAGAAGCCTCTGAGGATCCCAGCTGAGCCACGCGATCATCAGAGGATTTTTTTTTAACTTTTAAAAGCATTTTTTCAGCCGAAGAGGTTGTAAAAAAAATGCTTTTAAAAGTTTTTTAAAAAGCCTCTGATGAGGTGGGCAGGGTAAGCGAGTGGCGACTGGGCTGGGGACCAGTTCGGGGGTGTGGCCAGCCAATGTTATTACCGGTTTTCCAAACTACTAAAATTTTTTATAACCGGTTCTTGTGAACCAGTGCAAACCAGGAGCAACCCACCATTGGCGTGCGCGCTTTAAGCACTTGGTCTGGAAAAGGTTAGCCATCACTGCTCTAGGGTCCAGATGACCATAAGACTGTCTCCTCTCCATCTGTTGTAGTCTGTTCTTCCATAGTAGTTTGTTTCATAGCTGCTAGGGAGGCTGGACACATTAAGTGTCCTAATCCAAAGTAGATTGCGATTGGCCCAAAGTACCAATGGGGAATGCTATCTCTGACCCAGACAATTCCACCCCAATAGGAAAATAAAGTGACAGTGACAACATTTGCTCATTACATAGAGACATGTGAAACTTTAGCAGGATGGATGCAGCCCAGTGAGATTCTCAATTCCTCAACATCTGGAAGAGCATGTTGTAGGTTCAGACAAAAAAAGAAAAAAGAAACCCTGAATATTGATATCCAATTAATGTCAGAGATGCTTGTTTCTAGTATATTAGCAAAACTCTAGATGCATTTTATTGCTATTGATATAATTAAATACAATTGTTCCATCATAGAGTTAAGCAAAGATAACGAAGTATAAGTATAACTTTATTGTCATTGTACGTATATACACAGTATAGCCATATATATAGGAAATTGATTTCCTATAGCGATTTAGTTCTCTCATTGTGCTGTTGTTTTTGTTTCTTTAAAGAGTATTTTATCTTTCAAATGATGAGCTCTTCCAAACAAAATAATAATTTTTAAATTGCATTGTAAACCCACAAAGGCTGATTTCCTTTATTTAACTGCAGGACATGGAGATCAGTGCAGAGGAACTTGAATATATCCTGAATGCTGTGTTGGAAAAAAGTAAGTGTCAACATGACCATAGCACTTCTAACCCAACTTGTGAACGGTCTCATGTCCCGTATAATGATGAATTGGGCAAATCTGCACACAACAGATTCAGTGAATACCTGGATTTACAGTCCATGCATAAGTAAGTCTGGCTGAGATCTGTCAGTTCAGTCTTTCATAAAAACTGGATAAAAACAGGATTAAAAACTGATGTGATATTCAAGGAAGGAGTCATGTAAGGTTCTTCTTGCTAAATATTTGCCGTAGACATACAGTCTAGCAGATGGAACATTTCATCAGTCTGGGCCCAGTCCTCTTGGTTACTTACAGACTGTCAATGTCTCTCTACAACCATATAAGGCTTACCAATTTGTGTGCTTGAATTTTATCTTTCTTTGTCTTTTTTTTTAATGATTCTTTTAAAAAGAGAATACAGTAGCAGCCAAAATTGTGGAAAACTTTTGGGAAAAGTGTATTTTCTAAAACTAGCTAATAACACCACCTTTTTTTGGAGTAGTACCATAAAATTATATATCAATGGAAAGATAATTTAATTAAGAATGTAATGCAATAACCTTTATGAAGGATTTGCTATTAGAATAGCAGTTACAGTATAAAGAAGAAAAGTGAAACACATAGAAAACATGAGATGTACAAAAATTATCACCATGTCAGTTAATAGTTGGGTAACCTTTAGCATACGGCTTTACAATGTATTCCCATGGAGTGAACCAAGTCTTTTAGTTCTGCAGCTGTTATAATGTGAAACCAAGATTGAATGATTGCTTCTATTAACTGAGTTTTATTGCTGAGTCGCGTCTAACTAACAAGTTTCTTTAGTCGGTTCCATAGATTTTCAATTGGGTTAAGGTCTGGGCTATTCCCAGGCCATTCCAGCAGTGGAATATGATTTTCTTGAAACTCCAAAAAAAAAAAAAAAAAAAAGTAGTGTTATTAGCCATCAAACCTCAAAAATACATTTTTCCCAAAAGGTTTCCACAATTTTGGCCATTACTGTAGCTTAAGGAATCTGGCAGAGTCCCTGTGAGTTCATGATGACACATAAAGAGGGTGATCACCATTAATCCATAATTTTTATGACAAACTTGACCATAATGAAAGGAGGCTATGTTTTTGGACCAAATATTCTGACAGCAGAACCAGAATATCTACCATGGTCTAATGACAATTTATCCACTTTCACCCAAGCAACACTACATTAAGCATAAATACAGAACAGATGTGTAAATGCTATTAGTGATTAGTATTATCAACAAAGCAATATAATGGCAGGATCGGGACAAAAAATGTTCCAATCAGATTGGAAATATGCATCCTGGTTCAAATAATTAGTAGAACTTAATTCTAGCAGGGAATTGTACAGAGATTAATGTCCAAAAATAGTTAAATAGAGCTGACATTGTAATGAATACTTGATCATTTTCTGTGTTGTGTGTTCTCCTGTATTGGAAGGATAGAAGCTATCATATTTCAGTTTTACATCAGGACATTTCCCTGGGGAGGAAAAATAAAATATTCACAGTTGTGCTGTTGAACTTTGAGATGAAATTGTTGGAGACAGAGAATTTGTTTTTATATGCTATGCTGCTGATTTTTTCCCCCACCAGACAAGATCAAGTTCAAAAAAATAAGCTGCCTGTCATGTAAAAATATCATTTCCTTAATGGCTGTATCCTTTGAAATAAGCATGAAGAATTGTTTGAGTGAATGTGATGAAAATGCTACAATCACCTCTAAGAGACTTTGCCATCTCAAATATAAAATATATGTCAGATATTGAAGAAAGACAAAATGACGTTTTAGGACTTTTGAGTATTCACTATCATAATATGCACATGAATCAGGAGTCTGGAGACTCTAGAAAGAGTGCAGAGAAAAGCAACAAAGATGGTTAGGACTGGAGGCTAAAAAAAATGAACAATGGTTGCAGGAACTGGGTATGTCTAGGTTAATGAAAAGAAGGACTAGAGGAAACATGATAGCAGTGTTCCAATATCTCAGGGGCTGCCACAAAGAAGAGGGAGTCAAACTATTCTCCAAAGCACCTGAGGGCAGGCAAGAAGCAATGGGTGGAAACCAGGGGTGGGTTACCTTTACTACCGGTTCGCAACAGGATGACGACATCCGGGGTGGTAGGCGGGGCCTCCCGCCGGTTTTACTACCGGTTCTTGTGAAGCGGTCCAAACTGGGGGCAACCCACCATTGATGGAAACTAATCAAGGAGAGAAGCAACTTAGAACTAAGGAGAAATTTCCTGACAGTTAGAACAATTAGTCAGTGGAACAACTTGCCTTCAGAAGTTGTGAATGTTCCAACACTGGACGTTTTTAAGAACATATTGGATAACCATTTGTCTGAAGTGGTGTAGGGTTTCCTGCCTAAGCAGGTGGTTGGACTAGAAGTCCCCCAAGGTCCCTTCCAACTCTGTTATTCTGTTAATCACAGCTAGTGACAAACTACAGATCACTTGTGAAATTATGATCAAGGAAGGTGGAACCAGCAGTTTTCATCCAAAGTATTTTATTTAGTTGCATCATGGGCCTTTATTCTTTCACTAGTCCCAAAGACAATCTTCCATTTCCTCTCTAAATCGTCTTTAAAGGTTTCCAGATTTTCTGGAATAGATTTAGAAGATGATGCAGAGGAGAAGGAGTCAATTCCACCAGTACTATTTGGTGAATGGACATAGCTAGATATAAGCACCTTTTCTGAACACAGACCTAGCTCCCTCCTCCCTAAGTATAGGTTATCAAAGTCAGTAGATAATATTTTACAGTAAAGTACATACCAGTGGTGGGTTGCCCCCAGTTCGGACCAGTTCTATAGAACTGGTAGTAAAACTGGTGGAAGGCTCCGCCCACTGACCCTGACGTCATCAGAAGCGATCTGTGCATGCGCAGAAGCAAGGCATGTGTGTGAGCAAAGCAAGCATGCGCATGTGCGCAATCCCATTGCGAACCGGTAGTAAAGGTAAGTAGAACCCACCCCTGGTACATACCATACACAGATACATATTCATCATTCTATTTTGTTTTCTTTCATGGTCAGCCATATTCAGTATATAGTATGGAAAAGGGGAAGGAAGCAGTCAGCCAAAAAATAAAGAACATAAGGGAAAGCAGAGTGTGTTTCAATAGATTCCAAGGCTCTTGAGACAAATAACAGATTTAAGATGGTGGAAGAACAAGAGAAAATGTTGGGCAGATGTTTTGGGTTCAACAAGCTCCCAAACTCTTACTTTCTTTGAGCTCCTGAGTCATGGCATGAGAGTCTCAGCATTTCCTTCTGCCTAAGTTGGCCTTGTCTAGTCATAGCCTATTGCACTCCATTGTATAGGGCAGTGATGGCTAACCTTTTTGCCGTCGCATGCGAAAAGTGGGGGGAGTGTGAGGATATCACGTGCACGCGTGCCCACACCCATACTTCAATGCTCCCCCTTGCACATGCGCACGTGACTCCCTCGCGCGACCCCCATTTTTGGCATGCAATGGCATGGTGGGACCGGAAAGCCCATTTTTCGCCCTCCCCAGGCTCCAGAGGCTTTCTAGGAGCCTGGGGAGGGTGAAAACGGCCTTCCTCACACACACACCCAGAGGCTGGAAACAGCCTATTTCCTGACTTCCTATAGGCCTGGAAGGCCCGAAAATCAGTTGGCCGGCGCGCTGGAGCTGAGCTAGGGCAATGCTCGTGTGCCCACCAATATAGCTCTGTGTGCCACCGGTGGCACGCATGCCATAGGTTCACCATCATGGGTATAGGACATTTCTTGAATCCAGACTTGGGAGCAACACCTCGAATTTAATCCAATGTTTCTCTGTGGTAGAGCATTGACTTTGGCAAAGAGACTAGAAAGATGATTCTACAGGTATAGTCTTTGATATAAAAGAACAGCTTTTGGAAACAGCCTATTAATTCAACAGGTTTAATTTGTATAAAATAAAACTATTCATGGAATAGGACACTGAGATTTTATATGAGATTCAATCTGCCATTACTGTTTTCCTTAATGGGAACTGCATCAGTCCAGCGGGAATGGAAAACTGGAATTCAACGAATTCAAAATTTTCTGGGACAAACTGAAAAAGTGGATTGTAAGTCGATGCACACTCAACTGATGCTACTGTTTTACTTTTGGAAGGTATTTTAGAGCAGAAACGATTAACAACCATTACATCTATAATTTAGTGAGAATGTTCTAAAAGAAGACAATCATTCTACAAAATAGTGTTTCTTTTCTGTTATTCATACCACTTGCAGAAACATTAACAGTACTTTTGACTAAATTAAAAAAAAAATCTATTTTTGAAATAATAAATGCCAGGAATGTTCCTCTGGATGAGGACAAGTGAAATAACTCTTGTTGTTGACACATTGTAAAAAAAAAAAAATCTGCTGATTCATGAGCAAAAACTTGCTTAATGGCTCAATTTACATTGGTGATTTTGATGCCTGTCTCCTCCAATTATCAACAAATGTAATTTGAAATGGCCCATTAGATCCACAGGAACATTAACCCTAAAATCTAAAGGAAGATTTGAATGCTTTCTCACAATTCCTAAAATAAGTTACCACGATAAATCATTATTTTTCTCTTTTAACTCCAGGCATGTTTTTAAGGCAATTGCAATAATTGGGTTCCTATTACATCCCTGTTGACTGAATATGTGTTGTCTGCTAATCATCAATTTTTACTCCAGATTCAATCAAAGCAACAGAATTTTGGGGTTAAATACTGTATGCAGTTGGCTTGTTATACCATATTATTCCAATCTAAATTAATATTCGTAGCTAAATGCATAATGCAGGATGAGAACAAGGTCTGTTTGCTTTTCCAAGGGATGTTTGCACGGTGTTTGTAGTTCTATTGCTTCTTTATATGTATCGCATACTATATGGGCTAACAGCTGTCACTGTGAAGTATTATTTTTTTAACCTCCTTGCATAGGCTCCCTCTCTTCCCCAAATTCCTTGGTCTTCCTCTGTTCCTTCCCTGAGCTGCACCAGGAAAATTTTCCATTGCCTGACATTACTCATTGTACTCATCATTTTTGTTAGCAAACATATGTGTGTGCACTTTTAAGGGTGCCCAGGCTCCTGACAGCCACACAGACAAGTCCAGGCAGTTTTTAGGCAACACTTTCTAGAAATGTTTTGCACTGGTCTTCTTCCTACAGCTGAGAGAGAGTCCAAACTGGCCCAAATTCTCTTAGCTGACTTCGTGCCTTAACCTCTACATCAAACTTACTCTCATTAACAAGCGCTGGATTCCAAATATATATAAATCATAACTGTTTTTGAATGTTGCCCGTTCTTTAAAACTAATACATTATCCACGGATGTAATCAAATAATGCAGGATGTAAGAATATTGATTAAGAAAATAGAAGAAAGTACAAAGAATCCATATTATCCTGAGTCATTATGAGCTGGTTCATTGAACTTCATGTACTGAAAATGGGCACTTAGAGAAAAAACAGATAGTGATTGACTATACAAAATTAGAGGCTAGAGGCACTGTATCTAAATATATTCTTGCTTTTAGAAATCTGATTCCATACTTCTGCTTATTATTTCTGAAACTAGATTCACCAATTCTATGTGTGTTTGAAAATTTAAAACAATTTTTAAAAAGTTACAATGGCCATAATGTAAGTATTTGCCCATTCTGCAGATAATCGCTATAGTTTATTATTAAGTGTAATGCTAAATAGAAATCCAATACTAGATATTTTTATCTAACAGTTTGCATATTCATATATTCTTATAAAGAGCAATTCAGACCAACTTGCAAGAACTAGCAAAAAAATTACTTTTGTAGACAGAGAGCCATATTTATTCAAAAATCTGAAAGAATTTGGTTGTGTGTTTTTCAGAGTAACACATTTTATTAAAATGCTAAAGTTTTGCTTTTGTTCACAATTTTCTTCAAAAGAAAATCTCCTTGCCTCAATAATTCATTTAATTTATTCCAACCATGCTTATTATTTGCTGTCAATTTTTCTCTCTTTGATTCAGAGCATCTACCTTCACTTTGATTCTGATCAGTCTGGCACAATGTCTTCCCATGAACTTCGTCTTGCTTTAAAAGCAGCAGGTACCAATTTTTCTGACTGGCTTTTGCAATATGTGACCATTTTGGACAATTTAGGACAATACCTTGTACAAGGAAAAGAAGGTTGTGAGGTCAAGTGTTTCAAGATTGCTCTCCCTAAGGCAGAATTTGCATCAAGCCCACTTTCTTTACTAAGACACAGCTAATCACTGTTTGAGACATATAGTAAAATAATAAAGCCCAAATCTGCTATTTTATACCAATTCATGCTGCTGTCACTGCCAGAGAAGTAAGCAGAGCAGTCGCCTATATTTTATTTATCATATGTAGTACATTTTTATTAAAATCAAATGTCTGGATATAGTATTATAGGAGAAGTGTAAGGTCACTGTGCCATTTCAGATTGTTTTATGAAAACGAAGACTTTGGACAACTATGTAGTAAAATTGGTTCTAAAATACTGCTTGTGTGTGCCATATACAGCATAAGACCCACTCTGGTGCTCAAACATGAGAATATTTACTTATTTCATTTTTATCCCACCTTTATTATTTATAAGTGCCTCAAGGTGGCAAATATACATTACATAGTACTCCATCCTCCTCCTATTTATCAAGTTGCTAGTTCAAAATGAAGGAGAATCTACAACAGGAGTATGCCAATGAATAAATCATATGATGTGTAAGTGAACCAAATATCTAAGTATCTGAATAAAGGGCTAGTGCAGTTGGCTGCCATACATTAATTAAGTCTGAAATCGTTTAATAAAGTTTCTGCATTTTCAAACATAGAAACTTATGTGCAATGATATTAAGTTGTGAGACTTGCTTTAGAAGAAAGGTATTAACTTTAGCCATCTGCTGAGGTCCCTGAAGGCAATTTAACTGGACTATAATTCCCATTAAAGGTATGGCATAAGACCAAACATTTTTACTTTTTACTTCTTCCCCTCTTCTTTTCTGTCCTGAATCTCCTCTCCTTCAGCTGCATTGGCAAACCCCAATGTTTAAGTGTTGTACCTTATGATTCTTGATGAATGTATCTTATCCTTTTATGAGAGCATATGCACCAAGACAAATTCCTTGTGTGTCCAATCACACTTGGCTAATAAAGAATTCTATTCTATTCTATTCTATTCTATTCTATTCTATTCTATTCTATTCTATTCTATTCTACTCTACTCTACTCTACTCTACGTAGTCACAGATGGAGTGAAGTTGTCCAACTGACACATGGATTCCAATGGAATGAGTAGGGCAATTTCCCCACCAGGCTTCAGTCATCCTGTGCATCGTTCTCTAGAAGAGATGCAAAGGTGGAAGACGAAGTTAATTACTGTACTACTAGATTATAACACACATACATATGTTGATGCAGTAAAGCATTCTGCATTTGCCATTTTAATAACCATTCCTATAACCTGGAGAACATCTCTCAGAGCTTATTACAGCCAACAAATGGAATCTACATCAACTCCAATGGGGTACATCCATCTGGAAGGCTATTTCTGCCATTGCTATAAAACCCATAATTTTAAGTTTTGACATCTTGAGAAAAAAAAATATCAATCTGCAGTGGCCTGATTAAGTTTGAAGGGACAAGATGGCGACTTTTCCACATCCCTTTACTATGTATTTCACAAATGCATCTACCCCTGTAAGTGATGCAAAGAAAAATAAAAAGACTACATAGTTGAATGCAGCTCCAATTTGAGAAGTCACCCTATCTGGTGGAGATTAGAAGAGAAGGAGTACCTTCAGTTCAACTATCCATTTCAGACTTGGGCTTTAAGAAGTCTGGAATAAGGTCAATTATTTTGGACATATTTCTGATCCAGCAATGAGCAGGTTATTGAACAGGTCGCACAACAGGGGAGGATGGTGAAAAGTATAGAGGAGCTTCTTCCTTTCTCTCTCTCTTCTCAAAATAATATATTTGTGTATATGTATCATTCTCCCCAGGATCATACTCTGTGCCAGTATTTCTCAACCTTGGTGGCTTTTAGTTGTGTGGATTTCAATTCCCAGAATTCTCCAGCCTGGTGGCCAAGGGAAACTGGGAGCTGAGTCCACACAACTGAAAAGTGCCAAGGGTGAGAAACATGGCTCCATGCATTAAGTGAGATTAAAAGATATGTGTAACCTGAGTGCCTTGCTAGGAATTGGTCTGTATCAGTGGTGGGTTGTTCCTGGTTCAGACCAGTTTGCAAGAACCGGTAGTAAAACTGGCGGGAGGCTCTGCCCACTGACTTGGATGTCATCATAGGTGATCTGCGCATGCGCGGGTACGATACAAACCGGTAGTAAAGGTAAGTAGAACCCACCCCTGTATCACTGACTTATAAGACCCAAAATATGTTTTAAAGATAAAAACCATTTTTCTCAGATTGCCAAACTTTGCATGGATTATGACAATATCATTTAAAAGAACGTTTTCAAATTACTGGATTGAAGATTAGCCAAAAAAATGTTTAAAACCCTCATATTTACCTTTCTTTAAGGATTGCAGCTCAATAATCATCTGCTGCAGCTGATTGTATTAAGGTATTCAGATGATCAGCAACAGATTGAATTTGATGACTTCTTAAACTGCCTAATTCGCTTGGAAAATGCAAGCAGTGAGTATCTCTTCATAGTGCCATTTGTTTCCTTACTGAGTGCATTTTTATCAGCAGTAATATGTGATGCACCATGAACGATCATTCCAGTTATTTTAACTTCATTCATAATTTGGTTTTGAATGAATTAAATCCTATAAAAAAAACAATCTTTTTATTTAAATAAATGTATATAGAAATTTTGTGTACAGAATAAAAACTAACAAGAACTACTAATATTTACATTGAAAGAAAGCGGAAAAAGAAAAAGATAAAAGTAGAGAAATCAAAGAAAAGAAAAAAAAGATTCTAAAGAAATTTCTCCCAATTTTATTTTACAGCAGTTTTAAGTATAAATATAAGTTAGCCTCTTTGGTCACAGCATCATTTACATTTTCTCTATAATCTATTATTTTTATTCTAATCCTTTCAAACAATTTATCATGACCGCATTTTTTTTCTTTTCCCCACAAAAAAATCAATCAGAGTTTGAATCAGTTAAATCCTAACAATGGATAATCTTCCACATGTTTTCTCAGAAATAAGTCCTCTTGCATTTTTTGGGACCTAATTAAAAATTTAAGATAGTTATACAAAATAAGGAAATCAATTCTGTAAATTTAGAACGAATATATTTAAGGAACTATCTATAGGATTATAGCTTTGATGGTCTACATATATGGAATACAAGTTAGAAACCATATACTCATTGTGCAGGTCATGTGATTTCATATCCACATGAAATCATTTCATGAAAGGCAGAATTCTACAGAACCATCTACAGAATGTTTACAAAATTAGTAATAGAAACCTGATGAATGGTGATATGACATGTCATCAGTGGTGGGTTGCCCCCGGTTTGCACCGGTTCTATAGAACTGGTAGTAAAACCAGCGGGAGGCTCCGCCCACTGACCCTCACATCATCAAAACGCTTCTGCGCATGCCCCGCTGCAAACCGGTAGTAAAGGTAAGTAGAACCCACCCTTGCATGTCATTCCTAAATTCTGAAAAGTCCCAGTGGTAAATATTTGAAAATCCTGACATTAATCAAGGTAACTCAAAGTCATGTTAGGTTGTTTCAAAAATATCCAAATGTCACCTTCATTTTTGTCACTAAACATAAAGAACATTTATCTGGCATAAATAAATGTCTGAAATAATCTTCAATTTTGCAGACATCATCGAAGTTTCCCACTGGGACTTCTGGAATCTTACCTATTAATATTAACATTTGCTTTAAGTTTGACATTTTATTGAAAAAGAGGTTTTGAATATTTCAGTGGCTGAAAATAACACTAAAATTCTTCTTGCAGGAGTATTCCAGGCATTATGTGTGGAAAACAGAGATTTCATTAACCTCCATATAAATGAGGTAACAAAAGCAAAACATTGTCAGTAGAGATAGTTTGAGGATAGGATTTTTCATTTTTCTTTTGTCTCTTCTACTTTCCTCAATTCCCTTTTTACTGGAATGTTATACTGGGGACATAATGGAGCTAAATGAAGAGGTGACTTCCTTTCAGATGGTTCCTTAAGATGGTTCTTCATGTCTTGCTATGTTATTGTGCATTCGTTCAATTCTTGAGGTCGCTTAAAAGCAGGGTCACATAAAATGCCTCCGAGACTGAGCTACAATCTGCCTCCACAATGCAGACATGAAATGGTATTGTCTACATAACTATATTGTGGACACTGTAAGCACAGTGATTAGTGGAATTTCCAACTTATTTTTCTCTTCTCATTCTGTCTCAATTACCAACCTACCAGTCATTCTTAATACATTGAGGAGGAAGGGGCAAGTGGTCTCTAGTCTTTGTTTCTATAGTATATGGGATTAAATTTGGAGGTAAATTTATTTATTTGTTTGGTTAGTTAGTTAGTTAGTTAGTTAGTTAGTTAGTTAGTTAGTTAGTTAAACATGTACAATAAAACAGGTATAAGTATAAACATGGACATGGACACAGGAAGCGAGTACGAATAAATGGGGACAGTAGGACAGGGACGGTAGGCACACTCGTGCACTTATGCATGCCCCGTTACAGACCTCTTAGGAATGGGGTGCGGTCCACAGTAGACAGTTTAAGGTTAAAGTTTTGGGTGTTTGAGGATGTAACAACAGGAAGTGCAATCCAGGGATTGACAACTCTGTTTGTTCTGTCCGCAACCCCACGCACACACACCAACAGACGTTCAGGAGTTAAAGACCAAACCAGCCGGCAAAATCCTTTTCCTTATGATAACAGAACTTGGCAACAACCTAGTGGCTGCCTGCCAAGAGTTTATTATTTACAAAGAGGAGAGATAACTTCTCCCCACTTCTGATACATCAAAGGAAAGCAGCTCAATAATTACGGAATTAATCAAGTCCAGAGATACTCCAGCAAAGTCTTAAAGCAAAAGTCTGGCAATGCAGAATGGCATGGAAGCTTTCAGCTTTGTTCGTCACAAGGTTTGACTGGCCACCACGCTCCCTTTTATATCCTGTGGGGTGTGGTCTAGTGACTCAGCCTAATCTCAGGCATGCCCTTTCTTCTGTTGCGCGCGCTTATCTCTGTGACACTGGCGTGGGTCCAGCCAAGACTCATTACCCTCATCACTGTCCATCTGTGGCTGCGTGGACGTGCTTGGCCCTGGCCCTATCTCTTGCCCTTCGGCGGACACCGAAGGCATTGCCAGAGAGGAGGGTCCTGGAGAGGAAGGCCTTGCCAACTCCTCCCCTTCACTCTCAGAGTCCTCTCCTGACGATGACACAGGCTCCGGTAACGGAGCCAAAACACTGTTGCTGAAGTCGTATTTTCTGCAATCGAGTTTGGAGCGGTTTACCTTGAGTTTGTATCTATTGTTTGCCCGTGTATTATTGCAGTTGAAGCTGAAGTAGTCATTGACAGGGAGGACATTGTAGCAGACAATTTTGTGTACTACGCTTAGGTCAGACCGTAGTTCTAGGTTGTCCAAGCCCAAAATTTCAAGCCTGGTGGCATAATTCTATTGTGAGCAGAGGAGTGGAGTACTCTTCTCATGAAATACCTCTGGACTCGCTCAATTGTATTAATGTCCGATATACAGTGTGGATTCCAGGCAGATGAGATATATTAGAGAATTGGTCTGGTAAAGATTTTTTATGCTCTAGTTTGTAGTACATTGTTACCAGAGAAGAAGCTTCGCAAGATTAGGTTAACAATTCTTAATGCCTTTTTGGCAATGCTGTTACAGTGAGTGCTGGGGCTCAGATGGTTTGAGATGAGTACTCCTGGGTCCTTGGTAGAGTGAGGGTCGTCTCTGAGGTTGTATCCGCCCAGCTTGTATTTGGTGTTCTGATTTTTGTTGCCAATGTGTAAGACAGAACATTTGTTGGTTGAGATTTGAAGTTGCCAATTGTTCGACCATTCTTACACATAGTCAAGGTCGCTTTGTAGGGCAGCAGTATTGTCGGTGGTGTTAAATAGTTTTACATCATCAGCGAAGAGGACGCAGCTGCTTATAATATGATTGCAAGACTGATTCCCTCAGTCTGTGCTGAGCTTGAGGAATGGATGACAGGCAGCAAAATCCCCCTCTCCATTTTCTTCCCGTTTGCCAAAAAGCCTCCTGTTCACCTCCCAAAAAGAGGGAAAAAGTAAAGCAGCTGGCTGTGGAGCTGCCAGCTTCAGGGAAGTAGCCCAACAAGCAGAAGTGCTGCACCCAGAAAGAGAAGGGCAAAAGCGGTATTTACGCTGCCCCAAGGGGCCAGAGGGCTGCAGCTGCAGCCAGATGGTTGCCCCAACCCCCTGTGCCCACACTGCCACTCGTGCTGGCCACACCCATCCTTCCCAGGCTTATTTTCGGGGTAGGGGTAATAATAGGCCCAAATTAGGAGTTGGTCATGTTTTCGGAGAAACACGGTATCTATTTGGTCATGATGTTTTTGGACTAACCTTAGGCATGTTGCAGAATCCAATCTGGCTCAGTCATCGGGACCAGAGGTTTTTGTCTTCCAAGTTGGAGCCCATCCTCAGGAAACCTGTCTATGTGCTGTGGGCTGTTCTGTGTATGGTATTTATATGGCCAGAATATAATTTTGAGACAGAGCACTAACTTATTTCTCTATTCAGATACAGAATACTTTGCATAACAATAGTGCTTCTCATGAATAGACATTCACAGATGTCCCCTTTTCAAAATATGAACAGGCAGAAAGTTTCCAGTTCCTGATAAAGTGGAAGGTATCGAATATAACATTTGGGTTTTTCTTTCTCTCTCTCTTCTCATTAGTTTATCAATTTGACTATGAACATCTGAAGGCCTTGAACACGGAATTCAGCCAGTTTCCCAACATGTTTCTGAATTGAACTGAGTTCACATTTTCCCCTATCACTGAAAATTACAAGGAATGTTTGTATTGTCAATTTTCTTATAATCACCTATTGTGAATATGTGGTTTTAGAACTCAAATGCAAATAAGTATTTTCTAGATTTAAAGTCCTATTATTTCAGCCAGCACAGGATAATGGAAAGATAATAGGATCTGAAGACCTAAACATCTGGAGGGCAGTAAACTGAGGACGTTGCATTAACATCTCTTTGTATATGAATATATTGCACGAATACATGCTGTAACGAATTACTGTTTAGATGACATAAATGAATAGCCCTAAGCAATTATTGTCTTTTGATTTAACGTAATTATGTTGGTTCCCAATAAACATTTTGTTTCTATTTATTTGTCTCCAGCTAGTCTTTAAAATCATCTAAATTTGGGCCAATTTCTCATATGATTGCATTGCCAGAGATTTCCACAGTTTATGCATACTACAAAGATGTGCATCTTTTCATTGGTTTTTCATCTTGCTTCATTTAACTTCTGTAGATGACCCCTGAGTTCTGAGAGAGGTCCTTAATTCCAGAAATATTAAATGTTGCATTTTGTACATCTGGAGCTCTTCAGCTCATCTGCTGTTACTCATCATTTCAGCCCCAGTGGCTTTGCTGTTCCTTTTCCTAAACAGATCAAGAATCTCCATCTGGCGCTGCTAGATGTTTTGTTTCTTTATGGAGATCATAAACCAACCTTGTTTGACTCCACATCTATGTAGCAAGAGCATTAAAAGTTCAGTGCAATCATTCAGGTTTCCCTGCACTCCATCCGGATGAAGAATGCAAGTCCAATCGTACATTCAATTGTACATTCAATTTGTGGAGAGAGGAACATCTTCTCTCAATATTCAGGTTCCAGACCTTTCTCCTTTCTAGAGTTCTATTGTAATTATAGCTTAGCAATAAAAAGGAATTACCTGACTCTGTAATACAGGTAGTCCTCGACTTACAACAGTTCATTTAGTGACCATTCAAAGTTAGTGAAAAAAGTGACTCGTGACTTTTTATAAGTTTTTTCACACTTACAGTGCATTCAGAAAATATTCAGACCAGTGGTGGAATTCAATTTTTTTTTACTGGCATTTGCCAGTTCTCTGAACTACTCAAAATTTCTGCTACTGGTTCTCCAAAACCTGTCAGAACCTGCTGGATTTCACCCGATTCAGACCCCCTTCACTTTTGTCAATTTTGTTATGCTACAGCCTGATTCTACAGTTGTTGAAATCCATTTTTTCCCCTCATTAATCTACTTTCAGTACGGGAGCGATGCGAACCGGTAGTAAAGGTAAGTAGAACGCATCCCTGGTGAGATGATTATACTGACACTGTTGTGCCACTGTTGTTGCCTTAGAAAGGCAACATTCTGTTTGAAGTTGAGAAAAATCCTCCAAATAATCAGGTATTAGCAAAAATTTCACAGATTTGAATCAATACGAGCCAAGAATATTTAATAAGGAATAAAAGGCAAATGCTTTACAATTGTGAATTTAGGGCACTATTACTTAATATGATAGGCATTAGATCTTTAAAATCTCAGTGGAGGTCTTTCCTAATACCAGTCTGGTTGGCTGCCCAAACATACCATGATCAAATACAGAACTTTCAGCAATACTAGGCAGTCTTTGCTCTCCCAGTGAGCCATGGAAATTCCCATTCTAATTCTGGGCACAAAAAATGTAATAAGGTTACTCTCTAAACTGGAAAATCTGTTTTTACTGTTGAGAGGCTAAACAGTTGCCAAGAAATCTAAGCTGACAGATAAAATCAACCTTGTCTTCTCATAATATAAGCAAAAGTCTGTCTGGATTTTCTCCACTTGAGTTTAATTAGTTTGACCGTTACCAGTAATGTTATTTTCATGATTGGTAATGTGCTAAATTCATAGATGGATGCTTCTATAGAAACTCGGAACAAAAGGAGCCCAGTACATTTATAGACCCTAGAGGAGAAGTCTGCATACTTCGATGTGAGGTTTGCTGACAACATTTGTGGGTCTGTATTCTTATTAACGCAAAGGCTGGCCCCATCTGTTGAAAAGAACAGATGGTTGCCATTAATCAGAACTTTAATTCCAGAACCCATCTTATAAGAAAGTTTAGTTGTGCACGAACTCCAACGTTCGTTTGACTCCCAATTTGTCTTCTTGCCAACAGTGTTTTGTTTTTACTTTTAAGCTTCTTCATAGCTAAGTCATTAGTCTTTGTAGAGACTACCTCTTCCTCTACCTTGTTTTCCTCACAATTCTGGTTTACTTTTAATCTCCCTCTGGCTTCATTGTCCACACATTAAAATAATCAGAAGTCAATATGGATTATAGAGGAATGTAAATGCTTGCTATGTGAAGGTTGGTAATGTATTTTCATTTTAAAATTGGCTATTGCTAGGTAGAAAAAAGGGCATAAAACAGTGTCTTACTGGATCAGACCCTTCAACTCTTGGCCCATCTAATTCAACTGACTGTTTTCATAGTGGCCAACTAACTGCACAAAGATACCCAATGGTCTCCCAACATACGGCCTTTGGAGGCAATATCACAGTTGTTGTGGCTAATAGTCATTGTTCTCCATGACTTCCACGAATCAATCCAAACCTGAAAAGATAGGTCATGAGGGCTCACCTAGATATGATCATGAGCAGATATGATCCATGGATGGATAGCAGATTACAAATATTGTATATGTCTATGGAAAAGAGACAGGCGAAGCATAGCTCTTCAAACTATTGATTTTGTGCATGGCCAGTATTTATGGGTCCATGAGGCCATGTAGCTTTTTCTTGGTAAATACATGAATAGCTAAATAAAATACCTCTAGTTGTGGCTTTAATCTGTTGAGGCTTTCATATAATTCTTTTGAGCAAGATTGGTGCAGACAAGCTTACCTGTAATTGTGCCACCTGCAATAACATCCTCATGGTATTGAAAATACATAGTCAGGCACATTTTGGGATGTATGCCATAAACTCAATCAAAGCCAAGAGCTTGTGCTCTTCCATACAAGCTAGGATCTCTAGGTAGAGACTACACTGAAAGTAAATTATGTATTTTAATAATTGAGATTCCAGAAGTATGCTAAATATTTTGAAATGTGAAGCTATGTTTGGTTATATCATTACTTGTGTGTGTGTGATATCATAAAGCATAATGGTGGTATGAACACAGCACTAGCAGTGACTTTCATGTAGAAGCAGCACAAGGGTCTATGAAAAGGGGGACATATGCTGAGGTTTCGTCATTGAAAAATTACTACATCTTCTACACATTATATTTCATATCCAGTAATCAGACCATTTTCTATAAAAAAATATTGTAAGACAGTATTTCGAATTAACTTTAACTCAATCTTACTTCCTATTAACAAGATAATAGAAAAAGGTTTCTATAGTTAGAGGTGTTGACTGGGGAAAGGGCAAAGGGGATAAGAATGATGAAAGCAGCATTAGTGCTATGATGCAAGCCCTGTTTTTTGGGGTATATCACAACATGGCTACCATGTTCCCAAAGGGGTGAGGCTCATGACAATACCCTACTCTCATTGGTTTGATGAATATGAGAAGCTCCTGTAGAAATTGTGTTCCACAGAGTTGGTAATATTTCACCTACAAACCAATTCTCAACTCAAAAGTGCTAATGCACCCAAAGATTTACAAGGGACTTTGAGAGGCTCACATGGTGCTAATCACATCACAAATAGAACATGATTATAAATAAGAAGAGAGAGACATTAAAACAAGAGAAAAATCATCAGTGGTCCATGTCAGGTGATTTTAATTAAGAATCAGATATGAATTGTAGCCATATACAATTGTGAATAAAACCTCAATAAAAACATCTACGAAAGGGAGAAACATCAGGTTTATCCATGAAACTATATTGAAGAGAAAGGCAATATAAACAGGATTGGAGATAGATACATGAGGAGGAGGATTAGGCCCAGTTTACCCTATTTCATTGCCTAAGAACAGCAAACTAAAAATGTTGCTTCAATGACCTCAGGATATTAATCCCCATCCACTGACATATAAACGGAAAGCTCTAGTCAAACCAAACTGCATTTATTTAATTCTTGAATTTGTTAACATGAACAAGAGACCCTGAGTTGGAAAAGCGCTTTATACTGATGAGCTCCGATTGACAATATTGGAAAAAGCTCCCTTTTTATAATCCAAAAATACACTGCAGAAATGTCTTTGGCTTGAAGGACTTTACGCCAATTCCTTTTTAAAGACTTGCTTCTTTTTAAAGTATCAAACAAGTACTCTTTTCTTAAATAAAAACTACCTCTCTTTTTTAAAGTATGGTATCTTTAAATACATTGAAATAGATGCCGTCAAGTGTCAGGCACTTATTTTCATTAATGAAAATCTTCTCTTTTTTGCTCAGTAGCAAAAGTTAAACCATTCCAAAAATGTCAGTTTTCTACATCTGCTACCCCAATTCAATGGACTCTTATATGACACTAATAATTGTGCTGCCATGTAGGTGTGCACCAGGAAACCCAAAGCAGCATCTCCACAGTAGGAAATGTGGTGTTAGTTACTAAGAACAACCAATTAATCCAAATATTTTAAGACTAAGTCAAGTATCTGAAGATAAGACAGCCTTCTGCTGTTTCCCACTCCCATCTTCAGCACAAATATCCCAGTGTATGTGTGTGGGATTGCATACGTATAACCCCACCCCCCAAAAGCATTTTCTTTAGTGTTCTCTACAATTAATTCCATTTTATTATTTTCTAGAGTTATGCAATGCTTTGTTTCAGATTCCAAAATGGTGCTCCAGTCTATGAGGGACAGCTGCATATCAGTGTTATATATTCTGGCCTCCACACACTGCAACAAAGCATGAATTTTGGAACTGAATTCAAAGGCTATCCAGTCTTATTTTCCATGATATCTTTCAGGGCAAGATTCAGAACAAACCTCTTAACTTTTGTCATAAACATTGTTAATGAGTATATATAAGCAGCAGAAGGAACAGGAAGTAATCTGAAAAAAAACACAACACACGATTTGTAGAGAAGTGACTTTTCAGTTCACACCACTCACAGGTATGGACAATGGACAACTCTGAAGGTGGAACTACTTATCTGGTGGCTAGTATGGAAGAAGGCTAGAATTAGCCAGCCTGACAACAGATACAATGCCCAAACAGGCTTTGTAAAAATTCCGCATAGCATCAGAGGAACATGTGTACAGTGTATCTCTGTTATTGGGTCATCTCCCAGGAAATCCAATTCTCAAGGTCAAAAGCAAAAATTCAATAACCTTTGGTATTTGATTGAAGAAATTACAATTTGTGCAGAAAGGGGAATTAAGGCTTGAAGGTGATGGGGAGACAAATACTGTTTAAAGTTACAGAAATGCAATGTCAGTTGCATTAGCTATTTCTGGATGTTGCAGATACTGGACTAGGCTGGTCTCTAGTGGTATGCTGGACCACTCCAAGGTGCAGGTGAGGGATGTCGTCTTTAAGTTGTTCCTCCACGTAAAATAGTTTCTGTGTAATATTAAAATAACAGAAAATCTAATGCAACAGAATGTATGTGATACATTCAGGTCCTATTCTCACTATGGGAAGCAGTACCAGGAATCAGAAATCTCATGAAATATTTTTTTTTAATACAATGTTTTGTTTTTAAAGAAAGCCTTGCAGTAAACATGTTGAAGAAATGTAACACCAGGAGTGAGGGTAAGGGAAATGAGCTACATTTCAAAATGTGGTTCAGTGCTGCTAGGCCAAAAGAGATCAAACAAATTAGTTATTTTTCATGTTATGTTTCTTCTAAAGATCCCTTTACCAGATGGTTTTTTAATCAGTAAAAAAAGGCAGCTCTATCCACATATTTGATCATTTCTCTAAGCTAGTCTCTTTCTTCATTTTATGTTTTATAATAAAACATATTAAATACATTTCATTAAATGTTTTATTTGTAACAAATGACCCTATTTTGTGTACCAATTAAGCCTCGTTTCACAGAAAGAAAATAAACAAAAACATACCTTATTAGCTAAAGCTACTTGATTTTTTTCCCCCTTCAACCCAAGTCAAGTGACATAGGCTAATGTAAAAATAAACACGTAAATGTCTGCAGATTTATATCCTGTACAATATATTTGAAAGAGAAGTGCTGAATTTTGGTGTTTGGACTCTGTGCTTCCATTAGGCTTTTCTATTAGGAAAAGCCCATATGGTGTTCACAAACTGTTTTGGGCCATTAATTTCAGAACCTCAAACATACCGGCCAAGGCTCTGACAGATAATATTAAAATCTATCTGTGCTTGATATAAAGTTATCTTCTTGTAACGAATGTATTTAATAATACAGATGGTAGCCTATTAGCTGTTGGCATTCATGTGTAAAATAAATATGGGTATTCTATCAGATGGCTTCATTTTCTAATTAGATTGCACACTTTGTCTTTACCATACATACAAATATTAGGCAATGTATCCCTTGTTCATCACCAAATATGATGTGCAGAATGGCAATTAATAAAAGACCAAAAAACCCGCCCACCCTTCTAACACTGGATCACTTCAAAATACAAATACTCATCAGGTTTCTACAAAAAAGTATTAGTACAAAGGGCAACATTAAAAAAGAACTGGGAAAAAAGTTTAAAAAACACACAGAAAAACCAGTAACAGAAACCAAAAGACAAAAAACGGAGAGAGAGAGAGATGCTCTTTTTCTTTCTCCAAAAATCAACGGACGGATTGTTTTTGTCTACCAATTGTCCAGAAAATCAAATCCCGTCTTCAGGATAACATTATTTGCATTACTCTGCGGAAAGAAAGAAAGAAAATTTGTTTTAGAAAAGAAAGCAAGTAGTTACAACCAGTGGTGGATTGCCCCCGGTTCGGACCGGTTTGCAAAAACCGATAGTAAAACCGGTGGGAGGCCCCGCCCACTGCCCCAGATGTCATCATCAGCGATCTGCGCATGCGTAGAAGCTTCTGTGCATGCGCTGAAATAAGGCGCACATGCGAGAGAAGCTAGCGCGTGTGCAATCCCGTTACGAACCGGTAGTAAAGGTAAGTAGAACCCACCCCTGATTACACTCAAAAGGGTGTAAAAGCAATAATAACCAAGGCAAGAATTACAATATTGTACAACGGTTTGGGTCTAGACCTGGCCTTCTGCTGCATTAGGAAGGCTTTTGTTTCCACAAAGAGTTTCCACCAGAAAACCACCAATGGGTTTTCAATGGTTGTCTCTCCATTCTGAATATCTTATGGGTTCCCAAACATTTCCTCTAGAAGACTGGCCAGAATGAGGGAAGCAAGGCTATGAAAGAATGGCCTCTCTCCTATTACCAGCTAGAAAGGAATTTCATATGTCCTGTTTGGCAGAAAGAGCTATCAAACATTTCACAGGTTTGATGCACAGTGGCCCACAGCCATATATGGCTGTACTCAGATATTCAGATTATGATTGGCTCTTCACTGAACTTTCTCTCGGAAGGTCCCAGTTACCAGAAATGCTACCCAAACAATATTTAAAATGAATGGGAGATGTGTAGGAATATTTGTATGATCAGAGAGGCTGGGTTATCCAGAATCAAGTATCAATTTCACTTGCACAAAAATGAATGCCACACATTATTTCACCTTACTCTTCCTTCAAGCAACTAGTCCCTTAAAGAACTATTTCCATAAAATGAGTGGGGAGGGGATTGGTCATCTCTTTGTCCCTTCAACCATTAAACAGATCGTGAGGTATAATGTAGGCCAGAAATAACAAAGCTCTAAGGTACAGAAGTAATTCTATAATCCATCGTACAAGTGCAATTAGTTCTTACCTGTTCATGCACATCTATATTTAATAATAGCTTAGCAAGATCATACCAAGGCCTATCATAGGCCAGCATTTTGTTTCTCATAGTAATCAACAAAAAGGTAGAGACATAGATTTCTAGATTTATTTTTATTTATTCAAAGAATGTATATAGCTGCCCAACTCAAACAATGCAACTCTGAGCACCTTTAAAATAAACGCCCCTCCCAAACTGCTGTTCTCTGCAAGCAGCATTTGGATGACTCCTGCTCTCAACTCAGCAATAAGACTAACTGCCTCTGCAAGTCTTGTCCACTATTTCATCCACCTCTTTCAAAGCCACTAGTCCTAGCTAAATCTTCAAGTCATGAAAGTTACTAGTTATGGTGTGTCCTTTTTACAGTTCTAAAATTCTTCTAATGCACTTCATTGGATGATCCAAGATTCAAGTGTTTGAAAACTCTGTCCACTTTCTCCTTGCTTTTATATTTTACTTATTTTTTATAATTTTTAATGATTGTATATACCTCAATTGTGTCCTCTGCCCTTCACCTTTTCTCCAAGATAAAGAGTCCCATTGTTTTCTCATAGGCAGATCTTCAGGTCCCCTTTCCATATTCTGCACCTTTCCCAACTCTATTATATCCTTTTTCAAATGCATTCTACTTTATATTCCAGATGTGAATGCTTGTTAGATTGGCAAAGAAGGCATTACTCTGCCAGCAGTTTTACTTTCAACTCCTTTCACAATAATGCTAAGCATGAAATGTGTCTTTTATATAGCTACCATGCACCAAGTTGACGTCTTCAGTGAGCTACTGATTCTGACGCACATCCTCAATCCCAATATCCTTTTCCTGTTTTAGTTACAGAAAACTCGGACCTTGTGCATACGCCCTAAAGCGCATCATATTACATGTAATTAAATAGAAGAGATGCTCATTTGGTTGCAGCACACCCACTCACTTTAAGAGGAGCTCTTCCTACTTAATTTTGGATTCTACCCTCAGGAATGGAAAGAATCCCTCTTCCACTGCACGTGTTAGACACTCTCTGCACACTGGAGCTGCTGCTACAAATGTCACATGTACAGGCAATCAAGTTTATGTTTATGGAACAGCATGCAGGGCTTCAGGCAATATTACTAGCATATGTTGCACATTTTAAAGACATTAAATAGTGAGGTTCACGTCTTAGATGTTTAACCTCTGATCTTCTCCAAGAGGAAAACAAAGGATTTCAGTTGTGAGGTTTTAATAATCTAACGCACAGGTGTCAAACTCGCTGCGTCACGTTGCCGTCACGTGACGTTTCGCAACTTTCTCCCCCTTCGCAAAGCTGTGGTGGGCGTGGCCTGCATGTGACACATTCGGCCGGTGGGCCGCCAATTTGACACCCCTGCTCTAACAGAACTCGTTTTCTGGGACTCAGGGGGTGGTGGTGGTGGTGTTATTTTTATTTGTTTATTTTTGCTTAGGTTCTTTCTACCTCTCATACTATAACTGGACAACGAAGAATCAGCCCTTACCTGGCCAAATCCTTGTAAATCTGGAACAAAACTGTTTTGAGCATCTTCATTTTGGGTTGCAGCAGATGACAATTTCTCTGCAGGGTCAGAAGGAGCATCAAAGGCACTAACTGCAGGTTGGTTGGATGGGGGCTTTTCCCATTCTACGGGTGTTGTGGGAACAACTGGGGCGATCGCTTTTTCAGGCTTAGGAGCACTAGGCTTCTCTGCTTTACTTGCTTCTTTTGGACCAGATTCTTGCCTATAATAAGGCTGGAGGGTTTTCTCTCCTTTTTCCATGGATTTAATTTGGCTTGGGGTTAGCGAATGGAACTCAGACTGTTCCCCTTCGTACTTGGAGCGCTCAGCATTGATCTTCCAAAACGAGGACTCCTCCTCTTTTTTGGCCGGTATAACCCCATCTGAGTTTTGCGGTTTACCAGCCTGGGAAGGTTTGGGGGCTGGTGGGCCAGGTGCGGTTTTGCTAGGCTGTTTCTGTTCGTGCTGAGGTGCTGTAGCACCCGGTTCTTGGATCAGCAGAGAAGCAATGCTGAATTCCATTTGACTCTGTTAGGGGATTAAAAGTAAAAAAAAAAAAGAACATTAGTTCTTTTCCATGGACAACCAGTCGTTCAAATAAGACAAGGGAGTAGTTCATTTCAGATATAAACGTTCTTTGGCATCTTATATACAGAGTACTGATGTTTGTATGCTAAGACAGCTTACATTTGGCGTTAAAAATGGTAACTCTCCAGCGGTGCAAATGAGGCAGAACAATTCTTTATTCTAGGCTAGCTTGGAGGAAAGAAACATTTTTCCTGCTTCTTTGCTGGCAAAGAGAGACATAGGCAAAGTTTTGTCAGAGAAGAGGTCGAAACATTAAACAATTTGCTTACTTTGAAGAATGACTTAAATCAGAGGTCAGTAATGTACTGCCTTCCAGATGTTGCCTCATTGCGTAATCTTTTGTCAATGGTTATACTGAGTAAGGCTATTGAGAAATAAAGTTGCCCACCTGGAATTTTTTTTAAAGTCCAAAATACATATTCCTTAAGAATTGTTACAGGATAGCATGATGCAAAAAAAAAAAAAAAATGCAGAAAATGTTCAAATGGAAAAAATCATTTAGTGGCTCCGGACAAGGGGAAAAAAACCCACAATAGTAAAATTTAAAAAGACAACACAGCTCTCAACTGACTCTGCCTGGTGAAAAACTACTGAAGCAGCTCTTTCTCGTCCATTGTGCTCTCCAGAAGAATAGTCTTGGTCAGAGATGAAATGCTACCGGTTCGGGCTGGTTTGGCCGAACCGGTAGTAAAAAATGCTACTGGTTTGCCGAACCGGTAGTAAAATAATGTAAAAAAAAGTTCCGACGATCAGCTGAGCGACGCGCGATCATTGGAACTTTTTTTTTTTTTAACCTTTTAACCATTTTTTTACTACCTATTTGCTCGAACCGGTAGTAAAAAAATGCTTTAAAAAGGTAAAAAAAAAAAGTTCCCAAGATCACAGCTGTGCTGCGCAATCGTTGAAACCTTTTTTTTTTTTTTTAACTTTTTTAAAGCATTTTTTTGCTACCGGTTTGGGCGAATAAGTAGCAAAAAATGCTTTAAAAAAGTTTTTAAAAAGGTTCCGACAATCGCTTGGCACAGCTGTGATCGCCCAAGCCTTTTTTTTTTTACTTTTTAAAAGCATTTTTTACTACCTATTCGCCCGAACCGGTACTAAAATGCTTTTAAAATTTTTTTTTAAAGGTTCCCAAGATCGCACACCACAGCTGCCCCACCCCGCTGTTCTACTTACCTTCCCATGCTTCTTTTTGGCATGTACTGCACATGTGCACTCATGTGTTTGGGGCAAACTGCACATGTGCATGAGCGCAGCCAGCGAACCAGTAGCAAACCGGTTTAGATTTCACCACTGGTCTTGGTCCAAGATATCTGCAAGTCATTTCCACTCAAACCACTGGTGTGGATTCAAGGCAATATATATCTTACCATATGAATTTTCTGGCCAGACCAGGATGTTACGTTTTTTTTAAAAGAACTAGTTGTTGAGAGCTCTGCCATGGAATAACAGTCTATGTTTAGACCAGGACAAGGAGATGGGAGAAATATCGGCAGAATCAAAACAAGACAAGCTATTCAGCCTGAATATACAGTATTTAAATTTAAAATTCCCAACCCAACCTAAGAATTTAAATCCTTCCTTTCATATTTTAAAAGGCAACTTTTTAAGTACTCAGTCATGTCAAAAACCATCTTGAATACTTCATCTATTTCCCCAATCCAAAAGACAACACAAAATATATTTCCTTCCCAACTCTGCCCAATTAAATATCCATTCAGTAGTTAAGATTAAATCCTAATACTTTACAGATATAAAAAAGAAATACAATGGAAAAAGATTCCAAAAATATACTTTTGCCACTTCTGCATTAATCTGAGAATGATCCCTAGAAGAGGTGAGTAACTTTCAAGCGCCAGGAAAATCAGGAGATCCAGACTGTTCAAATGGGTATAAAGATTTATTGCAAGCTTAAGCTCTCTACAAGTATCTGAACTACTAAAGGCCAAGGGAAGTTGGTGGGAGAGAAGAATCGAAGGAATTCAAGGTGGGCTGGGATTAGATCTCTTGCAGGTGCAAAGGGACTCATGACTGATGCTGTGTTTCACCCCTCCTTCGGGCTCAGCCTTGTCACCTCCTACAGTAACCTAAAGTTCTAGAACGCACACAGCTCCCTCCTTCTCAAATTTTCTTCTATGGCAATCCCATCCAACCAAATGCCAGTTGTTGCACAAGCAAGGAAGCACAAAGCCGTAGTGTACAACAATGCAATTAAAAAACAAAGACTATGTCCAACCTCCTCCCAAAATTCAAATCCAATTTCTGGAAATCTTATTCCTGCTCATGTATGTAACACGGTTCCAATAATTCCAATAATTCATAATGTGTCCTGTCTATTGCAGCTTTCACTCCATTCACAAATGTTAAGCGCAGCTTTGCCCACTAAGACATTTTCTAGAATTCCTAGACCTGCTTTCATCATCCCTGGGACCCTTCTGATGGGGGAGGGGGAACGACATCATTTCCTAGAATTCTCAGCAATTATCAGAACAGCTGGACCATCCTGGAGGTCTAACTCCATATAATTCACAGGCGTTCAGGAAGGGAAGGGTGTTCTAATCCAAAAAAAAACCCCTCTTTTGCTACCCTAGAATCTTTTAATCACACCATCAGTGATATTTGTTTATATCCTGGCTTGATCATCAGGGAAGAAATATATGTGAAGGTCTTTCTTCTCCCAGGAAATTTAATTAAATTCACTTCATGGCTGAATATTTTTCATCAACTGTATCTTCAACAACCTAGGCACTCTTCAGATTTCTCCCATTTCCCAATACTGGCCAAGATGATGTCCAAGCTGGGAGAAATGCTCCATGGATCAAAAGAAAAGATTGTGGAAGTTGCACTCTCTCTCCTTCAGATGTTCCCCTGCAGGCTCCATATCCAATCACTGCCATCCCTCCCAGCATGTATGGGTTGCATTATAAGGCTGACTCCCATCATGCTGAATCAAGCTGGATCTGAACTGACACATACTCAACTCTGAACTAAAACCAGAGAATACCACAAGAATCCAAGGAGCTATTTTTATATCTTATGAGCTTGTGGGGAATGTAGAGTATTTCATGAAGTAGATAGTGTACAGAGCCAAAACAAGCTGTTTGGCTTGGCAACTGCAAAACAGAAGAGAAAATAATGGGGGTGGAGGAGAAAGTAAAACAAAACCTGAAGGACAGGAGCTTATAAAAATGTTCAAAAAAGCCCTAACCTTAAGCAGAACCTAGACTTACACAAAGCAAAATTATATCCAAGAGACATTAAATAAGAACCTACAACAGGCTGCATTGATACTCTTGGAGCACATATTGCTAGAGAAAGCTGTTCTATGGCTGCATTTACACAGTGCCTTAAACTTGTCTAAGATGCGATTAAATAGGCGGTGATTTGGTGGCAGGCAACTATTGTTTTATGTGCTGTCTTGAAGTAAACCATCTTATTAAACCATAATATTTTTTCAGCATAGCACATTATGCGAACATAGCACTTGTGTTTAGTTCATCTAAGTTCAGAATTAAGCAACTTAAATGAACCTAGCCTACTTCCTCTAGCAGTTAAGAATTTCTTTCTGTACCAAAGATAAGGCCCTTGAGGAGTTTAATCAACTATGTTCCTTGTGACGGTGTAACTCTCCAAACTATTTTTATTTAGAACCATAAACTAAACTGGTCCAAGAATTCTCCCTTCCATTTCCATTGCTTTCGACAGAAAAATAAGACAAGGCTGAAATCCATAACTATTGAATTCCATATATATACGAATGTAAATACTGTGTTTCCCCGAAAATAAGACCCTGTCTTATATTTTTTTGAACCCTGAAATAAGCGCTTGGCCTTATTGCCATGCACTCAAAAGCCCGATTGGGCTTATTATCAGGGGATGTCTTATTTTGGGGGAAACAGGGTAGTACAACTAAGTTTTAAAAATGATATGAAAAACATGCAATTGTCTGTCTTCCTATTTCATTAAGTTTTCTTCTGTTTAGTCACTCTGTGTATGTTTTTGCCAAGGCAATCAGAAAAAAAAGTTTGAATTCAAAAGAAGAATATGCACATGGAAAAATGGAGGTGGTTTACGTATGGATAGACTGTGGTTCTTAAAACATTTTGCTTCAAACCTTTTGTTTGAACATCCCTAGATGAAGCTGTTTTGTAAGGAGGGATAAAATTCCTCCCAGCTGGATGTGCAGGACTGATTAACAGTTAATGGAAACATATAGTTGCAGCTACTGCTGCCCAAGGGAGCCATGCGAGTTACTGAAAGCAAAGGTTCACATACTTTTGCTGCACACAAATATGAAGCTTTGGAACATTTCCCCAATAAATAAATGAACAAGTATGTGTTTTTGACTCATTTTTAAATTGGGTTTTGTTATCTAGTTTTAGGACTTGTGTGAAGAACAAATTATATGTTGATGTCCTATTTATGCAAAAACATCAAAAATTCACTTGCTATCATTATTCAGGTGTGATCAGCAGAAGTTACCCTCCAGATCTTCTTGGGTTGCCACTCTTTGTAGTCCTCAGAACTAGCTACACTGGGCAGGTCAGAGAGAAACAGAAGATCAGGTTAGGAGGACCATTCACTGCCTGATCCTGCTTTCACTGGGTTATTAGGGGAGCCTTTGCCATAATGGCTGAGGATTATGTGAACTGTAGCTGAAGCAATCCAGAAGGCACCAGGTTGGGAATGATCGATCACACTGATCCCAGGACTTTCACCAAGCTAAGTCCTGCCGATGAACAAGAGAGTCACTTTTTAAATCGGTGTATCTATTTCACATTTGAAGCATTATTTCATCTCAGTTTAAAACATTATTTTCCTCAATATAAATCTACAATCAACAACCAGCGGCCAAGGGCTGTGTTGGGAGAGCTGTAAACACAAACGATTACTGTCAAGAAACAAAAGGCAATCAGCAAAATATATAAGAGACAGACAGAGACAGACTGACACCACAGCATTTTTGGACAGACCTATTCTAAAGATGTTGATTTAGTAATACAGTGGGTTTTCCAAATAAAAGTCATTATGATTCTTTATACCTCCATGTTTCGGAACTTTATATATGATTCTGAAGTACTCAAATAAGGTTAACTGTTGCAATAGACATGAAGGGCAAAGAGTGACATGTGGCCTCTTCCTTACCATGTTTCTATTCTTTACATCTAAATTATTACTTAGAATATTCTAGGAAATGAATCTTCAGCAGAAAGCATGTGACTGCTTGTAATATACAATTTAGTTCTAGAATTTGAAATGTGTTGTGCCCTTTCCCTCAAGCAAAATTAATGCAGGTCAAGCAGAAGAAAGAAAATGGAACAGCGCTAGCCATATAACTCATGCATATACAATACTATTTATCAAAGATGGAGCGAGAGAATAAAACAGATGAAAGCAATATCTAGGGCTCCAACGGTCAATTCTAAGAGGGCCCTGCATTACATGGAACGGCCTTTCAATCACAATTTCACCTAGAAAAATGAGGAAGGCAGTCTGTAGAGATTCTCAGTCATCCTGGTCATGGTTGTCCCAAAGGTGCTTTTTCAGGAGGCAACTGGACTTTCTTGTTTTTTCTTTTGAAGACGTTTCGCTTCTCATCCAAGAATCTTCTTCAGCTCTGACAGGACAGTGGGGAATGGAAGGATTTATATTTATATTCAGAACCAGAAGCACTATTCAGGTGACCCTGAGGACACAGATAAACCTCCAAGTGCTTCAAAGATCCTCTAAAAGGATGCAAATGACCAGCTGTCTGCAAGGAATATAAATCCTTCCATTCCCCACCATCCAGTCAGAGCTTAAGAAGCTTTTTGGATGAGAAGTGAAACGTCTTCAAAAGAAAAAAAAAGATAGTCCAGTTGCCTCCTCAAAAAGCACCTCTGGGACAAGGAAGGCAGTGTAAAATGTTTCACTGCAGCTTTGGACTACCTACTTAAGCGTGGTTAGACATTTTTTCAGACTTTTGCAGAGGTCAGAACAGAATGAACGGAACATAAATTCTAATACCAGCTTATGAGTTGCATTTGTCAGAAGTCGAAGTTTGATGACCATAAACAAGTAAAATGCCTGCAAACCCAATACTGGGAGCCAATATTCAGAGTTCAGGTCCTGAAAAACATAGAAAACTACTTTATTCCAATTCAGATTGCTGATATGCCTGGCTAAGTGTGCTGCTGAATCCCTCCCAGCAGTCTCAGCCAGCATGACTAATGGTGAAAGATGTGGGGTGTTATTCAGCAACAACTGGAAAGTCATTAGCTTCCCATAACTGTACAAGTAGACTAAGTTAACCATAAAAGTGACTAGTGACTTTGGTCCAGTTATATTGTGTTTCTACATTTCATATTATGAGCAAGAAACAAGGATTTCTTGTACTTCTATTTGTTCTTCAGATGATAAATGGATAAAATGTATTATTTTTATCATTATTATTGTTTGAAATTTACTTTGAGGAATCACATTTTTTTCTGCTGTTGAAACCTATATTCCACAAGATCACACATAAATTACCTCTGGGCCCCAAAGCAGAAGTTTATTACTGCATTCTGTGTTCTGAAACTAAACAAACCTGAGAATTATTGCACATGTAACAATTCCACAAAGTTACCTTAGTTTCCCAAGAAAAAGGAGCAGAGTGCTCATCTTGCCAGGTGATATCCTGAAATAAAAGCAAAAACACACCAATAAGCATGTACTTTGCTCAAGGCAAAAGGAATAGAATCATCCAGGATACCTTAAAACTGAATAAAAGGGAAGGTTTATTGAGACCAGCCAAAATGATATCATTTTCCCCAAAATAAGACATCTCCTGATAATAAACCCAATCCAGCTTTTGAGCGCATGGCAATAAGGCCAAGCACTTATTTCAGGGTTCAAAAAAAATATAAGACAGGGTCTTATTTTTAGGAAAACACGGTAAGATTGTATAGACTATGGAATTCTCCACCAAGTAAGACAGCATAAATAAAAGGGGATGAAAGAAGAAACAAATGTTCCCGAAACAGTAAACCAATGGGAAGACTAAACTCCAATTCATGAATATAATTGAATATTTGTCTTAGAAAATAAATCCATAGGGAAAAACAAATGTGATTGATGACAAAGTTTCCACACATTTTTTGAACCTCAGAACTGTGGGATTTGTTACTTACATGAGAACATTTAAAGTCTATCATTCCCATTTACAGATTCAAATAATCCATTCAAAATCTAACCATAACTGAGAAAATTCTCCCCTCTCCCATACCCATCAACTGTTTAACCTCTTCAAAGCATAGTCTATCTGGATTTTAACTGTCAATTTACCCATTCTTAACTATCCAATTAATAGTGTACTAGATCTTTTAACTATTCAGTCTAACAAATTCATTTTATTATAGTTTCGCCTTTTGGTCCTCTTTCCGTTGAAATCTTCTTTCTTCAGTGATTTTCATTTTATAGACATCTGGTTGGCTTAATCTCTAAGTTCGTGCCATGTTCTAGCATCAGAGTGACCTCTTCAAGTTTTATTCATATTCTGAGTAGTACAAATTATTCCTATTTAGTTTAAATGAAAATCCCAATTTGTATCAAATACTATTCTGTAAGAGGCTTAAATGCATTGTCTTTGTAAAATAATCTGATTAATTACTTGACAAACCACTGTCTCCTCCTTAATTCATTTGCTTCAACTTGTGAGCTTCCTGAATATTTTTTTCTCTAGAACATTCATTAAAAAAACTTTTAATTATACTTGCACTTAGTTTATTCAACTTTGCAAGCCTGGAATTTTGAACTTCGTCCTTTTCAGACAAATATAATTCAAAGAAGAGATCATTAAGCCTCATTACTAGATAATCCATCAAGTTACTGTCCCCAGCTCTTTTGCTAATACCACTGATGCAGAGACTGCTTCATCTGTCAAGATCTTCAACATCTGCCAGAAATGTTTAACATCCATAAGATCCTTCTCAATCATTTTATACAAGTGGCATTTTTAGTACCTAAGCCACAAGCTTGACTAGCTGACAAATATCTAACAGTTGCCTTAAATTATTATTTCTTTCAGACATACCTGATATATCTTCTTTTATCAAAGTAAAGGACTTCTCTTATTCTAGTTTCAGTTCCTGACTGAGGGTTGTTTTTTTTTTTAATGTTTGATTGGGTTGGAATCGTCTTCTCAAAAACGGCCTCATTAAAAACTATCAAACTTTTTGGTTTCATCCTCTTCTTGTCCAACAGAACTTTGTCAATGGCTTGATTTGGACACTTCCACCTTCCTTCCTTCCTTCCTTCCTTCCTTCCCTCCCTCCCTCCCTCCCGAAACATATCTCCTGAGCGTTTTGCATTTCTTGATTATTTTTGGAGAGGAATTTAGTTCAATTAAAAGCTGAGAATGGTTAAAAATATTGAGTTTGAGAAAGCAAAGATTTCAGGGGACAATCCTGTTTTAATATGGGCATACCATATTTAATTTTTTCTAATTATTCTGGAAATCTCTACAAATCTTGGGTAGCAACAGCTAAATTACTCAATCAGCAATAACTTTGCAGTAACATTCTTTCCCCAGAAAACTTCATTTATTTTTTGCTCCCTGTACTGATCTGATCTATATTCTTCCTGGGTATTTGTGTACTATGTATGCGGATTTGTATTTATTTGTGAATTGTGATACTCATATTGAAGTTCCCTTATTACAGTTTCTAAAGCTGAAAAATAAAAAGGTGTGTTTCAGTTCATTGCACCGAACTAAGCTCAAACACGGTTGTCACACAATGACAAGACTTTTTTTAAAAAAAAATCTTCCCAGAAGAGATCTATCAAGATATTTTCCTTAACGGCTTGAAGAGTTTCATCATAAAGTCCTATTTCTCAAGCCCTTATCATAAAGTATTTTTGGATGTAAAAAAATATATATATATATATAAATTGTTCTGGCAGTGGCCATGCCACTGAGGAATGTTAAAGTCCCCAATACGTTATGCTTGACACATGCATGATAACCTTAGGAAGGATCCCTTGATTCTGATGTGGTCTTGCTGCTTTTATTTATTGGAAAATTGCTGAGATCTAACAAGGCAAGGGAGCTGAACTAAGAAGAGGGAAACAGTTAATGTCTTTGATTCATATTCAGACAACTTAGAATAAATCCCTCAGGGAAATAACATGATGTAGAAAGATATGGAGTGTTCCCCTAGAGTAGGAATTAGGTTTTTATTTAGGCAGGAACAGGAACATCTCTGCCGGCTTCTGCACATCCATGACAAAAAGGCCATCCCTTAAGCCAAAGGACGTAACATCCTGGTTCCAGCAGCAGCAGTAAAGCATCAAGCACAGAAAACTCTGCATCTAGCTACAAGTCACCCAGGCAGTATGTTACAATAAGGGCATTCGAACAGAAAGGCAGGAGAGGAGACACTGGTATCTTTCTTTTTCTTTTCTTTTCTTTTTTTGAATAGCAAATGACATATACCAAGTGCAGGCCATCCACCACAGGATAGTAATAACTTCTCTGTTAGCCAAAGCACAAAAGAATCTTCTGTGATCACTATGAAATCGTTTCAGCAGCAGCACTTAGTTTTCTATCTGGCATTTTAATAATACTAGTAAAATATGAAGAATGATGAGGAAGAGAAAGAAAAGAGATACGTACTCGGTAGACTCACAGAGCCCTTTTCTCCACCCCTAAGCTATGTTCCTGCAGCTTCTCCTTCATGCCATGGAAGGCAATCTTTAAAGCACTGCGTTTGCTGGACTGATGTAGCCTCCCTGCACATATCTGTCAGCTCCACCAGATACACCAACACAGGAAATCAACTCCGTTGGAAAAAAATAAAACAACTTCTATTGAAATTGGCTGCAATACCAGAATTTTACATGTCTGGTTGTGCTGTACCTCCTCCTCCTTCTTATACTCCAGTAAATTAGGAAGGTGTCTGTCTGCTTCCAAATGTTACCTTGTTGTTTTGAACTTTAAAAAAAAAACGTGTCAGTCTTTTTTGCATAGGTAACAGGTCCTATGTATTTCTGTTAGGGTCAATTTCCCTAACTTTCTACAAAATCCGAAAATTCTAACTCCAATGCATGAAGAATCTAGAGGAGCACAACAGTTGTCCTCGGCAAATATAAATTAGATAGGCCCCAATGCTGTTGGCTTTTTGTAAGGCATTGAACACATGGCTGCGTTCCTGAGCATAAGAATTGGAGTGTCACTCCTTACCATGAGTAATTTATGCTGATGGCTGGTTGTTGTTTATTTCAGCTGCTGATTATATATGTATGTATTTATATGCATTTTTAGAGGTAGAACCCGTGATGACACAGTGGTTATAATGCAGTATTACAGGCTAACTCTGCCTACAGCCAGGAGTTCGATCCTGACCAGCTCAAGAGTGACTCTGCCTTCCATCCTTCTGAGGCTGATAAAATGAGGACCCAGATTGTTGGGGTTAATATGCTGACATTTGTAAACTGCTCAGCGAGTGGAGTGGTATATAAGTCTATGAAGTGGTATATAAATCTAAAATCTATTGCTACGCTATTTCTATTTATTTTATGGTTTTAATTCCTGTCAATCACCCAGAGTCAGTATAAGGAAATGGTTGTCATATAAATTGAATTAAATAAACAAACAAAAATCTGTATACGCATTTAGTAATATGATATATACGACAGGACAGACTATAGATAGGCACAGATCGTTCCCTGACTACACTTTCATCCATCCACGTAAATGAAAACTCCTACTTCCAAACCTAAATGAGAAGTTTTGAAACTATTATAGATCTTAACCATAGGAAACATCTCAGCTCTGGTTACTGGACCTTTCAGAAGTTAAAGGATCTTGCGTAAGTTAAAGCTACCATACAATCATGTTTCCTCCATGCTCAATGTTTTTTTAAAAAATAATTTCAACTGTGCTTTTTTACAATTTCACTTACTTAGTCCAACTAAACACATATTTAAAAACAGAAGAATGTATTTACCCAGGAGGACAGATGAGCCTTCTCTGCTGTAGCGTCAGCTCTCTGGAATATCCTAAGCCCCAGGGGTGAGGCTTGCCCCCACCTACCTCTCATTCCAGAAGGGCCTGAAGACCTGGCTTTGATGGTTGGCCTGGGGACCCAATAAGGGAGTACATCACTGGAGGTGACTACTGGACCAATTAGCTGAGCACCACTTCCCCCCTGCTCTTCCTGCGCCCCCTCTACCCATCTTTTAAAATTTCATATTACTTACAGGTAGTTCTCATTTAGTGCCCACCTCACTTAGTGACTATAGACTATAGTGACTATATATCATGATGATGAAGAAGTAACTTTATGATCAATCCTTGTATTTACAACCTTTGCAGGTCTGGGTAGCAAAGCAAAGCTGAAGTAAGATCGTAAGAATAGTTGTCACCACTTCACTTAATGGCCAGGTTGCAGGTCCTAACTATGGTTGCTAAATGAGGACTTCAGAAAAATATTCAGAAGATTAGTTTTTTACATGAACAGAGAAGTCAAGATTAGACAATGGTTGCCTTTTAGAATTATGAAAACTGAAAACCGGTATTGTGCAATATGCAGAAAATATATACTCCCATCCTAAGATTATCCAAAAATCTAGTACTGATGTATCTTATGGGCCCTAAAATGCTCCTCTAGATAGCACAGGGTTATTCTAAATGTTCAAAAGAAACAATGACATACAGGTCTTACTACATCTCAACCGCTATGCCCATGTATTTTAGGAGAGCATATTGAGATCATTTATTAAGATGCAATTCTTACTTTTTCCATAGTCTTTGGCACAAGTATCAAATATAAAAAGACGAGAATAATTTTAAAAACTTCCACTTTGGTACACTGCAATTTATTTTCTACACCCTTGATTTTCCTAGATCAGCAGGGACACTGGAAAACCTGACTTACATTTTTAGAAGGTGTTTTAAAAATACGCAGGCCTGGAATATTCACGATTTTTGTGGGGAGAAGCACAAAAAGGATTGTCAGTTTCCTGTAGTCAAACATAAATGATTCCACAATACTAATTTTAGCAGTAACTTCCTACCGCCTGCTGTTAACAAGTTAGTTGTTTACAGGACCTTTTTATAATGCTTATTCCTGTGAATGAATTTGCAGGCTAAGTTAAGCATTGCCTTTCCTTCTTTCTAATTATTTTTAAGTGTACAATCTCCTTTTTGGCTTTCTACTCCTGAAAGATTACAAGTGGATCTTTACTGGTGTAACAAAAATATCCATAGGACTCTTAGCTCTTCCTGTACAGTATCCTTTAAATGGGCATTTAAGGAAGCATAGAATTCACTAGCACAGTGTTTCTCAACCTTGGAAGCTTGAAGATGGGTGGACTTCAACTCCCAGAATCCCCCAGCCAGCAGTGCTGGCTGGGGGATTCTGGGAGTTGAAGTCCACCCATCTTCAAGCTTCCAAGGTTGAGAAACACTGCACTAGCAGAACCTTCCCCGATCTGGTGTGTTCCAGATGTTTGAGGCCTGGAATTCTCAGAATTCCTAACTAGTATGACCAAACTGGGAGATGATGTTTTGAAATGCAAAGCAGCCCTCCCCAAATTATCTTGAATTAAAACATGAAGTACCTAATGTCTTAAAATATAGTTGAAATATTGGATAATCCCATTGTCCTATTATTGCAAAAACACCGAGAACCCCTGAGGCAACTTAATGCTTACCAAACTCTGCAATATATAAATCCCAGAGTTGTTTGGATCAGTGGCCAGATTTAGAATTTTCAGAGTATATCTTGGCTGGTCTTCTGGGGGAGAATTATTTACAAAATAGTTGGAAGGCTGGATGTAACTAGTCACAAAACACCCATTTACCAAAAAGCAAACTGGTAAAACTGCCCACTTCTATCCTTTATGTTCAGAATACCCCTTACTACATTATACATTTGCCTTTTTCTAAAGAGATGGGCAAATACTTGATTGCGGCTAGCAACCACTTTTATTTTCTAAGATTACCTATAGAGCCTATCTGGAACCTAGAAGCATTTTAAAGAATAATAATTGAGAATAGTTTCAGCTTCCTATTTTTTTAAAATTAAAAGAATGTTTTAAAGGTCAGATGGAGCCTGTTAAATGCCAAAAATGAGCCAAAAGGCCCAGTAGCATTATATTGTCTATCTCCGTTTTTAAAAAACCTATAGATTTCTAAATGCACACAAATAGCCACAGAAAAGCAACTGTGTCAAATGAAATATAATTGAAACATTAAGCCTGATAGCCGAAAATAACACAATTGTAAAATATTTTTACTTAGCAGCCATCATTTCTACTTGCTCTTAGTTTATATTTATTATCTAAACATAAATATTATATCTATATGTTATATACCTGTATAACTATTATATCCATCCTTCCTTTTTTGTAGAGTTCAAGGCAGTTTCCAAGAGATTCTTTTATTTTATTTTGGCAATAACAATCCTTCAAGATAAAGTTGGCTGAGAGAAAGTGACTTTTACCCAGTGAAAGCTTGCAAAATCCATAATTTCTATACTATAGGAGTACAGGGCATGAACCATATGCCACCTTTCCTTAATCAGGCTGAGAGAAACTACATTATACACATAATGTGTTTTCAACACATTATTCTTTTCAGGGTCAAATAACGTGCAAATCACAACACAGCAAATCTGATTCATATACTGTAATGATATCAATATAAGGCATGCAAGTATGTACCCATATTAAAGTTTTAAAAACACACTTTGATAGCCATAGCAATAGCACCATACAGGGATTTCTGTTGTATCTATGCATGGAATGTAATCTAACCAGATGCAGAGAAATAGAATTCAACTGCCTGAACTGGAATTAGTGTAAATGAAATCTATTAAGACAGACCTTTTGATTTGACACCTTTTGAGAGCCAGGAGATAGGCAATCAACATTTTGCTTCTCTTGTACTCCATTCAAATAAGAAGCAAGGATGTTGAGTATCTGCCCTAATTCATCACCCTTAAATTAAGCTTTTATTCAGACATACAAACTAGCCTGTTTTTCAGAAGAAGTGGCTCTTCACAGAAATCTCGTTTGGAAAAACAGTGTAGCCATTACAAATTATGTTGAATGTCCTGACTGTTACTATATGTTTTTGTTATGATTTCACACTTTTCTGTTTTCACAGTAAAATAATCAGGTATTTTACAACTACTCACTAGCAGTAACAACTATCACTGGGATACACAATAAAAATGAAGGGTGTGATAAATAGTAAGAATCAACACTAAAAACAAAATGAATGGGAATGGGGGTAAACAGTTAAAAACCGAGCAGGCTGTTTCTCCTGTATTTAATAATTCTTGGAAATCTAGAGGAATTTTAATTCCTGCAGAGGCAGAAAATAAACATTCTACAGACTCCAGAACTTTTCAACAGCACAGAACTTGTGGCTGCTCTTCTTCCATCTGAATAAATCCCGCTGAACACAGAGTGACTGATGTCGAAGTATGCATAGCCAATTGAGTTTGGAAGAAAAACCCCTCCACCTATGACCTGAGACTGTGCCGCGGACAAGGACTGCTGAAACTATAGCTCACATCCTGCTACACTGTACTCTCCATATAAGGGACTCAAGGACCCATTTTATAACTCCTTACCTGGTAACCCCCAGCCCTCCAGAATATTCTGACCATTTTTACTTACAATTGTTATCAGTTGTTAGGATTCAGTCTCTTTGAATGTAGATGAATTTTGCTATACTGCCTGCAAAATTAGGCAGTCTTTGATGATCCACTGGTGAGCCTACCACCAATTGTAAAATTGTATCTTGTTTATTTTTAATGTGTTTTGCTTTGCAGTTCTGATCAGTGACTGTGATAAAAAAAATACAGCCATCCACACCTGTTTATTTATTTATTTATTAGTTTGATTTATATGCCGCCCGACTCAGAGCGGCTTACAATGAGTTAAGCAATAGCCTTCATACTTTTGTATATTTATACAAAGTCAGCTTATTGCCCCCACAATTCCTCAATTGGGTCCTCAATTTACCCACCTTAGAAAGGATGGAAGGCTGAGTCGACCTTGAGCCTGGTGAGAATTGAACTTGCAGTAATTGCAGGCAGCTGGCAGCTAAATACTACTTTAATAGTAGTTTAGTCCACTGCACCACCAGGCTCCTCATGTTTGTAAGAGGAAGACTGTAACTGTCCAACCCAGATGGAACCATGCATCTTGTCTACATATACCGACTTCGGCCCAATTAACTTTACTATAGGAGCCAGGTAACGCCTAAAGGTAAAAGGAAAACGGCCCTCTGCACATGCCTCCCTGCCAGATACTTTTAGCCCCTTTTAAAATACTACCTTGCGTCCTCGAAACCTTTTCTCCATGCCTTATCTGTTTTTCCTTGATGCCACCTCTCCCACCTCCACGCACAAGTGGCTCACGACTGTTTCAAAATAAGCCTTTTTCCCAAGCCGGGGCCGGGAAAAACAAAGTGCAACATTACCCTGCTCACCCTCTGTACATGTGCAGAGAGCGACCGCCCCGCGCACGAAGAGCTTACCTCGTCTCCGAAGCGCACTACCTTCTGGCCGGTATTGAGGCGCAGATTCGGGTAGCAGACCGGAGGCGGGTTGTCTCGGGCTGCCCCACGGTGAGCCGCGTACCGGGCCTGGATGTTGGGCTGCACCAGGCTTTTGTCAATAATCTCGTCTTGCTGGCGGGGCGGCAGCCGCTCCCAGTCTGGCCCGTAGCGTTCGCGGATGCGCTCCTTCTCCGCCATGATTTTGCGAGCCATGGGGTTCAGCGAAGAGAAGTAGCTGAAGCGCTTACGTTCCCGCTCGTCCAGAGGCCGGTTCCCGTTCAGGACCGCCGTACGGGAAGCTGCGATCGCCGCCGCCATGGACGCCATCGCCGACCTGCCCCTGCTTCACGCGGCCCCGGGGACTCGGCACGGCGAAGGGGCAGCAGAGAGCCGACCGACTCTTCCGCCGCGCCCTCCGCTCGGCGGTTTTACTCCGCTCTTCGCCTCCGCCAACCTTTTGGCTCCTCCTCCTTCTGCGTTTAGCCACGCCTCCGTGGCTCCTCTCGGGCCTCCCTCCTCCTCTCGGCCCGCCGCGCTTCTTCCCGGCTGGAGCGGATGGTGGAAGTTAGAGGCGTTTGCTGTGGAAAGGCCTCCTTGCTTTTCTTCTTCCTCCTCAAAGCCGCCAGATTTGCATGGATGTACACCTTCCCAGGTGTGTTTCATCAACCCAGTCTTCGTCATGGCAGCATTAACCCGTTTCAAAACCTTGTTTAAAGAAGCCATTTGATCTGGATAAGAAGCGTTCTAAACACCCTTACTCAACTCTGAATCACAGTCTTCATGTTTTCCAGATGGACTGGTTCACCAACGGGCTGTTTTGCCTTAAGAGGGAAAAAGAATCTGTTCTCTCGTGAAGGCTGTGGAGGAAACGCTGCTTAGTAATGTAGTGGAGCAAGGAGCACTTGGGGTTTGTCACCTGAGCTCAGGTGAACTAGGCTCCCCATCAGCACCCAGTACGTCAGTCAATCAGAATAGAACTGGAAGGGACTTTGGAGGTCTTCTAGTCCAACCCCCTGCTTAAGCAGGAGACCCTGTACCATAGGTGTCTCCTGCTGAAGCAGCTACAACTTCTGAAGGCAAGCTGTTTCACTGGTTAATTGTCCCTTCTATCAGTGTCATCTGGAAGGATTGAGGAAGAGAGCTTTTCCCTGCCTTGGCATCTATATCATATTGCCCCAGATTTCATATTTGCCTGGGGATCCAGCAATGGTGGTGAACTCTTACAATGGCTGTAATGAGCCGATATAGAATGAATTCTGCTTCTGAGGGTGTTTTTCTGTTTGGTTTTTAAAAAAATGATTGTGGACAGTTTTTATATGTTTGTATATTGGCTTTTAACTTAAAGTTGGGGTTTTTTATCTCCACCCCAGTTGCTTAGATGAAATGGATGGCCACAGAAATCAAATTAATAATGGTTCTCTAAATTAAACAATGAGAACTTCCCCTGATCTATATGTGTATATAACCCCCACCTTTCTCCAAATGAAAAATGAAAAAGTCTTGTAATCAAAAATCAGACACACAATCTTGAGAGGCAATCAGGGACACAAACATTATCAGGGATTTATATCAATACTCTATTGACTCCAGTTCTGATTAACTGTTATCACCCTACAAGAAAAAATGTAACTTTTCATTGCTTTGAATTATAGGTCTCTTCTTTTTCAATCTCTCTGTTCTGTGAGGGAAGCAAGAAAGAAAATCCAACCCAAACTATTTCTATAGGCAATTTCTCCTGGGTCTACCTGTTTCCCCCCACCCCCCTCTCACAGAGCAGAGAGATTGGAAAAGATTATAGGAGGCACACAATGGGAAATTGACTTGGCTGTTTGCATTGCACTCGTGGCTGCCAGCCCCAGTGCATTGCTTTTGATATGTATTCCCCTACTGTGTGCCTGCTTATTCACTTGTAATTCCTTCCTCTCCAATGAATGTAAATAGAAACATTAATTTCCTTGTTAATTAGCCCAGCGCCAAGGTGAGTATTCCAAAGAGCCAGGGAGTTGTTAGGAGGCAAACAAAAGCTGAAGGTGTAAACTGATTAGTCTTGCCAGTTTGGAGCTGGAAAATGCAGTCATGGTCAGGTGATTTCTCACTTAGCAATCTCTTTACTTAGTCACAAAATTGCCAGTCTCAACTACTACTAAATAAAGAATACCTGTATATGCTTCACATATTTTCATAGCTATCTTTTATCATCTTGATGCAAAACCAAAAGAGCGGATATTATATTTTTGGAACGGTACATTTCCTGAAATGGATGGACTCAGAGTAGCAATACTCATAATCAACATTTTCTGAAAGCAAGTATCTGCAATTATTTCAAAGATTATTTTTTTTCTTTTTTCAATTATTTGTATCTTACATCCATCAATATTCAGAAGCCCTAATGGGACAGAACATTATCTTGTACAATTTGGTTCATATTGATTTAAATGGGCTTAAGAACAATTAATTCCGCAGAGTATCTTTTTAAGTACCTCACTGGTTAAGAAACAGAGGCACAGTTATATATAGAATAAATCAAATCATCATCTTCTCTCCAATAGTTCCAGTTACCGAAAAGAGTTCTATTTTCTACTGCATTTATAAAGATATAAATCTTTGGTTTCCATAAAAATAGCATTAGAAATCAGATCATTTCATGCTCATATCAGAAAAATAAAAACCATACAAAAGAGGAAGTCAGTGTTCTTTATTCAGATGTCACATACCAACTAAAGCCTTTTAAGACAATGTGATGAATCTGCACTTAATGCTTCCATCATAGTTCGTAAAGTCGGAAATGATTCTGATACCAGTGGAAGACTCTTGTAGGAAGGTGAAATGCTGAAAATGGAAAATTGCCAAGATTAATTGAAGCTTAGTTCATACACCTATCTAAAATAAAATTAACAAAATTGCATTGTATTTACATTTTTAAAATACTTGTTCAATATTTAGATATCAGCCTAGAGTTCAATGCCTGTTCAAGAGACTATTTAAGATATTAAAATAAGAGTAACAGTGAATTCTAGCCAAAATTGTTCTAATCTGAAAAATCATAAATCTAACTGATTGCATTTTTTCTATTAATATGTTCATGTATGTGTACATGTGTGTATACTGTATGTGTGTGCATGGGTGTGGGTGTATGTATATGTGTATTTCACATTACAGTATAACAGAATTCTGTTGTTTATCCCAATAACTTCAGTCAGTCCATAATTTGATTTATATTCAGTATTGAACTACATTAATTATATAAAAAACTACTGTTATATATGATTATTTTTAAAATTACTACATTGTATTTATCATGACATGCATATACATTCAGAAAGTTAAGCAGGATATTTTTCTGATGTGGGCAAAACAAAGTGATGATAATTCTTAGAAAAATCAAACCCCAAAGTGAATGAAGATGAAATACTTGGTAGAAAATGCAGAGCTGCTTCTTTTTTTCCCCTTAGAACACACTCATGTATACTATAAATCAATATTAGTATTTTTACCTTTTCAAATTCAACCAGCTTTTTGCTACTTTACTAAAGGCTTCTGAACTAGAGGCAATCATGGCTTCAAAATCCACCAACTGGAAAACATTAAAAATGAGTTTAAAGATAGAAACATTTTAAAATAATTTCCAATTATACCAGAACCTACCCACATATTCAGAGTCATGCAAAATGCATAGTCATATGATTTGGAAGACCAGCGGAGTAGCACTGGACATTTTTTACCTGTTTATCTCACAGAGGTTGCCATTATAGTAATTGCAATGCAACACTGAAAATCTAAAGCTGCACAACACAATTCAGAGGAAAATATATTTTAAATTTAAATTTAAAATCCACAATTTTTTTTTTTTTATTAATTTGATTTATATGCCGCCCTTCTCCGAAGACTCAGGGCGGCTTACAATGTGCTCAGCAATAATAACAATTATAAATAGTATTTAAATATATTTACATTTTAAGTTGGTCTACTTATATAACTTCTGTTAAAAGGCCTATCGGAAAGGTTATCATATATCTCAGTGCTATATATTAGAAACAGCACACTGTAGACAATATCCCAGATAACAAAAAGAAAATACAACTGCATTGCCTTTTGATAGCTTTCAATTCTCTCTTAAGGAAAGAATTAAGGAGGTAGAACAAGTTTACATATTCTGTTACTTCTACTAAAAGCTGACTGATATAAAAGTAAATGGATCAGGTTCAAGGCCCAAGGAGAAACATGCTTCCTTGGAAGTAAATTCCATTTACTATCCTACATGTATTAAACTATGGTTTCATTTAATGATTTTGTTACACCTTTCATTTTTTTAGGACTATTTCTAATACAGTACCAAAGAGGCAACCTTTGCAATATTAAAGGTATCCTCAAGCAGGATTCCATATCCTTAAGGAGAATTTTGGACACAGGAGTAAGATACAGAAACAATACATATATGACCAAGAGTTATTCTTATCTAAATTTGACATAATTTATACAGAGCATACCTTTCCTTTAGGAATTTTTCCTGACACTTCCTGTCCACTTGCCATCAGTGCTCCCATGATGATTGAATAAGCCACTATACTAAAACAACAATGCAACAACAATGTTCTTAGTATATAGCATGAAAACCCAGCAAGCTGGCAATGCAGAAAAATAACAGATTTCCCAGCATCACACAGTTATTTTACAGCTTCTCACAAATAAGAAAAGTGGAATAAAAATGGAGAAAAAATAATTGACTAAAAATAAGATGCTTTCTCTCTGTAAGACTCAACAGATAAAACAAAAGGAGACACATTCATTTCTTCTACAATTCATTTTCTAGCTGGCAGACTCTCACTAACAAACTCCCATTAATTGCAGATTGTCAGAATTTGACAGAATAACCATCACTAATTCGAGTCTTAATGAACAGGCAGTGCACAAATATGGAGAAATAAATTAATTATTTAAGGAGTTGGGGGGAGGGTTCTTTTACAATACTGTTTTCTTCAAGTTATTACATTTGCCACTCACCAGACTCTGGTTATTATGTACAAGTAAACATATATCCAACTACAAGATTGCAGCCTACATCAAATTTTAATCTTTCCAAAATATTAGAAATCTATTCTTTTATATTATTTATTTTTCTAACCTAGGGTAGAGAATAAGAATTGAAATGAAATAAATAAGTAAAATATCAACATTTGCACTTATTTAAAAATTGAAGAGGCAGAGAATAATATAACACCATAGTTATTTATGTTATTAATAAGATAAGCTTGCTTTAAATATTGTATAAAAAGATAGTTACTAACCTGGAACCTCTGGAAAGGGGCATTAAATTACAGAAGTAGTACAAAACAGACAAGATTAGATTGCATATGACATCTGTCTCCTAAATAAAATGAAATAAAATTTATTTAATTATTTTATTAAATTTATATTCCGCCCATCTTGCTAATATCATCAACACAATATTTCCCCCCCCCCAAAAAAAATTAAAGGTGAGGATGAAAATAGGCTTAGAACCACAAATCGCAATCTGGGCAGTGGTGGGCTGCTGCTGGTTTGGACCGGTTCAGGCGTACCAGTAGTTCCAATCAATGGTTGGGCCCACCCACTCGCCCTGGCGCTATCATGTCCTATATAATCACCAGTTTTTCGATGCTGTGGGCATGCTCACATGTTCAGTTCCGAGCGAATTGGTTGTTACAGTATGTGACGCCCACCTCTGAATCTGGGTGACAATCTATGGTGCATTTGGGGTTCAATTTGAAAGATATTTATGGAAGGGAATTGAAGGTTGGAAATTTCTACCCGTCTTGCCTATTACTCTTTTAATCCCCTTAAAATCAACCACAAAATGTTTTCCCAAAGGACATTTTTGGCCTATTTTTCAGATGGGGATAAAGGGAAACTTGGCTTGGTTCCTAGAAGCCTTTCATTTTAATTCTTATACTGGAATTCTGGGGGAGAAAACAGAAAAAATGGCTTTCTCTCCTACCTATGACTGTTTTTACATAACACGTTTTCCCTATACTCTCCAAAAGAATGGGAAACTAGACTGAACCTCCAAACCCTCAAAGATTGTCTACCAAATCTACTTGAACATTTCCTGTCTACTAGTTTTTAAAATAATCAATTAAAAAGACATTACCCTAGGTTCTGCAGACAAAAGATGTGTTTTTCCTTTCATAGTTAAATCTTTATACAGAGCATCTATTTCTGTATGATAAAGTTGTGTTCTTGCTTCTGTTGTCTGTGTCTCAACTGAAAACAAAAGATTACCAATCCTGCAAGGTATGTGAGAAAGAGAATGCTTCAAGAAAAAAAGGAAAAAAAGACTTCAAACATGTTCAAATAAACATAAAAATGTCAAGATTACTAAGCAACAATATGTGACTTTGCTGTATTCTTTTTACTGTCCAAAATATCATTAAATAATTATCCCTGAACCTTGCAACATAAAGACCAAAGAAAAAGAACAGCGAAGTTTTATGGATTGACATATCCATGATTTGTGATGGGTGTAATCCAGATATGAAAACAGAATATCAGAACTTTTGTATGTCAGGCTATCCCATGATTCATCATCATGTTCATGAGCTTATATACAAAGCTCAAGTTTTATGTTCTCCTTTAATAAAATTTCAGAAATACATTAAAAAGCAGCTTCTGTAATTTACTATATAAATTTACAATATTATATTACTATGTAATTTACTTTGTAAAGCAAAGTCGGCATCATTTTATTTTTTAATTATTTTTTTGTTTTAAAAAAAATAAAAGCAATGCAATGAAAGAAAAAAGGAAAATTAATGAGCAAATAATAAAGAAATAAATCTAGCATTTATTTTAAACAGACCTATTTGCTAATTTATTTGTTTATTATATTTCATATTTCTAAATCACCCATTCCATAAAGAGGGTTACAAACCAGAAATGTACCAGAATAAAACTAAATTCTAGTTTATTCTTCTTTCTGGTCGTGATAGAAAAGGAAAGAAATGAAATGGTGGAAATGCATCAATCACATGCTTTGTATAGGATTGTGCACTAATCTCTGAAGGAGGATGTTGTGTCTTACTCATTTAGCATATGGCATGTCATACATGGGGTAGCAATATATATTAACATTTCACCTAGATTGGTAAAACATTTGACATTACTTAAATACCAAAGTCTAAATCATGTAATCATTGAAGTGCAGCATTGGTTATATTTAAAAAAATCCGATACTGGACTGATATATACCCTCAGTTTATAGCTGGTCAGTGTCTTACGTAAATGCTAAGTGATTTGCATCAGTATAACTACACTGCTATACACCGATGAACATACACTAGATAATACAAAAAGACTCTATGGCTTCTAGTGCATTTATTGAATAGGAAAGTTAAAAACAACCATAGATAAAATCTAGTCCACACAATTCTGATGCATAAACAAGAAGCTGAATGGACAGTGACCTCCTGTCAATGTCAGACTTGGATAAAATGCTAAGTTCAGAAAATCCAGCTTTGCAGATAAATGATAAGGTATTTTAGTATCTTTGAAACCTCTCTGGTCTCTGAAACCCAGGCTTTAATTGATTAAAATAAAGATCTGTATGTCATAACATAAAAGAAAGACTTACCTGTTTCCTGTTAAAGTAATAGTAAATCCATCATATTCCTTTCCTGGATTTTTGAGGCTTGGGACTTTGGTGTGGATGGTAAAACCATCTCTTGTTTTACTATTAAGCTGCTTTACAAAAAATGCCAAAAGAAATGTTCAAAACAGACTGAAATGTTCTTTTTATACTACATAATGCAAATTATAACAATCCCAAAAGGACAGGATATATTTCCCTAGCTGGTGCATCCTCTCAGTGCCAGAAGATGTTCACTTCCTATTACAGGAGCTATTTAAAAGAGCAGAGAGTTTCCTATGTTAGGACTAGACTCATCCTAGACAGGGTACAGTTAATGCCTGTAAACCTTTTAAAGACACCCTTGCAAATGACTTCTAGCAAGAGAAATTGCTACCTAGCAAGAAGAGGTAAAGAGAAAAGAAAATAAATGATCCCACTCAGTTTGGGTTTCAATCTCACTTTCTGGCCCTTCCATCTCATGTATATATTATGTCATAAGTTCAAAAGTTGCAGAGTGGTCGTTTAGATATAGATGTGTTTATTTACCGTTTCCCTGAAAATAAGACCTCCCCAGATAATAAGTCCAATCGGGCTTTTGAACGAATGTGCTAAAATAAGTCCCCCCCCTTGAAAATAAGCCCTTCCCGAAAATATTTAAATGCATGTGCAGCCAGTCCCCACCATTTCCTCTGGTCAGAGTTAGGGAGACAGCTGGAAATCAGGTAAGATGGCAAGAGGAGCCCCGTCTTGCTCCACGCGTCCTAAATAATAAGACCTCCCCGAAAATAAGGCCAAGTGCTTATTTCAGGGTTCAAAAAAACATAAGACAATGTCTTATTTTTGGGGAAACACAGTATTAATTAATCAAATTTGCTTCCAGATCTCCTCCTATCTTACTGCTCCCCTGTAATCTGGTTCTGTAAGTGATTTCTTTCTTCAAAGAAAATAACTGCCTTACATTTTTTTAAAAAATCACATATGTAGTTGTTAAATTAAACAGCTTTATTTGTAATATACAATAGTTATCACATTTCTTATTTACTATAAAGCCCAAATTTTCAGATGCATGGATTTCAACTCCCAGAATTCCCTAGCCAGTCAGGGAATTGAAATCCACATATCTGAAAGTTGGGCATTATAGTAAATGAGAAATGTGATAACTACTGTATATTACATCTGAAAGTGCTGAGATTGAGAAACACTGGTATAAAGCCAAAAAATACCAGTCAAAGGAGATAACTATAATGTACAAGTTAAAACATAATACAAATATTATGTCATGGTGCTAAGAATTGTGACATCCAATTTAAATGAATTCTAGAGGACACAGGAAAAGAATGGCTTGACAATAATAACTATGTGCCTCTAATTTTATTTTCAATATAATCCTAGATATATATGGCAACACAACTCTCCGTAACATGATTTGGAAAATCTTGCCTCAAAAGTTGGTCTTTTATATTACAGTACTTTGTAGAAAGATGAGATTCATGCATCTTCTTTCCCTCGGCTGTAATAATACAAACCAAATTCAAAACACAGCCAATATGAGATAATATGACTATTTAATTATAACATAATGGGCAAGTTGTAATATTTAATTTCTACACTGTTATGTTTGAATGATCTAATTTCTATTAATAAAAATAGGTTGAAGAGAAAAATACCTTCATAATTGGAAGAAGATCTTCTACCTTATGTACCTGCTCCAATGCTTCACGAACTTCCAATAGTTCTTTGTGGTTATTAGCACTAAAATAGATTTTAGCACAATTTCAGTTGAAAAAGATTTTAGCACAATGTCAGGTAAGTATTTCATCATTAGATTCTATTTATTTATTTAGCATGGAAACAGGATACATCATAAAATATTTCTCTGATTACCTGATTTTTATTACTAAACCTTTTTTCACACTTTTAATCCACAGTTTTTGAATTGCTTAATTTTTCTCTCTATTATCTCATATACTGATATTTTCTTTAGCTGGTCTTTTTCTTTTGGCTAACCTAAGAATATTTTCCCCATTTTCTACCCTGTTCTTTTATCTCTCTCTTTCTACCCCATTGTCTAAAATTCACTGAATCTTGATATTTGCATACATGCTCTTGCAACTAAGTCTTTGATCTCTAATTGTTTGGGGTTTTTTTTCATGATATTTATCTCACTTTATTCAGATGATAAATATACAGCCAGAATACATGTATACATATTTACACATACAGAGCATTTAGTCTTAAAATGCTTTATAAATAACAAGAATTACTATAAAATTACAAGAAAAAATTGTGTACCTATGATAAACAAGGATCCTGTCTTTGATAAAATGAAGTATCTTGTCAAAATACTCTGTGTATCTCATGTTAATAAACTGGCCCCTGTAGATATAAATATTTTTAAAAATGGATATTAAAGGTAGATTAAAGAGATCATTCATACATGAATAATTAAAGGACATGAACAATTTTTATACATGACACTGGATTATGAACTGTGCTCGCGAGGATTCTTTTTCTAATACCTACCGGTACTTGCTAAGAAATCTGGAGTATACGAACCATAAAATATTCCAAGCATTACAAAACTCATTTTTAATTTATCCTTAATCACGGTATATGAATTACAGTTGAACAGTAATATGGTAAGAGGAGAAAATTATGAACAATTATATTATAAATTATCAAATTCATAAAATGAATGAATGTAAATCTTCTCCCTTTTAAGTGCAAATTTTAAATTTTAATGTATTTTAAAATATGGGTATTTTAAATTATGGGTATTAATTCAGCCAGATTTATTTAATTCATTTTATTCGATTTTAAATTTTGTATATGTATGTGTTTTATTTTATGGCTGTTCACCGCCCTGAGTCCTTCGGGAGTAGGGCGGTATAGAAATTCAATAAAATAAATAAATAAATAAATAAATAAATGTATGCTTCATGTACATTAAATTTGTAATATAAATGCAAGTTATACATAATCATTAACAGTATTTAATTCATAAGAGAAGTCTCTTTTGCAATGAGCTTTACTCCTAGATAATATATTTTAATAATGTAGTTTTTGAATTCTAAACAGTGTGAGAACAACATTAAGCTATTTAATATCTGAACAGTTTCCAAGTTATCTTGAAAGAACCAATCCTAATAAAATCCCTTTGGTTGGCAGGTCACTATTTGGAGTTCAACCAAGATGCTTTACAGATGACTGTAAGATTAACCCTCCCAACTCTCAACAACCCTCACAAGGCATTTGTTTGTTTGTTTGTTTGTTTGTTTCCTGAATGGTTAGGCTATTCCATTCCAGATGACTCTGAACAGTTTTATAAATTAAAATATTGTACAAAATAATCACCGCAGTTAAAACAGGAAACATTCAGGGAGCAAAAATCCTTCTGTCCATATAGTTTATAACTCAAGCCATGGGTGATCTCCCTCCCTCCCTCCCATGAAAGGTAGCGCCACTCTACTCAGAATCAAAGATGAAAGGAATTCAGTATCAGGATGGCTGAACATCATAGCCACTCAGTTGCTACAGTGCAGGCAACTGAAAAGTGTATCTTTCTGAAGCATTATAAAACCAGATTAAATTTATAAACTATCAAGATAGAAACATTTTATGTTACCCTAAAAATAAAATTTGTTTGGACCGCCCAAAAGCAATATTTCCATAGAGTCATGGGATACCAGATAGGTTTTTTTGTACTAAATGGATTACACTTACAGGATGCAAAAATTGTCTGTTCTTCAAACTACTCCCCCAAATAAGCAAAGCTAGTGAAAGCAAATACTTCACAGTATTTCTGGGAAAAGCAAAAAGTTTGCCAGTCTATTTATATAAACCATAGTCCAAACACCTGTAATTGACCATAGTGTGGCCTGTACTTTCCTGCACTTCTTTGGGAATGCTCCAGCATGGAATCCTGTTTTGTTTTGGAGGAGAGATGGGGACATACAATGATGAAACTATTCTTAGATGGTGAGGACCTGTTGTGCCACTATAGAGGCACTATTACTATTTTAGGAGCAACTTTCAATATAAAAAAAATTACAACCTCAGTTGGGAGTAGAAAGCACTTCTGAAAGACATGAGGATTATTGATTTGACTCCAGAATAACATAACTTGATCCTCTGGACAAAGGAAGGGACTATATTTTGTTTTACAATATATTAAATATAAAATATAGTAAAAGAAAAACATGTAAGGCCAATTTTAAAATCCTAATCTTTATATTGAGAATTAACCTCATAATATAGAATATACGATTCTGTCACAACATCTGGAGTAAACAAAATTTCACTGAAACATCATACCTGATAAGATTGATGTGATTATTAAAACCTCTACTAAGGCTTTGAGCTGGTATTTGGTCTAACCATAACACTGGCTGGTCTGGATCAGCTATCCTGCAAAGACACACTGTGTTTAATCCCATTAAAGATTAATTAGTTATATCAAGTCACATCCAATTTGACATTTTTATTGCTTCTTTCCAACTACAATATTGAGCTAGCTTCTAGAATGGGCAGCAGGAGATTAAATTAGAGAGCTAAATTATAGTTCAAGCCATTATAGAGTTAATCAACAACTGATCATGACTGTTTGGGGACATAAAACAACCTAACTATAAATCATGAATGGAACCCAAATGTCTCATCTAGCTCCTCTCCATTGCCCCTCAATGGTTTCTTTAAGTTTTTTTAATGAGGATTTACCTTGACTTCCTCTCACCACTAACAAAAGTGGAAAAATATATAAATTAAACTCTGTGGGAATAGAACTGGGAACTAAATAAATCCTAAAAATACCAACATACTCAGCAAAGAAAAGCACCAGCTGAGGGAGAATTCAGTTGATTCAATTGAGTGCATTCCTAAGCATAAACTTGTTACGCTGCTAAAACTGTATTATCCTATAAGAATAACCTTATTGGAGCCAACTGTAGTTTATTTTAGTACAAATTAAGAGTTCCATAGTGGCAACCAGTTACCTCTGGGAAGCTCACAATTATGATGGTATTACTTCTCTATCTGTTTCCCTGAGACTGATTTTCAGAAGCCCACTGCTTTTAGTTTTAGAATAATTTGATAAACCTATGCAATGGCCCTTTTCTAAGCTAAAGAACTCTACACTATGCAATCTTCCCCCAAGAACATTGAAAATCTCATTGTCCTTTCATTTGTCTCTTTTCTGAAATTTTTTCCATTTTTTCCATTTTTTTTTTTTTTGAGGTGCACCAACCAGAACTAATGAAATAGAAACCACACAGAGATCAAATAAGGTAATTTCCTCGGTCTACTGTGTCTTTACTTTTATGACACTTAGCTAGAATTCCTGATGGTGATAATCAGCAAAATCCACGAGTATCAATTTAATATATTTGAAGACTGTAGAAACTGTTTGGAGGGACACTTTACAAAACATCTCTATATCTCTCAAAAATTTGGCGAGGCCCATTTCTGGTCTTCTAGCAATGTCTGTGCATTTCACTGAAGATGCTTCCCTTGTAACTGCCACTCCATTTCACCACAGCACCTTTCCAAATAGTTTGCACAGTCCTAATCAATGTTCTCCTTTATTACCGTCTCCATTTCACAGCAATGTCGAACATATCTCTCCATTGCATCAGCTTGGTTTTTCCATTCATCCGCACCTTTGAGTTTACCCAAGTTCGCTGTACAGCTTGCATTACTTCTAGCACCGCTAGCCCCATTGCTGAAGAACAAACAAAGTAGGCATAAGTTCAGCCCACTCACATTTATTCTCTTCATATATTGAATTGCACCATTTTTTTGAATCTCAGGCCTGCTGTGTTCAGTGAGGTTAACATCCAGCTCAGATTGTAATTTAAGAGAAACTATGAAATACATGATAGCTGGTGTTGGATATCACTGGGCATAGCTGCCTCGATAGATTTGATACATAGAAATGACAGCTTGTAAATATTTGAATATTTTTGCATAATCTCTGAATGAACTGCACTACAAGTTGGAAGAAAGTATGTTTTATAGTTCTATATTTTAAAATAGACAACTGTGATCATAGCAAGAGAAATGATATTCAGATTATATTTTCCTAGCTTACCTCTATGCATTCTCTTGTTTGGGAGAAATCCAACAGTCTCATACTGCATTAATGAACCCAAATGATTAGCTACACATATCATCTCTTGCACTGAGGACTTATAGTTTTCAAATTTGTGAAGCTGCACATCTCTAAAATTATAACAGAGTTTATATGAAATATCAAGAGGGTTTCTATGAAGTCATAAACAGAGAGTAAATATTAGGAATTAACATTCGAAACAAGGTGCAAGACCACTGACTGTCACCAAAGTAGAAGGTTGTTTGGCAATGTTCTTATTTATGAATATAGAAGGTCGTCATCTACACTAAACAACCACTCTTTCAGCAGCTGTCTGAACTTACGACAGTGCTGAACAAGTGGTATTTGCAACTAGTCTTCATACTTATGATGGCTGCAGACCCCCTGGTCATGAAATCATGATCTGGGCATTCAGTGACTGGCTCACCATTATGACATTGAGGCATCCCACAATCACATGACTGTCATTTGGAACCTTCATTGCTGGCTTTTGACAAGCAAAGTCAATGTGAAAACCAGCAGGAGGTAGCAAATGACAATCACATGATGTTGCACTTAATGACATCAGATGATTTACTTAACAACAGCAGCTAGAACTGCTGTTGCTAAGCAATGCGGTCATGTGACATTGTGCTTTATGATCCTATCATCATTTACTAATGGAAATTCCGGTCCCAATTCCAGTCATTAAGTGACAATTGCCTGTATATTAATAATTGTCTAGCTAGACAGTTTAGTACTGTTATCTGGGATTGTTTCTTTACTAACAGGATCTTGCTTAGTCCTGCAGACTAAAGGAGTTTCAACAGCCACACATTCTTCCAACAAGCATGCAAAACTCTCAATTTTCAAGTGCCATGTTGCTGCCAATGGATAAGAAGCTGCTTGAAAAACAATTTCACAAGTTCTGAATGAAAGGTAAGCTTGTTTTCTGTGATGGTTTCATCAACAGGTTATAGACAAAGATGTGTGTGTGTGTGTTCCAACATAGAGATATTTGATCTTCATTTCAACAATACTAATACAGGGATAAAACAAATATCATGCACTATTTACATTGTGTAGACTAATTTAAATAAACATAAATGCAAATCTTGCGTGTGGACGAAAGTACACCCTTACATTTATCACTACTTCAAATATCTAAAATTAGAATCAAGTGAACCAGATCAGATACAAATCATTAGAAAGATCTGTGAAGAGCCTGTCTCATTTACAGTTCAGACATTTAGCTTGATTTGCCCTTTGTTGTTGAAGTGTGTGGTATCACCATGTTTAGTTCAAGAGATTATCTGAGGTCTTCAGAAAGAAGGTTGTAAATGTCTAGGAGTCTGGGAAGGGATTAGAAAGATGGCCGTTTAAACAACTAGATAGTTATCATTCCGCTATCCAGAAAATTTCATCTGCAAGTAGAAATTATTTCAAACAATCACCAATCTGTCAGGTCATCACAGCAAGTTCAGCCTGTGAGCAGAAGGAAAGATGCTGAAAGAAGTCTCTAAGTACCCTAGAATTACATTATGTAATCCTTTGGATAAACCATAGGATTTGTACCTTGATGTCAAGGTACCTAAGTCTACCATTAGAAAGAAGTTGCACAAATTAGATCTACATGGGAAGAAATCTTTGCTGCCCAGAAAGAACACCAAAGCAAGACTGAAGTTTGCTCATGAACACTTAAGTAAAGACCAGGACTTCCGGAATAATGCATTGTGGACAGAAAGGCAAAGTTATTTAGCCACAGTACAAAAAACATGTTTGGTGAAAACAAAAGATAGCATTTCACCAGAAAAACTATTAACTACAAAGCATGGTGGTGGAAATGTTATAGTTTGGAGCTGCTTTCCTGTTTCAGGGCCTGGGCAGCTCATCATCCTAGAATCCTTTATTGCAGCAGAAAGTGCTTGAGGATAATGTGAGACCATCTGTCAGAAATTGGAGCTGAACTCAAAGTGGACCTTGCAACATGACAAGTGTCCTAAATATTCCAGCAAATTCACCAAGGAACGTCTGGGGGGAAAGAAAGAAATGGTCGATTTTCAAATGGTCAAAATTAAAGTAACCTTAATCCAAGATGCTATGGGGTGATTTGAAATAGGCTATCTATGCAAGAAACCCCTCAAACGTCACACAGCTTAAAAAATTCCTCCCAGTCAATGCCAGAGACTGTAGACCATTGTTTCTCAATATTGGCAGCTTGAAGATGTTTGGACATCAACTCTCAGAAACATTGCTGTAGACAGTTATAAGAAATGCCAATTGGAGGTTGTTTTTGCCAAAGGGGGAAATTCCAGGCAATAAGACTAAGAGTGTACTCATATTTTCCACAGAAGGAAATGCCATATCTGTTAATTATTTGTTCAATAAATGATTGCAAAATCAATTTTTCATAGTTTCATGTTTGGAATCTGTAAAGTTGTTGACATAATTTATTTTGGGAACAAGAAATCGCAGCTACTATTGCTTTTGTAAAATTGTATTCAATTGAGCAAGACTGAAAAAAAGAACATTTCAAATTCTTCTTCCTAGCTTTTACATGAAACAGAAAACCATGGAATTTTACAAGTTTTTAAAAAAGAATGCATAAAGATATACCGCCCGTTGCTCTAGATTAAACATTGAAACATTTCTAGCACAGCCTGGTAAGAAAATAGCACTTTAGTCACTCACTTTATATTTGGTTGTAGGCCTGGCTGTTCTTCATAGTCTTCTATCAAAAAAGGAAGATTCTTGACCCAGTGGTCTTTAAACTTCCCAGGAAGATCTGCATCTATGTTGTATTCTGTAACTGGAATATCAAGATGTGCATGGAGATAGCGAGAATATTCTGTGGAGAAAATGAGATACATTTTCCCTAATAAATTTTCCAAGACCTCCATATGAAATTCAGCTGATTTATCCCTCTCCCGTCTCCCCCCAAAATTAAAGCAAGGCAATATGGTTTGTACTCATTTTATTAATATTTTAATGCCATATTTGGATATTTTCCCCAAACAACAGGACTGTTAAATTTTCAAAGTGGCAGACAGTTTTATACAGTTGGCAAGCAACTAACCCTTTGCGTGATCTGTGAAGATCAAACAGTTGCTAGTGGTGGTTCTCCACTCAAAATGTACTTCTATAGCCAAGCTTTTTAACTGATGTCTTAGCTTCTTTACATCTATATGTTAATAATTTCAATTGTCTTTGCTTTGGGCGTTTTGTCAATCATTCAGTCTTTGAAGTTAAAAAAGTTGAATTGTTGCAGTAATACAAATTTCTAAGTAAAACATCCCATGAATGGAGAAAATATTAGAAAAATGGCCAGGAAGATGATTTTATTTCTCTGGTAGTTTAGTTTTTTATTAGTCATTGACCAGAAATAAGTTAAGTTGACAAAGTAATTAAACAATTTATGTTTCAAATAAAATAAAGTATAGATACAATACGGTTAACTAGATCACAGAAGCAAACGAAGAATGTATTTTATTTTCAAAAAGTGTCCATAAAACCCTCTGTTTAAATATACAGAGATTTGTGTAAAAACATTAATTATATTGTTATCAGCAACTTACCCCTGAAGTATTTCACTTTCAGATATTCTGTGCTGGCTGTTTGACCAGGCAAGGGATCATTTAGCATAACTTTAGTCTGAGCTTTGATTCCTTCATAAAATTGGCCCATGGCAACATGACTGAGACCTTTCATGTACTGACATACTTCATTATATGGCTCTATTTGAAGACACCTCTAGAACATTGAAAAGGGACAATAAAACTAAGACATGAGTAACATTTCAAACCCATCAAATACAATTTCTTCTCTTCTTTTTTTAAAAAGTTTTTTTTTCTCCATGAAGCTATTTCAGCGAGACTGTTTTTCTGTTCATTTAACATAATATGCTCATTTTTAACGTAATTGTAGGTCGCTTGGTTCCAGGGTACCTTAATATCCTCCAGGTAGAATATGTGTGGTCTATGCATGAAGGGGAGAAATGATGGAGGTCCTACCCCCATATAAAGGGAAAGGGAATATGGATACAGAGGCACACCTTCTCTATTAAGGCTCCACATTCTGGGACACTTGCCCTTCTGCAAAAGAGATCAAGCTGGAGCTACCTGAGTGGCATTTAGGAACTAAAATAAAATAAACTGAGATCCTATCCAGAAAGATTTGTTATCTGTCAATAAACTTCTGGGCAATCTGGTGGCATTGGTGCCAGTAGTTACTTGGTGGGGTTCTGTTTCCTTTGAAAGAGGTTGCAGGTAGTCCTCGACTTACGACCATGATTGAGCCCAACATTTTGGTTGTTAAGTGAGACATGTGTTAAGTGAGTTTTGCCCCATTTTACGATCTTTCTCACCACAGCTGTTAAGTGAATCATTGCAGTTAATAAGTTAGTAGCCCGGTTGTTAAGTGAATCTGGCTTCCCCATTGACTTTGCTTGTCAGAAGGTCGCAAAAGGGGATCACATAACTTTGGGACACCGCAATGGTCATAAATATGAACCAGTTGCCAAGCATCCGAATTTTACTCACATGATCCTGGGGATGCTGCGAGGGTCTTAAGTGTGAAAAATGATCATAAGTCATTTTTTTCCAGTGCCGTTGTAACTTTGAACAGTCACTAAGTGAACTGTTGTAAGTCAAGGACTACCTGTATTTGTGACTTTGGGATTCTTTTGGAACCACAGCTCTTTCTTACATGACAGAATGTAGCCATAGCTAGAAAAGCCCTTGCTCAGTTCCACTTGTACATTACTTATAGCTCCAAGTAGACTAAGATGCCTCGGTGACGGTAACTCACACTTGATCCCTATTTGGCTAGACTACTGTGATGTGTTCTCTAGAAGATGCCTTTGGAGAGGCACCAGTAGTTGCAGGTAGTGCAGGATACAGCAGCCAGATTGATTATGAATCAAATTCAATATTGCAGGATAACATCTATGTTGTTTCTTATAATCCTTTGCAGTTTCTCCAGAGATATTATAAACAAACATGACAGAACTTTTATAATATACTCCAATTTTGCCAGTGCTTACCTTAAAGTTTTTCAACGCTTCATCCAAGCTTCCATGATGATAAAGCATATTTCCCTTAAGTTGTATCGTCTGGACATGATTTTGATTAAGCATCAATGCCTTCTGAAAATTTTCCGCTGCAGCTTCAAAGTTACCAAGTTCTCTAATTATTTTATTGAGCAATTAGATAAAAAAGCAACAGCAAATTAGTACTTTTATCTAGTAAATTTTTTAAATGGGATTTATTAAAATAGGGCTTAAAATAATATTATGATTATTAAAGTTACAGATTCATGACATGTTTGACAGAAAAACTATAACATTTGAGACATCTAGCAAGCATTGCACCCTTGCTCAAAAATGTCCCTTTCCATAAACCCAATTTGTGAATGCTTTATTCTATTATTATTATTATTATTATTATTATTATTATTATTATTATTATTATTTTGCACTATGCATATTTGATGGAGAAACATTAAAGTTAAGAGAATTTTGAAACTGCTTACCGATAAGCCTGGCCCAGACTTTTATAGGCATCTATGAAGTCTGATTTCTGCTTCAGGGCTTCTTTAAATATCTCAATAGCTTCCTGTGAAAAGCACAACACTGAACTACTTCCGTTACTTCTATTCACCTTTTAGAATGAGTACATACATAATGGGATGAAAGATCGGGACAATGAGTTGCTGACAGATATTATTAGGAAGATTGTATTTCCTGTTATATATACTCCGTATGAATTAGTTTTAATATAAAGCAAAACATTTCAAAATATTCGTTCTTTTAGAACCTGTGTGAAAAGGTTCTATAATACAGATAACAATGGTAAACTTAACAAAGAACTAAAATTAGACAACAGCCTAAGTGATTAAAAGATACAGACTTCTAAATTTATCTGTCAGAAGTAGCGTAAAAAAATAGAGATGACAACTTGGGCTTTTTTTAAAAAAATGGCATAATAAATCTCTGGCACAAATTAAAATAATTTGTGAAATTTCAAAAGTCTTCAATCTTAATTCTCAACCATGCTGCAAGTAATATAGTTAAATATAAAGCAGGACAGCCAGGACTAATGAAAGCATTTTCAAGCTTATTAAGTACAATGAAAGAAAATAAGGCAGCCTGCCTTTAATCAGCTTGTTTAGTGACAGAAGTTTCAATGGTTTGTAAAGAGGAAAGATACTGATGATATTGCAAAAATCAACATAAAGAGTCTAGACCGTTAAGTGACAAATGACAAAAACAAGTGACATTAAAATATTCCTATAAGTGAAAACAAGCATTCTTCATCCTCAGATAAATTTACAATCATGAATACTGATAATAATTCAGTATTAAATACTAGGCAAGAGACAGAGTTCAAGATCAGAATATTGACTTGCAAACGTGAGGTTCCAGGTTCAGCCCGAGGATTTCCAGGATATATGAACTCAAGAAACATTAAGAAAATACTTGGAAGAAACAAGAACTGGGTTGATATACACTAAGTAATGGCTTGTGTTAACCATGACTTGTTAAAAAAATATTGTAATCTGGTCCTTATGTAGTACTAAGGCAAAGCCAAATAAACCAAGTTATAGCTTAGTAATGATATGCAGCCACTGACTTTTGAAAAAACAACAACAATGGACTAAATTAAGCATACATATAAAAACAAGTCTGTTTGTCTTGTTTATTTTTCTTCCCCAACCGTTCCCAAACAAATCAATCTGAGCAGCATAATTGTAACTTTTTGCATTTGTGGAAACATAGGATAGGAATTCCATACCTTTAAAAGCCCTCTGTGAAAAAAGGATAAACCTCTGTAAAGCATAACAGTGGGCTGGTTTTTGTTCAGCTCAAGAGAGTCCTGAAAATCTTCATTGGCTGTTGCATAGTCCTATTGTAGAAAAATAGCTTTCATCAGATAAGAGAAAAAAAATCTAGACCCAATTCAAAATATATCATGTAATACTCATATTATGACTTACACAATATTAATTCTTAAAACAGAAGCGCTACTGCCAATCACACACCAACCTAGGCAAAATTAAACTTTTAAATAAAATTAAATAGATTTTCTTAATATAAGACCTGCTGAATTCAGTTCGTCTTATTTCCTAGTAAAAACCACTGGAATGTACTACGAACTGCTTGTGAAAAAAATGTGCATAAAAACAGATTGTACAACTTAATTCAATAAATGGGATCAGAAAAAAAACAATCTGCATTTATAAAAATTGCACTAATAACTAAGACATTTTGTGGGAATGACCTCATTGCAACACCTAGAGGTACAAGTTATTCCTTAAACTTTTGAAATACTGAGACCTAATTCATCAAGTTTTTCTTTTACCCTAAAACTAATATACCTATGTTCTCTTTCTGTACAAAAATGTTGTACAGAACATTTGTATAAAGGCAGTATATAAATGCTTTAAATAACCAAGTAACTAAAATAGTATTTTTTAAAAAGATGTCACGGCATTAAGCATTTGTTCTATACAATTTCCCTGCAGGAAAAAGGATTGGATTGATTCTCCTAACCTTCATGACCCATTTTTATAAGCAGACTCCTGTCAAGTCTACATGAGCTAATCTTACCGGAAGAGGTGGGTCATGAAAGGCAGGAAGAATGGAAGAGCTGTCTTATTTGGTATAGGGTCTCCCACTTGAGCAGGGGGCTGAACTAGAAGACCGCCACATCCCTTCCAACTCTATTCTGATTAATTAACTTTGTGAACAATGTTTCCTAATATTATGAATGCCATAATATTTTTAATGCCTGGTTGTAGCAATAGCTTTATATCAGGATGAGAATGAAGATTCAAACAGGGGCATCTGGGGAAAGGAGGGTCACGTAAAGGTAGTTGCTGCAGTTTCAGACTTTATGGAGGCTCCTGCATTCAAGAGAATCCCTAAAGGGAGATAAATTCTAAAAACATACTGAGCCTAAAGTAGTTTTCACATGACTGGAAGCTTAATGTTTAGTACTATGAAGGACTGAAGTCTTACCTCAGATATGAAGTAAAGAATACCTCTGTGTCGATAAAGCTGCGCTGAGCGTTTCAGCTGAATAGCTTTAGTGATATCAGTCAGTGCTTCACTAATTCGACCCAAAGATGACAGTATCTATAAATTCAGAATAATATTTTAGCGTGGCAAGGACTGGTTCTTGGATTTAATCATGAAGCACTAGGTCATGGAGAATAAAAATTGGACCTGAACAAACATTCTGAATCTCTAACTTCTGAACAATGCTAACCTTTTCCAGTTAGTTTCATCTTTGGCGACCCACAGAACACAAGTAATATTCAAATAATTAATTAATCATGCAGAGAGAGATAGAAATTATCATTTCCCTTCCTTAAAAAAGGCTATTTATTTATTTCCCGATCTAAAAGAACACTATTTAGTGTTAGACAGTGATTTGGGAAGAAAAAGGATCTTGGAGCTATATTAAATGATGTATTTATTTCTGTTCCAAATACTCCAAGCCCAAGTGTACAAACATGCTGCATTTGTCACACACATATATACAAGACGCAAAAATAGAAATTATATTTACATGTTCTTTGAAGATTGGTTTGTTTGTACAATATTTCTAATTAAACTGGTTCTCCAGTTTACAATTTTGGTATCATCAAAGAACAGGACAGATGAAAGTGTTACTATTTAATTAGAAATCTCTTAATGAGAGAGCCAGTTTGGTTTAGTGGTTGAGGCACCAAGCTAGAAAGTAGGAGACTGTGAGTTATAAACTGGGTAACTTTGAGCCAGTCACTTTCTCTCAACCAATCTATCAAACAGGGTTGATATTTGCGGGAAAATAGGTGAAGGCAGTAGTATTGTAAAAAAAACAAAAAAAACCAACATAATAATAATAAAAATAATAAAGGCAGGATAAAAATATTTTTTTGAAAATAAAGATGATGGGCTGGTCACTCTTGCCTGCTAGACCCCAAATACATGACCACCACCCCTGACCATCACTCCTTCCCCCCCCCAACAAATTGTCAGTATTGTTCAAGTTCAGAGCTTCTATTCCAAAGAAATTACAGGTGTCCTCGACTTATGACCATAATGGAGCCCAACATTTCTGTTATTAAATGAGACATTTGTTAAGTGAGTTTTGTCCCATTTTACGACCTTTTTTGTCACAGTCGTTAAGTGAATCACTGCAGTTGTTAAGTTAGGAATACGGTTGTTAAGTGAATCTGGTATCCCCATAGACTTTGCTTGTCAGGTTACAAAAAGTGATCACATGTCCCCAGGACACTGCAACCGTCATAAATCTGAATCAATTGCCAAGCATCTGAATTTTGATCACTTGACCATGGGGATGCTGCCATGGTCATAAGTGTGAAAAATGTTCATAAGTCACTTTATTTCAGTGCTGTTGTAACTTCAAACAGTCACTAAATGAACTGCTGTAAGTCAAGGACTACCTGTAGTCTTTCAGTCTTTTTTTCTCAGCAACAGTACTGCTTATTGAATGCTCTTTCTACTCTTTCTGATCTTTTCATTTTGGTTCTGCCTTATTATACATGCAGGATTCTTCATAGACTAAGCCAAGTAGAATGTCCAGGAGGAACTTTCTGCCTGATTCCTCCAGCACCAGAATAGCTCTTTTGTGCTACTTAGGACATATCTGTTTGTTAATAAGATTTTATGTTGTCATTTTAGAATATTGGGCAAACAATTTTTCTTAATGACAAAGCTAGAGCAATAGTTTTTCTTCTTTACAGAATAGCATCTGTAACAAAAAAGGACCAAGAGTACTCTTGTGCTCCAGCAGTTTGGAAATCCCTTTTTTGTTTTATTTTGTATTTATTATCAAATTTGTAAGACTGACCATCTATCCATAAAACTCTGGGCAGCAAACATACTGTATAAAAGAACAATAATGGTTCACATCCTTTTAGTTAAAACACAAAATACCTACACTATACATCCAAGCCCAAACTCCCAAAATAACAATCTAACCATTTTTATTTTCATAATGAGTTTGAGGAAATCTTCAATTTGGTTTAAATGAAGAATTGGGATGGAGGTAAGGACTGATTTTCTCCCAGCACTGACCCATTAACCTAGTCTCCTAAATGTTTTTTAAGGTGTCACTATTTTAGTTTATATAGTGATATTGTATATCGTATTTCTGTAAATGGCTGAGATACAAGACTAGAATAGTTTTAAACATCTAATAAATACTAAGGTAAACTATATACCTCGGAATGCTCAGCTGCAAAATAATTATAATACATTGTTTGAATGCCTTGAATGTATTTATATTGGGAAAAAACTAACTTTAGCTGGTTCCCATCTTCTCTGTTAGACTCTACCTATTTTTCACCCAAATAAGTCTCACTATCCTTAATCTATTGATAGTTGTATAGGGTACTGTGTAACCAAAGCTGAATAAACACTATTGCCCTTTGAATTAAATAGATGGCATAAACCGCATACAGAAGTTACACTGCATTTAAGGCAATAATTTTCAACAATAAAAAACTTTCAATAATTTAAAAATGAGAAAAAATATAGACATCAGAGTATTTTAAAACAGGAAAAGTACCTCTGCTCGTTGTTCAAACACTTCAGGATGATCTGGTGCCAGATTAATTACTCTGTTTAGTTCAAACAAAGCAAGCTCGGCATTTTTAATATCCTGGAAAATAATGAATAATAAGCTTTGGTATATTTAGTTTAATCAAAGTGAAGTTAGGTTCAGAGGGTTTAGAATGAACACCACCAAAGGCATCAAACCAACTGCTTTCATATGTAAGTAAAACAAAGGAGCTTTTGATATGACAAATATAGCTCAATGATCTATTGAAATAGTTCTTTTTTATATCCATTGTCGACAATATTTTGAAGATGAAAGTAGTGTTGCTTCCATCTAAGTCTTTGGTTACAGAATTGGAGCTCCTGGGCTCACTGGGTTATTTCCAACAGATTGTCCATATATACTTTGAAATCAGAAACTGGGGTAAAAAATGATTTTGGTTATGTAAAAGAAAAAGAGTGCATAAAATATGGCTGTTTCTATAGCTATGCCATGCCAGTTTCAAATTCAAGGCAGCAGAGGATCCCACTCTGCACTAAGTCAAAAGACCATCTTTTCACACAGAGATAACTGTAATCTGAAAGCATTCTGCATTTTCTTTTGGATTCCTAAGAGAACCACAAATGCAAATATTTTTGAATTATTTTACATAGCCTCCCTTTTTTTGCTAATTTATCCTACTTTAGTTAAAGCCTTGATGTTAATTCAAAATTTATTTATTTATTTATTATTTATTAATTCAATTTGTATGCCGCCCCTCTCCGAAGACTCAGGGCGGCTCACAATGCATTTAAAATCATTATAAAAAACATTTAAAAATTAAAAACATTAAAACTCATTCACACCATTCATGGCCGGATCTCGCCAGATCGCAAAATTGATCAACAAAGAGAATATTTACCACATAAACTTGAAATTATACTGATTCAGGATTTATTTATTAAATTTAAAACAACTGTGACTCTGGGTGGCTTACAAAGTTAAAAATCCAGACAAAAATACAAACTTAACCAAAAAGTAACCACAAAAATGATTTATCTTAAAAACAATAAAAATATTAAAAAACACAAAAACATAGCTGCAGGAAACACTATTCATTTTTCTAACAGTACAAGCACTCACCAGACTCCCTACCAAGATCACTGGATTCCCCAGGCCAGATGACAATGCTATGTCTCCAGGCTCTCCTGGAAGGTCAACAATCTCATCTCTAAGGGATGCGATCTTCCAAACTGCAATAATGTTGGCCTAGGCCATTTACAAGCCAAAATGAAAAATCAGGCTTTTCCCAAGGATTTCAGCAGAACTGCCCCTATTATGGATTTGCTGCTGCACGTGTTAGGTCAGTTAATGCAGTGCTTCACAAAACCCTTGACTGAAGTATGTTTCAAGTCTGAAAGAGCCATTCTGACCTGATTTGAAATGTTCTGGGCTGTGTGGCTGTGATGAACAAGCTCTTTTGCGTTTAGAACACTCCCAGAATAGTTGGAAATATCAGAATATTTCTAGTAAGCACAGAATAATCCATTTCAAACTTCAAACATTTTGAATTCACAAGAGTTTACATATGTCCAAGAAAATGCACTCTGTAATTAGTGTCAGCTGCTTCAAATATATTAACTACTCACATGTTGCCTTTTCTTTCCATATGCTATCCCTTGCCCATAAATTGCACTGATGAGCTCTGGTTGTTCCTAGGCAGAGCAAAGTAAAATAGACTTTAGATAACTGTGATGCATATATTTTAGCAGCAAATTCTACAACTAAAAGGTTTAACACAAACTAAAAAAAAAAAAATCCATCCATGATATCTCCACTTACAGATGAGTCCAGAATTATTTGCAACTTTTGCTCATGTTATTAAAATTAGCTTTAATTTTAAGGGCTTTCATAACAATTTTTTTTATTTTCATAACTGTCCTGTGCTATTAATATAACAATACCATATAATAAGATAGTAATAAATTATTATAGATAGAGCTTATAGTGCTTTAAGTAACCTTGTATCTCTTCTAGAAAACTTGTTATTGGGCAAATTACAGGTAATTGTCATTTAATGACTCTCCTGTTTAGTGACCATTCAAAGTTACAACAGTGCTGAAAAAGTAACTTTGTGACAGGTCTTCATAGTTACAAGTGTCACAATGTCTCCACTGTCATGTGATTTAGATTTGGCACTTTGTGACTAGTGGGCATTTACAACTGTCACAATGCCCCAGGACCATTTGATCGGCATTTGCAAGCTTCACAGCTGGCTTCCAACAAGGAAAGTGAATGGAGAAGCCAGCAATTAAATTGCAACTCACACATGGTGTCTTACTTAACAACCACGGGTGAGCTGCTTAACAAGTGAAGTGGAAGTAAAGTTGTAGGTCCATCATGATCACATAATGTTTCACTTAATAACATTGCTTAGCAACAGAGTTGTTGTCTCAGTTGTGGGTGTTAAGCAAAGACTAACCTGTAGTCTCAAATATTTTGCAATCAGCTGATCAAAGCTGTTTCACAGCTGGTGAGGATTGTGATCTTCATTCCAGCAGTGACATTATATGCATGGATGTGCATATACCAAACCACCATTTACCAATGCAAGCCACCCTTGATACTCTAAATGGTTGTGTACTCCTAATATCATAAGCAACTGTATATTCATATATGACATTTTCCATGACACTTATTTAAACAAAAAGACTTTTCTTCATTCTCTCCTAAATTTGAAATGCCCTGTAACTCCAAATAAATCTTTAAACTCTACTGCAGACGATTAGGTGTAAATAGATACTTCAACCCCACAAGTAAAAACTGTTTTCATTCAAAAAATGTCACTGGATTTCACTCATAAAAATTATTTCCTATAATTTACTTTGAACCACATTTTCCCTACTGAATACAAGCAGTTCTAGCACACAATGTATTTTGCCCAAATATGAGAATGCATTACATTTTAAATGCCAATTTAATCCTAAAAGCCTATGTTTTGCATATTAAATTTATATTACCCTCTGTTACACTTCTCCAAGGAAGAAGTTGTCTTTTTGGAGAAACTCTTTTTACTAAAGTTGAATAAAAATGTAAAAAAGTTACCTGAAGCATTGTTGAAAAGTGGTGTATTGCTTCCTCATAAAGGCCATTGCCAATCAATACATAAGCAATAGCTGTCAAAATAATTTTTTAAGTTATTAAATCAAGCTTCTGTAAATTACACATTTGTCATATATAAGGATTGCTGAAAATCCCACAAGGAACTAAACTGAAAATCCTGAAAATCTAATATTGAGATGACTCAATTTTGTGATCAAACTCCACTGTACAATAGTCAATAAATATACTAATCAAAGTAATAGAGATGTCTAAATATAATGTTATCTTGTAAGTAAAATATTGTGTTGCTTGCATAAGACTTGCTGCCCATAAATGAACCACATGCAATAATAATGATCTGCCTCAGCATAATACCGCTTCCTATAAAAGAAGTTCTTGTTCATAAAATGGGGAAAGAGAAAAAAGTGATTTTCACTCTTTCTTCTTTTATTCTGTTGCTCTTTGCAGTCTCCATAAGTTTGCTTCAAAATGTTGGGAACCCTCTCAATCAACATGAAGTGGATATAGACAGATAATATTTATATGAATCAAATCAAATCATTTTATTATGGTCTTTGACCTGCCTTTAAAGTAGGAAAAGAGAAAAAGGTGCTATAGCAATACATTATCAGGGAAAAGGGAAGATGATAAGACAGTGACAGAATATATCTAATTTTAAAAATTGTGTAATTCTATGACTTGATGAAGATGTTTGGCTACCTGGTATGTGAGTGTAGTTAGCATCCCTTAAAAAGTAAAAAAAAACAACATAAAATTTGTCAGTATGACCCTCAAATTTATAGTTTATAAACAAATGGGGAGTTCAAAAAGGATGCTGTATGAGGACAGGGGCGGGAGCTTCTACATCCCTGGATCCATAGAAACGAAGTCTCTGTATATAAGGAGTTCCATGAAATATTCTTGCCAGCAATGCAGAAGGGAGGGGATCAAGCTGGACTCTGAAAAGGGCCCATCTATATTTGCTTAGAGTAAAAGATTGTATAAATATCCTGCAGAAGAATGAGATGGCTACCTAGCATTTTGCAGTAGAATTCGGATGACCTGGTGATATCGTTTTGCAATTGATTTCCCCAATTCTTACTTTTACTATTACTATTGATTTGGTCCTCTCAAGTGTTAATTGGCATGAATATTCAGGAGAGAGGTCAAGACTGCAAAGTTCTTCTTGACAGGTACAGTGTCAATGAGATTGGTAGCTATTTTACAACAGCAAAGGCAACAGGCCTGTAGGGTCAAACATGATTCTGAATCCTGAGATTAGAATCCTGGGTCTCAGCCTTAATGCTTGGCATCTTAGTTTCAAGCCTCAAGACTGCATTAGCAGGAAATTTGATTGGTTCCATACAGGTTTATAGAAGTGCCAAGTTGTATCCTATATAATATTTTTGCAACTATTTTAATTATAATTTGATTGATACTGAAATGTAATTTAGCTCCTATTGCCTATAAAATTTTGTTATTGCTGGCGCAATCTTTTAGTCTATGGAAATGGCATAATTTTAGTAGAATTTAAGAGGCTTGAACTGAAATATTATGCCCAAATATTTAAAACATCTGACTTGCTCTAGTTCATGAGAATTGATTGTCCACATGCCTTTGTCTTTTGTTGGAAAAAACTAAAACCCTAGATTTATCATAGTTAACTAACTGTTCCTCAGAACATAAGATGGCAGAGTTCTTAATGCTACTTAGTGCCTACAGATGACAATGAGAGAACTGCATCTTCATCATAGAGTAGAATTGAGAGGTGTTTAACAGCTAATTTAAGTCCACGGATATCAACTTTTAAAAAGATTTACATCCTTATTGACAAGCTGAATAAAATCAGAAAGTTACAGATCAGTTACAAATCAGTTACATCTTTCTCTAAGGCCAGTTTTATCATATATCTTATAAATTAGGAGTAAGAGACTTTTGTCTATAAAGGAACTGCTCAAAATGTCCCAGAATCTCGAAACATTATCAAATGCTATCCTGAATTCAATGACGGCTGCATATAGATTCAGGTCAGAGAGGTTTGTATATTTCTCTGCCAGATGTTCATGCACTAGGCCCGTGATGGCGAACCTATGGCACGCGTGCCAGAGATGGCACATCGAGCCCTCTCTGTGGGCATGCACACTGGCCAGCTGCTCTCTTCTCGGTTCCAGTGTGCTCCAGCATGCTCCAGTTTTGGTACTTGGTGCCAAAAAGGTTAACCATCACTGCACTAGACAATGGTCTATAGCAGATCATCCTGGTTGAAACCCTACTTGTTCATGGTTGATTATTCCCTCATCTATTACTCAAGTTTGGTGTCTGGCATATAGTTTACTAATGATGTTCAATAAACTAATTGGCCTATAATTGTCTGGACCATTTTTATCATCCTTTTTATATAAGGGAACAATTATAGTTTTCCAGATCCCCTGGGATCTTAGTGTATGAATGTAAAGAAAGGACAATACAGAGCCCACCAATTGGGTTGGATTTAATTAGCTTGGGGAGGGAGGTGTAGAGTCACTCTCAGGGACTTTACCCACATTAAGCTGGTTAATGAGATTTTTTTAGTTCCTTGCATGTGCCTGAGGAGTCACTGAAGTACTGAGAATTAAGATACATCCATCACATAAGTGTTAGAGTGTGGATCACAATAAAGAGTTTGGAAGTGATATATCTAGGTATGACAGAGGATACATGCAATTGTGTAATGCTATTACAGAAACCATTTGTTATAATATGCCAGAATAGGGAAGGGTTTTTTCTTTCTTTTTATTTTATTTATTTATTTTTTATTTATTTATTTATTAGATTTCTATACCGCCCTACTCCCGAAGGACTCAGGGCGGTGCACAGCCAAACAATAAAAACACATACAATACAAAATTTAAAAAATAGAATAAAATCAAATTAAATAATTTTGGCCCCGACAAATTTAAAACCCCAAACTTTTAAAACCAATTTAAAATTGAATATATAAATACTAAAAAATATTTAAAATTTTAAAAATCTTTTATAAAAGAGGGGGAAAATTAGGCCAGGCCGGCCTGGTGAAATAGTAAGGTCTTTAAGGCGCGGCGGAAGGTGCGCAGATCCGGGATCCTCCGTATCTCTGGGGGGAGCTCGTTCCAAATAGTAGGTGCCCCCACAGAGAAGGCTCTCCCCCTGGGAGCCGCCAGTCGGCATTGTTTGGCTGACGGCACCCGGAGGAGCCCCTCTCTATGGGAGCGTACCGGCCGGTGGGAGGCTATTGGTGGTAGTAGGCGGTCCCGCAAGTACCCGGGTCCTAAGCCATGGAGCGCTTTAAAGGTGGTAACCAAAACCTTGAAGCGCACCCGGAAGACCACCGGGAGCCAGTGCAGCTCGCGCAGGAGAGGTGTTACATGGGAACGCCATGTCGCTCCCATTACCACCCGCGCGGCCGCACTCTGCGTCAGTTGGAGCCTCCGGGTGCTCCTCAAGGGGAGCCCCATGTAGAGAGCGTTGCAATAGTCCAGGCGGGAGGTGACAAGGGCATGAGTGACCGTGCGTAAAGAGTCCCGATCCAGAAAGGGACGCAACTGGCGAATCAGGCGAACCTGATGAAAAATCCTCCCGGTCACGGCCGTCAAGTGCTCTTCTAAAGACAGCCGTGAGTCCAGGAGGACGCCCAAGTTGCAAGCCCTCTCCGTGGGGGCCAATGATTCGCCCCCAATAGTCAGTGATGGCGTCAACTGACTATATCGGGACGTCGGAAACCACAGCCACTCAGTCTTGGATGGGTTGAGCCTGAGCCTGTTCCTCCCCATCCAGATCCGTACGGCCTCCAGGCACCGGGACATCACTTCAAGGGCATCGTTGGGGTGATCCGGGGTGGAGATGTACAGCTGGGTGTCGTCAGCGTACTGATGGTACTCCACCCCGAAACCACGGATGATCTCGCCCAGCGGCTTCACATAAATGTTGAACAGGAGAGGCGAGAGGACCGACCCTTGCGGCACCCCACATATGAGGGGCCTCGGGGTCGACCTCTGTCCCCCTGTCAACACAGACTGCGACCGGTCAGAGAGAAAGGAGGAGAACCACCGCAACACAGTGCCTCCCACCCCCAACTCTTCCAACCGGTGCAGCATGATACCATGGTCGATGGTATCAAAAGCCGCTGAGAGATCTAACAGGACCAGGACAGAGGAGCACCCCCTGTCCCGAGCCCTCCAGAGATCATCAACCAACGCGACCAATGCCGTTTCCGTGCTGTACCCGGGCCTGAAGCCCGACTGGAACGGATCCAGATACGTCGTTTCATCCAGGTGCTGGGGGAGCTGTTGCGCGACCACACTCTCAACAACCTTCGCAACAAAGCGAAGATTGGAGACCGGACGATAATTTACCAACATTGCCGGGTCCAGGGAAGGCTTCTTGAGGAGAGGCCTCACCACCGCCTCTTTCAAGGCGGCGGGAAAGTCACCCTCACTCAGCGAAGCGTTTATAATCCCCTGGAGCCAGCCTCGTGTCACTTCCCGGGAAGCCAGTACTAACCAGGAAGGACACGGGTCCAATAAACAAGTGGTCGCGTTCAGTCTACCCAGAATCCTGTCCACGTCCTCAGGGGTCACAGGATCAAACTCATCCCAGATAACATTCTCAAGACCTGCCCCTGTCTCTCCCCCTGAGACTACCCAGTCGGAGTCCAAATCTTCCCGAATCTGAGTGATTTTGTCATACAGATACTGAACAAAATCCTCGGCTCTACCCTCCAAGGGGTCCTCCCGCGCTTCCTGGTGGAGCAGGGAGCGGGTCACCCTAAAGAGGGCGGCCGGGCGATTATCTGATGACGCAATAAGAGCAGCAAAATAACTACATTTCGCTGCTTTTATCGCCACTAAGTAATTCCTAATGTGGGATCTTACTAGTGTCCGGTCAGATTCAAGAAGACTGGCCCTCCAACTACTCTCTAGGCGTCTTTTCCGGCGCTTCAACTCCCTCAGCTCCTCGGTAAACCAAGGAGCCAATTGAGATCGGCGCCGGGTCAGAGGCCGCAAAGGCACGACCCGATCCAGAGCACCAGCAGAACCTTATATTATTTTTCTTCTCCTTTAAAATTTAGGTAGAATGTGATAAATTGGCCTTCAGAGAGATAGCATAGCATTCCAATAATGCTGCTTTGGCAGCACTGTCTTTGTTTTAAAATGTTGGAGCTTAGCTCTGAGATCAAGATACACATCAAATATTTTGCTGCCTTCTGAGATAGTTGGGCCTGAATGTGCCCCAAAGTTACAGGTTAAAAAATATGCACTTCTTTCCTCTGAAGTTAAACCATTGGGCTATTTCATCTCCAAAGGACCCATCCCATCTGAATCTACCATTATACCAGGTAATTCCATATGGAAGTGAAAATCACACCCTTTAACACAAAGCAGAATATTGATAAAAAAGAATTGAACTTTTTTTTACAGACAAGAGATTAAAAAACTATTTGGAACATGGCCTCATATAAGTTATGAAAACATCATTGTGATGAGGAAAGAAAAGGCTTATGAAATTTATATGGAACAATATCAGTCCAAATTAGCCTTATTTCATGGAGTGCTCATACTACTGGCCCTTGGCATCCATTCAGTTACAACATTGTTGAATAAATGTGATTAAATTCAGTACAAGATTGTGTTTTTAATCTTTAAAGTATCCACAAAACTGTTGTTTTAGCCAAACAGACAAAGTAAGTTTCAAATCAATATTTCATACTGAACTTTTGTCCCATGAACACATCTAGAAATGGATAAAGAGAAATATTTTACTACTAGCTTTAGCTCATGCTACTTTTAACAAATAAATCACACCTTTAGACATGGTGATCTATGGGGTGTGTTACTTGTTGCTCAGTTCACTTACAAATGAAACTAATTTAGAAAATACTCATATTGCCTCTTACCTAATTCTTCATTTGTATAGTCATCATCTGTAGCAAATGGAATTTTTTTCCCTTTGGCAAGTATTTTTGCTTGGCTCTGAAAAAATGTTTTATGCATTAAATTAACAACTTCAAGCAAAAGTTATGGAACAATTCCATGGAAGTTATACTGCAAATTGTTTTCAGGATTCTTTATCCTGAACACAATGAATAAACTTACCAAAAGTTTTTCTGTTGTACAAGAAAGCAGAGGTTCACAAGATGAAGATCCTTGTAGATCACAGTCTGAATCATGAAAGTGCAAAATTGATGAGTCTAAAATGAAATGTTGTAACTGTTAATTGGTACATTCACCTTACAACATTAAGGGCAAGTTAAATAGAGTAGTGCTATTTAGACACAGAAAGAGCATTTCTATACTAATTGTTCCAATACCTAATAAGATCTTAATTGCAAGTTTATCACAGTAGATTGGCTCCATGAAAGAACAAACTTACTATTGCCCTCACAAAGATCTTTAAAATATTCATTTCAGTAATTATTCAGTTAATTTTTATTCCAAATCATTCCCCACTTTTATTTTTAATTTTATTCATTCTTTATTCTTCTTAACATACTTCAAAATACATTATCTCCAACATGATATGGATTTTCTCAGTTTCTTTTAATCATAATTGACCATGTTCTTTGCAACTCTTTCATATACATTATTCAAAATATTTTTTCATCCTCATTTTTGCAGCAATCTAATCTTATATGAGGGGTCATGCTGGGCTGTCAACCAGAAGGTTGGCAGTTTCATACCAAAACACCATGCAACAGGGTAAGTTCCCATTCTTGTCCCAGCTCCTGCCATCCTTGCAGTTCAAAAGCATGCAAATGCATATAAATAGATAGATACCAATTTGATGGGAAGGTAGGAAGGTAACAGCATTTGTACGCCTCAGTATATTTAGACATGCTAGCTACATGACCATGGAAGCATCTTCAGACAACGCTAGCTCCCGCAACTAGGAACATGACTGAGCAGGGGAAACATTTACTTTTTTTTAATCTTACATGAATATTTTCCTTTCATAGCCTTCTCCACTTTATACTTCCAATTATTGTTTTTCATACATCCGATTACATTGAAATTCCAAACACTTCTGCAGCTGCCCTTAACCATAATTCTGTTTGCTGCTCCAACTTCCATGTTCTCTTTAAATCCATTTCAGTCTTTTGGGAAGTGTAATCTAGTAATACTTTTTCATAAAGGACCCACTTTCTTTTCCTGCAGTTGTTCCATTTTTATTCTTGGTTTTTTCATTATTTTCCTTTTCTTCTAAAGATTCACTCAACACTATAAAAATGCTCTGTCCCATATTCAGAACCTATTATTGTATCTGTCATAAATTATCTCTTTCATCATAATCAATTATCCTTTAACTTTATATCCAGTCTTTTGCCATGTATATGTATAATAAACATGCTTAAATCACATACAATATCCAGAACAAAGTGTTTCTAAGTGATTCTCACTCATTTTTAATTATTCTAGAGTCACTGAAGGCCTGATCACTATTTTCTGTTCTTCCTCATTTGTTCATCATACCTAACAGAATACATTTTTCTTCAGGTAAACATCTCTGGTTCTTCTATTATCATTCATAAAAGAATAACATGCCACTACCACCAATCTAGTAACATGCTGAAGGGCACAATCAAGTAGGAAAAACACAAAGGCTTCAATCTCCATCCCTTTCCTATTAATGAATTCACTGAGGCGTAGTCTCTTTAAATATTTTGCATCTCTTCTCCTTAGTCTTTTGCAATCTGGACTGAGCTGCCATTTATGAAATAAGATACTAACAAGTTCCTTTCCCATTTGTTGAATGTTACGTCTAGAGTTCCTCCCATTTCTTTCTCAACCACTTTACAATTTCTCATACCTCACTGGTCTAGAATAGCTAGAGAAAGCCCTAGGGAAGAATCGTAGGAGCCTAGTAAATAAACAAACAAACAAAAATAATAATTTTCCTTCAGATAACCTGATCAAAGCTATTAAGCAGTTTTTTAGGGCAAACATAGTATTTTGAATTGATCAGAAAGGTGTTATCACCGATATGAAAATATATTGAGAGATTCCAAAAACTAACAGAACTGGATTCCCAATCTCAATTTATCAAGAAGAGGGCATTTAAGGTGATATCTGCCAAGCGAAGCCTGAAGCCAAGGTAAAGAAAATCAGTCTTGAAATGATCAGTTCAAGTATAGCACTACAAAAAGTGGTGTTAGCATCCAGCCTACAATTGTTTTTAATCTTTCCAATTCAGGTAAGGTTTCATTACAGCAGCCTAATCATCTCTTTTAGAATAGAATTCTTTGTTGGCAATTGTGATTGGACAGACAAGGAATTTGTCTTGGTGCATACGCTCTCAGTGTACATAAAAGAAAAGATACATTCATCAAGAATCATAAGGTACAACACGTAATGATAGTCATAGGGAACAAATAAGCAATCAAATCATATTTAGAAACAGTGAGTATAAATCTTAAGGATACCAGCAACAATGTTACAGTCATACAGTCATAAATGGGAGGAGATGGGTGATAGCAACGATGAGAAGATTAATAGTAATGCAGACTTAGTAACTAGTTTGACAGTGTTGAGGGAATTTGTTTAGCAGAGTGATGGCATTTGAGAAAAAACTGTTCTTGTGTCCAGTTGTTCTGGTGTGCAATGCTCTATAGCGTCATTTTGAGGGTAGGAATCGAGAAGTTTTGAAGAAGTTACTACCACTACTTCCTTCAAAAAGGCATTTCCGACTTCTTATAGACTCAACAGTCAATCTTCTCTCTTTTACTCTCCCAAATCCAAGGAAGGGCTAAAGTCAAACCAAATTTAACTAAACTATCCTGTCTTCATCAAGCCTACTAACCAAAACTCATGCCACACACAACTGACCGCGATAGCAAAATCCATTAACTGCCTTGCCTAAAGTTATTGTCCCAGGTGCAACCCCCGTTTTATCTTCCAATGTCCTGCAACTGGCCATCTCATCCTTACAAGGGTGCAATTCCCTTACCCTTAAGATGGCATTTCAGCCCTTAGACTAAAAGAAGAACTTGTTCAGCTATCTCCAAGCTCCTGTTGGGATTCCAGCCCCTCTTCAGGCACCACGCAGCCCAAACTTGGCAACTTTTAAGATGCGTAGACATCAACTTCCAGGATTCCCCAGCCAGCAAGAGAATTCTGGGAGTTGAAATTACCACGTTTGAAAAACACTGATGGGAGTCATTCCCTGACTGCTGAATCTTTGGGTTAAACGACGCACTCCATTATGAACTCGCCGTTCTTGCAGTCGAAACCGTCCCAGGTCATCCTAAGACTCTCCCACCAGAAGCTGCCCGGTCCCTCCGGCTCCTTCTTTCTCCTCTTTACTCACCACCGTCTCCCGCAATTGCCGCGTATTGCTGCTCCCCATCCCAATCAGCCTCCCAAAACCCCGGGCAGCAACTGCTCCCTTGCTGGTGGCGCAGAGACAACGAGGGGTACTCTTCAGCCAGAACCAGCAACGGCCGGGTAACCGCCACCAGCGTCCAAAAGAGCTTCAGCGCCGTTGCAACGCTCGGCCACGAGCCCCGACTGCCGCAAGCAGGTGCCATCTTCCAACCACGCCTGCGCAGATTAATCTACCTGTTTTTCGCGTTTCCCTCCCTCAAGAGTCCCGGCAACTAGCGGGCGACCGAGTTGCTTTCTGGGTATTGTAGTTCTGTGCCCGGAATTCTACTGCGCTGCGTGTCGAGAGCAAAACTACGAATACCGAGATGCTCCGCAAGGTTTTGGGCTCAGCGAGTGGAATCCGGAAGCGAACGAAGTAAAGCACCCTTCGCAAGAGTTTTTTTTTTTCTGGGTTTGTTTTCTTCTGGGAAAATGGAAGGGTCCGCATGTTACCGGTGTATTGAATGCAGTACAAAAGCGGCTGAGCTGTACAAGGATTATCAACGTGGGGTGTTGCGGATCTCTATCTGCGTGAGTTATGTGAAGAAGCAGGAATTTCGAATTGATAGATCCACCTTGCATTGATATTATTGTAGTTATTCAATATCAGTCCCGGATCCAAGAGGATCTTCAAATTCCTAGCGTAATCCTTGACGGGAAGTGTATCCGCCTTCCCTCTGGATTCTGAAGTTTTACCTTTAGATTTAGTGCTAATTATAATTTTATTCATAGTGAGGTTTTATTTTTCTGCAACATGAAGTCCTTTACAGCCTGAAGATACTTAAAAGCTTTTAAGTAGGGGTTCCTAATTTTTTTGCCATTGCATCTCCCTTTAGTGTAATCTTAATGTACACTTCCCCTAAAAATCCAAACACCAAAATGAACACAAATGAATAACAGATAACAGATTAACAGAGTTGGAAGGGACCTTATAGGCCATCTAGTCCAACCTCCCCGCCTCCACTCAAGCAGGAGACCCTACACCATTTCTGACAAATGGCAGTCCAATCTTTTCTTGAGTCTCAAGTGATGAAGCTCCCACAACTTCTGAAGGCAAGCTGTTCCATTGGTTGATTGTTCTCACTGTCAGAAAGTTCCTCCTCATTTCTAGGTTGAATCTCTCCTTGGTCAGTTTCCATCCATTATTCCTTGTCTGGCCTTCAGGTGCTTTGGAAAACAGCTTGACCCCTTCCTCTCTGTGGTGGCCCCTCAAGTATTGGAAGACGGCTATCATCTCTTCACTAGACTAGCCATGCCCAGTTCATGTAACCGTTCTTCATGTTTTAGTCTCCAGTCCCCTAATCACCCTGGTTGCTCTCCTCTGCACTTTTTCTAGAGTCTCAACATCTTTTTTATAGTGTGGTGACCAAAACTGGATGCAGTATTCTAGGTGTAGTCTTACTAGGGCTTTATAGAGTGGTATTAGTACCTCACTTGATCTTGATTGTATTCCTCTGTTAATGCAATTTAGGATTGTGTTGGTTTTTTTAGCTGCCGCTGCACACTAGCTCATAGTTAACTGGTTGTCCACTAAGATTCCAAGATCCTTCTCACAGCCACTGCTATTAAGCCTGGTTTTCCCCAGTTTATATGTGTGCTTTTGGTTTTTCTTACCTAAGTGTAAGACTTTACTTTTCTCTACATTGAATTTCATTTTGTTAGATAGGGCCCAGTGTTCAAGTCTGTCAAGATCCAGCTGGATCTTGAGCCTATCTTTTAGGGTGTTAGCTATTCCTGCCAGCTTAGTATCATCTGCAAATTTGGTGAGCTCCTCTTCTATTCCCTCATCTAAGTCGTTTATGAAGATATTGAAGAGTACTGGGCCTAAGACGGAGCTAAGACACACCCCACTGCTTACTTCTCTCCATGTACACTTAGACCCATTAAGGACTACTCGTTGAGTACGGTTTGTCAGCCAGTTGCGAATCCATCTGGTGGTGAAGCTATCTATCCCACTTTTTTCTAGCTTACGAAGTAGGTTGTGGTCTACTTTGTTAAATGCCTTGCTGAAGTCTAAGTATATTATGTCCACAGTATTTCGCTGGTCTACTAATTTAGTCACTATGTTGAAGAATGAAATAAGATTGGTTTGGCATGATCTGTTTTTAAGAAACCCGTGCTGACTGCTAGTTATTACTTTACTTGTTTCTAGGTGTTGGCAGATCTGTTTTTTTATTATCTTTTCCAGCATCTTCCCGGGTATTGATGTTAGGCTAATTGGTCTGTAGTTTCCTGGGTCTGTTTTTTTTCCTTTCTTGAAGATGGGAACCACATCAGCTCTTTTCCAGTCCTCTGGTAGTTCTGTTTTTTACAGTTATGTTTCTGGTAGGTTGGGTTATAGTTTCTTTTTGCGTGAAGACCGATGCAAAGAATGAGTTAACCAGCTCTGCTTTCTCTCTGTTGCCTGTTACTTCCTTGCCGTCTTCTCTTCTTCTCTCTTTAGTGAACCGACTGTTTCCTTGATTTTTTTCTTGTTATTTATATGTTGGAAGAAACTTTTTTTGTTATCTTTGACTTTTGTTGCAAGTCTTTGTTCATTCTGAGTCTTTGCTTTCTAGACTTAGTCTTTGCAGATTCTGGCTGTCTGCTGATATCCTGCCTTAGTTATGTGTCCCTCTTTCCATTTTTTGTACTTGTCCTTTTTATTGATTGATTGATTGATTGATTGATTCGATTTATATGCCACTCTTCTCTGGAGACTTTTTGTCTTTTCAATTTGTCAGAGAGATCTTTGTGCAGCCCTGCTGGTTTCTTCTTTGATTTCTTGTTTTTCTTTCTCAGCGGTATTGCATTGGTCTGGGCTTTTATGATTGTATTTTTCAGAGTTTCCCAAGATTCTTGAGTTGTTTTTCCCTTTAGGATTTTCATCCAAGGAATCTTTCCCGAGTTCTCTCTGACTTTATTAAAATCAGCTCTTTTAAAATCTAAGATTCTGGTATCATTTTGTTCTACTGCTTGTGTTTGCGTTATGTTGAATTCTAGTATGACATGGTCACTCTCACCAAGGTTCCTGCAGTTTCAACTCTGTCTATCACTTCTTCTCTGTTTGTAAGTATTAAGTCCAGTATGGTTGCCCCTCTAGTTCCCTCCTCTATCTTTTGGACAATAAAGTTGTCAGCTAGGTTGGTTAGGAACCTATTTGATTTTTCCCTTGGTGCAGAATTAGTTTTCCAATTGATATCAGGGTAATTGAAGTCCCCCATTACTATTGTAGTGTGTTTCCTACATATGTTTGTTAGTTGGTTGGCAAAAAGAACCATGATAATAATACAATGCAACTGTACAAAAGTTGGAATTATTTTAACAATGTAACTAAAAGATTCTTCGTACCTCTTCTGGACTCTGCTTTGCCCTAAAAGAGGTATATCTCACAGTTTGGGAAACCTTGGTTTATAGAGATCCAACCCAAAGCTTGCAAGATGTTTCCTCATCCTAAAGTAAGACTAGTGTTACTCTGAACACATGTAGGGGGGTATTCAACATGCTCTTGTTTAACCTGCCATGTAAAATCTCTTTGACGTGAATTTACGAACTTAAACCTCCTTCTGAGCAGGATACTTGGACTCCCGGGTGCTACTAATCCCAGGAGGGATACTGGTTCTATGGACGTAAGGCCAGTTGGAGGCGGATTATGGCTATCTTCACGCCCGGATTTCCATCAGTTTCCATGGGTGGCCTAGGTGAGAGCATGGCTGCCCTGGAAACTCCCGGGGTTGAATGATATACACCTCCTTTGCCATTGTCGTGAGAGGACAATGGAGCTTGGTGGCCTGACCATGGAATGGAACTCTCCCTATGTTTGTAACATCGGTGGTATCCCCTACCCTTGGACTTTGGCTCCCCTTATGATTATATGTATTCGGTGTCGGAACTCCTCTCCCTGCGAGATTCTCCCCTCTCGCAGGTTTGGCCCTCCACATTATCGAGGGCCTATCTCGATGACGGACTTTGGAGTCCAGAGAGATGGCATGGAGCACGGAAGAATTTGTGGGGTTTTTTTAGGGAAATTTTTAAAGATTTTAAGGGGTTCTGGGAGGGGGGTTTGTAATGATCTTTCTAGAGAAATTGGGAAGAAGACTCGGGGGGATGGGGGGGGGGAATCCACCAAGGTCAGAGCCGAGCCCGGCACAGGGTAACGACTTGGAAGGTGCTGGTCGAGGGACTGGGAACGGGATGGGGGACGATACCTACGAGGTCTGTACCATCAGCACGGTAGATGGGAGGGGCAGATATGGTGGGAGCAGGGGACCATATCATGTGTTGGGGGCTCGCACTCACTGTTTGAGAGCAATTGCTTGCCCCGGTCCCCATGGCTCCTCTCGGAGACTAGGTGGCTTAGACACTCAGGATCTGGGCCTTCGGCTGATGTTATGCAATGCTAGGTCCGTGGTAAATAAGGCCCCCCTCATTCACGATCTTATATAAGAGGGAGGAACGGACCTGGCGGGTATTACGGAGACCTGGTTGGGCCCGGAGGGCGGTGTCCTTCTGGTTGAAATGTGCCCACCAGGCTTCAGAGCATTCCATCAGCCGAGGGCCCAGGGGAGGGGAGGGGGGGTGGCGGTTATTATTAATGAGGATCTGGGTCCTAGGGAGACCACTGTGTCTCAGATAGCCGGATGTGAGTCCCTCCTTGTGAGGTGGGGTCGTGGGGTTCAGATGGGCTTGTTGCTTACATACCTGGCTCCCTGCCGCGTGGCAACAGCCCTACCTGAGCTACTCGACGTGATAGCCACGGTGGCAGTAGATACACCCAGGCTCTTAGTCATGGGTGACTTCAACTTGCCATCCGTTGGTGAAACGTCTGAGGTGGCTCGGGAGTTCATGGCTTCCATGACGGCCATGGACCTGACCCAGTTAGTTCATGGCCCTACTCACAGGGGAGGTCACACTCTGGATCTGATTTTTGTCTCTGGCCAGTGGTTGAGTGGTCTTGTTATTGGGGATATAGACGTGGAACCGTTGTCATGGACAGACCACTCACTCCTTCACCTGGATTTTCGAACTGCTGCCCCCCGCCGCAGGGAGGCGGATCCAATTAGATGGATCCGCCCCAGGCGCCTGATGGATCCTGAGAGGTTCCAGACCGAGCTTGGGCCATTTCCTGAGGTTCTAGCACATGACTCGGCTGAGGAGCTGGTAGCCGCCTGGGACCGGGCGGCTGGTGGGGCCTTGGACCGAGTCGTGCCTTTGCGGCCTCTGACCCGGTGCCGATCCCGCGCAGCTCCTTGGTTCACTGAGGAGCTGAGGGAAATGAAGCGCCGGAAAAGACGCCTGGAGAGCGGTTGGAGGGCCAGTCTCGCTGAATCTGACCGAACACGGGTAAGGTCACATATTAAGGCCTACCTAGTGGCGATAAAGACGGCAAAGTTTAATTACTTTTCCGCCTCTATTGCGTCATCAGGGAATCGTCCGGCCGCCCTGTTCAGGGTAACCCGCTCTCTGCTCCATTCGGGAGTGTGGGAGGATCCCTTGGAAGGCAGGGCGGAGGATTTCGGACAATACCTGTATGACAAAATCGCTCAGATCCG